ATATATGTTTGATATATGTTTTTCTTTAAATAGTTAGTATGCCTCAGCGCTACAGTTTATATATGAACATTTCTATTCAACATAATGGATATTAATGCATATACAGTGTGATTTTTTTTATCATGAACCAGCAAATATCTCAGAGGATTTTAAGTAAATTTGATTTCTGTTTTTTCTAATCATTGTGCCTATCTATTAACGTTCCCTACTCCTCCGGTCTAAACTTTAAACTGTTATAACTCATAAATGGTTAATCTGATATTAGTGTTTTGCATAGAAACATTTCTAGAAAAATATTCTCTATTCAAATCAGTGTTCAAAAAGGAGGGGGTCCTATTAGAAAATCAAAAGTATGCACTTATTTAAGGTATATGAAGTAGAGGTAAAAAATTAAAAATAGTTTTAAAACAAAGCTTAAACGATTCCATAATGATTAGAAAAAACAGAAATTAAAATCACTTAAAATCCTCTGAGATAATTGCTGATTTATAATAAAAAAAGTTACCCTGTTTAATATGATAGTATTATTTCATGATATTAACCCATCTTAATGAAAATCCTTGTCATGCGCCCTAAATAATAACTGATTAAACATTGTAATATTCACATTTGCAAAAGTGTCCAAAAATCATAGAAAATTAAAGACCACACTATCCATACTTTAACAAAAGTTTCAACCACCAAAAATTTTCTAAAAATCTATTTTCCAAAATGGCTGTTTTGAATTTTTTTTTAAAAAATTGTAGTAAAATTTAAATTTTTTTATTTTAAGTCCACCTCCCCTAAAAAAAAAATGTTAAAATATAAACTGTAGCACTGAGGCATACTAAATATTTTAAAAAAAGTATATAACAAAAATATTAAATAAAACAAAAGTTATTGCATTTGTCAAATCCTCGTGGGACACTCTGTAAATACATTATATATAGGTATATTGCATATATTATATACGTGTATATAATGTATTAGGTATATTAGGTACATTATTTATGGACGTGAAGATGTAAACGTGCAGTGGTGTATTTAGAGAGGACGAAAGAGGCTATTGCCCAGAGTGACAACATTTCAAGGATGGCAAAAATTAAATGATTTTAGGTGGACATTTTTAGAGGAAAAAGTAACCAAGGTCAGAGTAAGGATGAGGTTTAAGTATAGATGTAACCATGTAAATATTTAAAAAATTATTTTGGAAAATTATGTTTAGATATTTTATTGTTGCAATAAAGTTATTATTATTAAATATTGGAGGATAACGGAAATTTATTTTGCTCCGGGGCGTAAAAATTCTAGAGTGTGTTACGGAACACACTATTAGATCTCATCAAAATAAATCATGGGGGAGAGCCGACGCTATCAAAAATCTATGGAAGGGTGTAATTAAAAATTGTCTAAATCCAAATATTAAATTTTCCGACTTTTAAAAATGTTTTTATTAAATCATTTTATCCTTTGATAAATGATATTAATAATTATATAATAGATTTTACGATAGTAATATCGTGATAATTACTAAAAAATACCGAAAAAAAACAACGAATAAATGATTAATTTTATCGACCATAAAATTAAACTATCGTTAAAGTATCGTATCAAAGTTTTATTGAGGACAACATTTTTATTGTACACTTCTCGTACATTCTCTATCTCCAACCCTTGAGGAGTAGAATCTGGGAACATAAATATCAAAGTTGTCAAATAAAGTTAATGATCAATTTTTATTATAAACATCGGTAATTTAATTTATTGTACTATTTTATTTTCTGTTAAGTATATTTTGTACGATCTACAAAGTAATTTAGTAATTTAGTAATTTAATTATAATTTAGTAATTTACCTAGATTTTTCTTAAAATATTAAATTAATATTTTAATTAAAAATTATAATATATATTTAATTTTAATAATCAAACTAACATAAATGCAAAAAAAAATAAAAGAATAAAGACCTAACCAAGATGCTTCTGTATTGCCCATTTTTTTAAAGTTTTTATCAAGTTTCGATAAGCAGACAAGCGTTTGACATCACACCAGTGACGTACCTGTAGGGGAGTGCAGGGGCATCCACCCTTCCCTCGTGGACCATATAATTATATTGTGTGTGCATTGTTTTTTGTTTTTAGTGTTTTTACAATTATTCTAAATTTGTTTTTTTCATGAAGAAGTTAATAATATAATATGGTCAAATAAATAGATATTAAAATATTTTTGTTATCTATGGTCGAACCGGGTTAAAGTTTCTGATGTCATAATTTAATTTTAGCGGTTCGATTGTTGTCTAGCTCTTATCATCGATGCAGGCTTGCACTGATGCATATTTACAAGAAAATAAGTATACCAGTAGATGATATCATTAAAGGATTCTCGTAAAAGTAAAAAATCGTAATAGTCCTCAAATAAATCCTCTATTTTCTGTGTCATCGAAACGAAAAATGTCATCGCATGAGGTCATCGATGAGCTAAATTTAAACAAAATAACATTCGATTTTGAGAGTATACTCATGTATACAATTATATCTATATTATCTATCATAATGATAAATATTATTTGATATCAACATTTTTTTGTTGAATTCCTACAATAGAGTGTTTGTACGGGTTAAAATAACAGTTTAAACAGTTGTTGGGTATAGAGGCAAAGTTTCTTCCATCGTTCTTTTATTGGTAAATTATTTTAATTCCCCCATGGAAAATTATTAAATACACCAGTAGCATTATATTATAGTATTGCACTGGCGAATGGCGGACTCATTACTTTGTATACTTATATATAGTCTATAAATGTTCCGATTTTACCTTAAAAGATGTGGAATTACCGTTCGGTATACCTACCTACTTTATTTGAAATATTTTCCGAAATTATATTGTTGTTTTCAATTTGAAGATTACTTTTCGCCACCCATCGCTTGTCGTAATTGAAATAAATGCGAAAACCTCTAAAGTGAAGTTCACCGGTGTTCAGGGGTAGCTCCCTAACTTTATCCCACTTACTTTTTGACGCTGATGTTGATGAAATCATATATTTATTGCAAACAGTCGGACATATGAAACTCATATGGCACTCTTGAAATGTTAGCACACAAAAATGTATTCGCGTATAATGTGGTATAGTTTATAATAAAAGTACATTTACAATAAAATTATCATAGTTATGATAGTTGGCATTTTTTTGTTTTTTATTTCTCTCCGTGAAGGGTGCTCTCCGGTTATCACCGCGATCCGTAAACGACGGATGGGCTTTAAGTGTCTGTGAATGCCAACAATTAAACAACTGCACACGCATAAAATACTTCTACGCTATTGCGGATCCATAAAAGGGCCCACGACAAATAATTGTCCCTCACATTATCCAGGGGCCGTTTTAAGGGTACGTACGCACTATACGGTTGCCCGCTATGCGGCAATTTAATGTATATCTGTAAGCAACGATAAACCATTGCTAACGAAAAAACGATTCTGAGCCGAGTTCAGTTAATAATGTTGCTTTGTCAACAGAACAATATATTATGGTATTATGTCATATTATGGTAAAACGATTAAAACAATGTGCGTTTCCATGACGACAATGATTGTTTAAAAAATATTAAAATAATTAAAACGGTTGCCAATGACAACTTTATTTTTAATTTTTCGATTTTTCTTAATCCAAAGACCAAGGTGTCTTTCTCATTATCTCGAATATCAATGAGAATTTCAAAAAATTATCTCTCTGAAATACCACCCAGAGAAAATTTCCTTTCAGAAAATGTGTTAAAACGTGCTATAATCGGATTATGCTTTGTGGTAGAAAAAGTGTTCACATAAAAAAAAAAAATAAAATAAAATAAAAACCATTGTAAAACCAATACATTCCTCGTTCCACTCAGAATCCAAAACAAAATAATAAAACAATGAAGGTCAGCCGTACACTGACCGCGTAGTGCGTACATACATTTTGATGTAGACGGAATTTGCATAAAGTTCGTTGTTTGTGGTAGGCTGGACGGCTGGCCGCATAGCGAGCAACCGTACCGCGCGTGCGTACCCTAACCCTGCAAATTTTAGTGCACAGCTAGCGACACGTGTACCTACACTAGTGAACCGGCGGCGTGCTAAACGTGCACCTGGCCGAACGGGAATCGTCCCCTCCTCTCGGCGGGACAAACGGCGTACCACAACGGCGCGTTATTTCAGCGGTGGAAGTGCATGGATAGTATTATTATAGTGGCGGTGATGATCACGGCCGTGCGGAACTGCGTTTTACGCTCGGTTGATGGAGAAATATCGCGTCCGCGGGAAACCGAAGTGGGCGCGAATATCGCGTGGCGGTTACGGCAGACGGCCGCCAGACGCCGCCAGCGGCGAAAACGGCCGTACGGGGAGACGGCGAAAAACGCGCGCGTAAAAAAAAAACTGAAAAAAAAAAATAACAGGAAAAAAATAATAATAATAAAACTACGGCGGCGGCAGCGGCGGCGACCGCTCCACCGTTCAACCACCACCGCCGACTGCGTTTTGGCCGGTGGGCGGGCGGCGACGTCACACAAGCGGCGTATATATACGCGCCGACACGAACGGTCGCTAACTCCTGTGGCAGCGTGTACAACAGCAGTGTGTCGTTGCAAGTACGGAGTGTCGAGCGGCTTTTGGCGAACGTCCCACAGCACGACGACGACGACGACGACCCGAACGGCGCGCGCGCACCCCGCGAAAACGTAACGCTATAGATAGATAGAAAAAAAAAAAAAAAAAACATTATTGAAATATTGTTGTTATTATTTGTCATTATTATTTTTGGTTTTTGTTGTCACTCGCCCGTAATATCGCGTATTGTACCCCGTCGGCGTCGTCGCGCTCTATAGCCCCTACAATCTCGCGCACCGCCGAACGTTACGTCCGTACAGATACGCGCCGGACACGCCACACGGTCCGCTCAAGCACGCCGCCCTACGCGGTCGCCTGTGCGTACACGTGCGTTTTATTTACTCCCGTCGTTGGTTGTATTATTTGTTCAAACATACCGCTATGGCCGTCGAGACGTTGGTAAGTATCCAGATATAATTATAATTTCCGGTTTAATTTTAAGCACAAACAGTGCAACATTCTGACGGACGGTTTCGACCCCCTTGTTCCCCGTCCGCGTTTTTGTACCGGCGGATATCGAAAACGACGAAAACTTTCGGATATCGCGCCGCAGTCGTTGGTATCGAAAGCCGCCGCTACGCGCGGTTTTCACGAATCACGATACTAACGGTCTCGCGCGCGCGCGCTCCCTCTCGTTCGTGATAACGCGCGCGCGACTGTCATCCACGCCGGGGGAATTCTTTTTCGAAATGCGAGACGGGTCGGCGGACGGTTGTCGGAATCCCGGCGGGGAGGGACGGTGCGCGCGCAAGATTCCGCGTTTATTGCATCATGTTTTCGTCACACCACCAAACTGGAACGCCTCAGTCACGGCGCCCACCCCTATATCCCCTCTCCACCCCTTCCTGCCATCATTTAGGGAGCTCGCACGTCCCCCGTCGGGGTCGGACCGCGATGTAAATATAATAGGTATAATCGTGGTAATGAGTAACGACATTTTCGAATATTCGCGTACCTGTCGATGTTACATTATAAATACGTCTGAAATTAATTACTTAAATAAGCATTTTTCTCTTTTTCCATTTAAATGTAATTCGGGGCCGAGAGAGTTAATGCGATATTAAATTGCCATCCATCATAATCGGTTAAATTGATAAATTCTTAAATTGTTCGCGATATAATACTGAAGTACATAAATTACCCACTGTTTTTATTTAATATTTTTTTCGATTGTATCCACACTATTTGTAGTGATTAAGCCGATTTAGTATTTATTTACTTACTGACGAGTATGTAGCAACACGACTGCATCGGATTGCCCTGTCTTTTTAATTTTTCTTTGCAAGTCTAAACTTCTTTTCGTGTATAGTCACCAAGGTGAAAAAGGGTATAGCGAACTAAGAATTTAATTTAAACTTATGGACACGAGTTATGTATATAGGGCAAGGCATGGAAGTTTTGTGCCTTGCGCGTGAATCGGTAACTTCAGGCACTGCAGTGTTATTATGATTTCATGACACAATTCATTGTGAACGTGTCCTACAGTATGTACTTGCAAAATTTTAAAAATGTATTAATTATTATCAAAACCATTCGGAGCAAAGTTGGGTACAATATGTTTTGAAATACTGCCATTTTTACGATTTCCATTAAAATTCGAAATTGAAACATATATATATATATATAAATAAATTAAATTAAATTATATCAAAACCAACATGAATTTAAACTAGAAGGTCATCTATTGAGAGGGCGGAAGTGAATGGAGTCTCCCTTCTTACACAATGTAAAATTATCAGTTTCGTTTAGTTAAGTTTCCGAAGTCCGCTTTAATCATTATTACTGATACATTTTAAAAACTCAAATTTGGCTATTAAAAATAAATTCTTTAATATCTGTTTTAATTTATTTTTACTGGACACTGAGCATGCATAGGAGTAGGATAATATTTAGGTAACATTTTTATGAACAAATTTGTATCTTCATGATGGGTTTCCTGAAAGTTTGCTTTGGTTTTAGTTAGTTCTCGGGAACACTACTCAATTTTCGGTAAATATAATTCCTTTTCGAAGTTTTGTCCGATTTAACCACTGCATTTATTTACGGAATTTGATGCTATTTAAAATCAGTAGTGGGTGTAGTGGTTTAAGCCTCAAAAATATGGGTGACAATAAAAACGGCATGTAATATTCCATCGAAGTCGGTCGTGTTTTAATTTAGCTCATTAACTTTAATGTATTGTATAAAATATGTATAATTTGTCATTATACTCTATTAAATTTAAACGTATAATAATCAAAATCTACTATACAAATGCTTTACAAATTTATATATCTACTTAAGTTTAGATGTTTTAAGTTAGGAAAACTTTAAAAAAAAAAAAAATTCCGATCAAATGATTAGTGTCTTATTCAGAATGAATCAGTCAGTTATATACATTCTGGGTTCGTGTGTAAGATCAATAAAAACATTTTCGCTGGCAATAACCCAAAGTATACTAATATAATATTTATAATAATATGTACAATGTTACTTTACATACGCAGCTCACCTAACAAGTCTTACATGTCACCAGTACAATACTTATTAGTTATTACTTATTACGTTATATTCATAATAAGAAACGATATAAATGAAGGAAAACAATTTTTTTTTATTTTTGGCTGGTAATAAACAATTTACCAGTAGCGCAGTTACAGTTGATAAATAGCATAAAATACGATTACCTAATGTCAAAAACTTCTGTATATTGTGATAATCTAAGCAATAATTGCACTTTAGAGTAAAAAATATAAATGTACATTGTTGTTGTGCCAAAGTATGTAGCATTTATTGCATCTTTATTCGAAACTATCCAAAAGTAATTTTCAAAATAAACCTTACTATGGTAGGCTATGTAATTAAGTAAAGCAAACAGATTTTACTTGAAAAGTTCTTATTTCAGATTCTGAGCGAAGCGAGGAATGTATTGGTTTTACAACAATGTTTATTATTATTTTTTTTAAACTGTACAAAAATTTTATCAGAAATCTCGCTTCGATTTGTAAGCGTAGCACTTTTATCGAAAGAAAATTTGCCTGGGGTGGCCTTTAATTGATGTTATTTTTTGATTTTCCAAGTAGTTTTCAAAACAACTGGGAAAAAACGTAGGAAAAACGGGATAATTTACTAAAATAATGTTTATTGTTTTTGATTTGGTTTTTCTGTTGTAATTCAGCTAAAAAAATTCGTAGAGACTTGTAATGTAGACGAAAACCTTATATTTGCCTTTTTTACTTACATATTATGTATGGTTAAATATTCAAAACACTTGAGCCATTTTTGAGTTATTCATAGACATTTAAATTTTGTGAGTTTTTACGTAATATTTATTCGGTAGGTACTCAAACAGTTAGATCAAACAGAAACGATTGAAAATTTAACAGGAGGTCCATTATAAGTTTTACTTAGTGGTCAACAAATAAAATTGAGTTGATTGTATTTTTTATAAAAATTTTAGTATCAAATTTTTGTAAATATTATGGCCTTTTAAAACATGTACAACCATGCTCCGCACAGAATCGTTTTTCGTTAGCAATGATTAATCGTTGCATAAAAAATCATTAAATTCCTCTCTGTATTCTAACTTCCCAACTTCTCTCCTAAAACAATGGCCCATCGTACGAAGTACCTATGTTCATCTTATTAAAAATTATTTTGCTTTAAAATAACAAAATCGTTTATGAATATATGAAAAATAAAAATAAAAGTTAGTGTTAAACGATTTCAGTTATACCTAATTTCCAAACCAAAAAAATTGGGCGGTAAGTCCTTTATTTTTGTGAGAATTGTTTTCTTACAAAAAAATCACGTAAATTTCAAAAAATAAACATTCCATTACGAAGAACTTTATATTTAAATATGATTAAAACTAAAATTACATAGTGACAGCCATAAAATCATTCAAATTGTCCTCTAAAGTCGGTATAGTGTTCTAAAAAAAGCCAGTGGTTTGCATAAGTTAATTTATGTTATCGAGGTCTTTAAACAAACACGACAAATGCACTCATCAGGAAAATTGTATGATCCTTGTTCACAATAAGCCAGATTGGTATAAACTGTATATAATCAATATATATCGAATGGTATTTATGCCTGACTATTACTTATAAACCTAAATACTCATTTCCCCTTTTATACCTATATAATTTAAGAACAAATATAAGTACGTATATTGGGGCACCGGTAAACACACTTGTGTGTATTCCGTACACCGATTATACGCTATCTAATTTTTATTATTATTTTTATTTTATTGCTGTCTTATATTTCAACCGATAATAAGTCATATAAGTTTTATTATTCTTAATTTTATTCGATATTTTCCTCCTATTACATATTTTTGATAGATTACTGTCACGACATCGCGTATAGTCTGCCATTACCTTGATTATAACGGTGTGTAGGTGGTTTTATCTTTTAATTAACGTTTCAAACTATTTATTTAAATATTTTCGTACCGTTTGACAAATTGCGAACGGGAAAAAAGTTTTACGATAAATTTAACAGTTTACTGTTAAACAAAAACATCATTAGTGTATTTTTAAATAAAATAAAGTAAAATGAATTAATTTTGAACGTAAAAAAAAATGAAAATTAAAACAGCGAAAAATACTGCTGATGATTACAAATTAATTAAGAAATAAATTTTTTTTAATTTATCAACGATAAAAAAATTAATAGTTCTAGTAACTGATTAAGTATCATGTTTACAATGAACTGCAAATTCTTATTGAAACCACGTGCCTGTAGGACACGGAGGTAGAATCGTAGAAACTATATAGATTATGAATTGAATTTAAACTATAAAAATATAACGAGAGCGATTATAATGGTATTTTTAAATTCACGTGGCCAGTGTCAAAAAAAGTAGTACAATAAAAAAAGGCTTAGTTTGAAAACCTATACTTTTATTAGAATTGAATTCTCGCTGTCAAGTTGATTTGATAGACATGTAAGTCTAACCTGATGGCAATTACAAGTTCATATTAACCTATGAAGTTAATTTTACGAAATTCATGATCTTAGACCGTTAACTTATGAACGGGCTAAAAAAGTAGCCTATTTATTAATTTTAATTATTAATTTTTACAACATTTGGAGCTTTGGCAATTTTAAATTTTATAAATCAATAATGGAAGGGAATTCACAAAAAAAGTTAATATTGAGTTGTGTAATATGTGGGAAGAACCTAAGATTGTTTACGGAAAGCCTAGGTACTTATATAGTCAAGGATCAATAAAAGGGCCAACCAAGGCATACGAAATATATTCGCAAAATGATTAGCCGATAGTCATTCTAGAAATTAGAGCGATGGTCTTAAGTTCGTTCAATTTATGAAGAATTGAAGTTTTCACCACGGTATAAAAGGTCCACCAAATTTTCGTTTATATTTATTAAAAAACCTATTTGTTTTATTTATTTATTATACAGTACCCAAATCTTATTGAGCACTGTACATAATGCCTTGACAATGTAAACTTATTTCAACTTTGCCCTCGAAAATTGGGCAAATTCCCGACTCCATACTTTGCCCGTAATATATTATATATACATATAAACATTAGGCATGTATAATTTTTAACATAATAATTTAAATCAAATGTTTTCATTAGTAATTAAGGGGATTGGTGACGATGTATATTTTAATCGCTTCGGACCTAAAAGCCAGATAAAACTGTGGGAATTATGTTTGTCAGATTTCAGTTTTTAAAATTATTTATTTTACTGGATATTGAGAAAAAAACTGATTGTATTTTTAAAAAATTTTCAAAACTATACTTAAATTATTTTACGTTTTAAAATAAAGATAATTACAATTTAAAAAAGAATTCCAACATATCTTAATAAAGAATCATAATACTGTTTCGAAATTGAAATCCATCAAACGAAATTTCTACAGTTTTGTCTGGTTTTTCGATCTAAAACGTCATATTTGTTCGTAAAGACGGTCGTGCCCCTTTCCCTTAAATGAGTATCGGGCAATAAATTAGTGTTATCTTTTAGATGGTTAAAATGAAAACAAAGTGTTCACGTTTTTCAGTGGAGAGAATTTGGAAATTCATCACCAATCCCCCTAATTAGTTTTTAATTAGACATCTGTATGTACGTTTACCTGCGTATTAATAATAATATTAATAACGCTGAAAATGCGATCCGGGTCTCATTGTAACAGCAGTGGTCGCATAAATAATTCTATTATAATACTATTATAACCACGAACAATTAATAATTGTTTATATACTTGTTATTTAAAGTCAAACAAATTAAAAATGGCCTAATCGAAACAGTTATAAAAACAAAGCTCTGTATTTTTAAACCATGTAATTAAAAGTACTTACCTGGTTTTTATTTGAAAAAAATTATCAAATAATTCGATTTTATTCGCATCAGGTACAATAAATTAGGCGGAACACAATAATTCACGTGTTTTACATCGTGTGGCGGTTTTTCTTTTTTAATACCACTCGTGGTTTACAAATTATCAAATTGCAAAAAACTTCGAACAATATGATAATATATTATTCATCATTCTAAATATTATTATTGTTATTATTATTTTTTTTTTTTACGGTTCACAGACGATATTCACATTAATCGTATATTTTATCAAATTGTATATTGAAATTATTAAGTAGGTAGGTACCAATTAATTATATAAATACGACGTTTGTATTTCAGTGGATTAATTAGTTTATCTGTATGATTCGAATTAATAACACGGTTTTTCTTTTTCAAAATTAAAAATCTATGATAATTATGATGATTATACAAGAGATCGCAGAGTACTATTATATGCAGTATATAAAATGGTGGGTATTTAAATCGTATTATTATGATTATATCTGATTATATAAATGAGTTTGATTAATTTAGATATTGTCATTGTACATTTGTACCGCAGTATCTTAATGTCAGGTAGATACTTAAATTTTAGTCATTTTTTTTGTTTTAAATTATACTATGTATAATTTAGAAGACACCATGTAACAAAATTAATTAAAATACTGCTCAAGCGCGAGTCGTGTGTTAGAGTTACACATTTTATAAAGTACACATGTAAGCTGTCTTGTTAAAAATACTTTTAAAATATATTCAGAATACTTAAGAAAAAAAAATTTTTTTTTATAATAAATACAAATATGCACGTGTGCAATACGTGTACTAACCTAACGTGTTCAAGGTTAAGGGTTCAACACCCACTCAAATTTTCATAAATTTACGATGAAAGTAAATTTTTAATAGAGTTTCAAAAGTGGTTTCTTTCAATGAGGTAGATAAATACAATTTTGGTTTAATTTTTATTGTATTACTAGATAGTAAGTATATATTGTTACTATTGTTATTACTAATTTTTTGTGGTTTTCCTGCTTTTAGAAAATTATACTGATACGGCGATATTGCATAGTCCGCATTATCATCACAATAATATGAATTACGTTATTATTTAGGTTATATTCACTAAAAAAATAATAAATGTATAATTTAGTAATAGGTCCCTAAAAGGCTAAAATTCAATGTTATAAAATATTAACATTTTTAATAAAAAATAAATAATCCTACAACTAAAAATATGTAAATTCTTTTGCTATGAGAGTATGAAAATGTAAAATCTTAACAACCCCCCCCCCCCCGAAATATTTTATTTCGTAAAAGTTCCTGTTTGTTAAAAATATTCAAAATATTTTTTATTTTGCCTTGAAAGAATTCTACATTCAACAAATTACAAATACACATCATTTAAACTTATTTATCGTTAATTAATTTTAATAGGTTTGCTCACAAATTCTGAGAACCATTATAAAATATTATTTTAGAAATAATTCAAATTTAAAATCATAAATTATGAAACTATTGTAATAAAAACGGTAACATGAACAAAATTAGTTTATATTCTAAATAATAAAAAAGTATTTAAATACTTAACAGGGCGGCATTTAGGTATAATAGACAATTTGATCAAAACGTATGACCATGAATTTTCTCAATTATTAGGTTGTTACTAGGACCAATGAACTATCCTTACAATTTACGGAGCACGGGGCATAACTATTATAGCAGGGTCTACAAAAAAAAAATTTGGTTGCTTTCCACACAAAAACAATATTTTATTGCACTCCTGTAGGCCGTAACCTTTCTCATTTTAAAATGTAAACATACGTAAAATATTTACACCTGTTACTTTTACCAGTACTTCACCTTACCTACTTTTATAATATTATAACCTGTTACCTTTATTTTATCCTTAGGTAAATAATATGCTTTTTATTGTGATGAAATGAACCATTCCTATCACTAGCATATTGACCAATCGAACAGTTTACATTAATGATTTTTATCAGTTGTATTCTAAAATTTGTAAATTTTAAAATTATTATATTTAAAAAACAAATAATCAGATAACAAAAGATATATCACATTATCATGCATACAATTTAATTGTAGACATTTTCCTATTCCTCATAATCATTCTACGGAAACTGCTTGATAAAAATAATGTATAAAAATTTGTTTAGTACACTATACAGAGTGTAACAGGACTAGTCATTTATATTATCATAGTGTATACTGTATAATTATTTTCAAATATAAATCCAAACTACATTTTGTATTATATGTAAATTGTTGTATTTCAAGAAAACGTTCACCCCAATTGAAATAAGTTAATTTGGTTTTAAGTATTATATTCTTAGCATTATATTTTTATTATAAATGTATACAACACTTTTTTGTTCTCATTTGTATCTAAAACGGGCACTCGGCGTTGTTAAAATAAATAAATTAAACTTAGGATTTTTCAAGTGCATAAGCACGGTGACTAAACGAGGATTTTAACGAAAATTATAAAAATCACGGCTCTTATTGTCTGCAGTTGTTAAAGTGGATTTTATTTTGTCGATGTAATTCAATGAAAAGTAATTGGAAAGGCTTGAAATTATCATCAAATACTCATATTAACATTTTGTGACCCATATTAAGTGGTACAATTTTGAAAATATTCTGACACTTTTTAAGAAAGTTTTGTCTTCATAAAATTGCATAACAATATGAGACGACAAAACACGGAAATATTTGACGTAATTTTATTTTTAGTTACAAATCAATATAATTATCAAAAAAATATTTAACCAAACTCCTCTCAGAATCGTTTTTCGTTTGCAATGTTTTTTTTTTGTACAGTTACCCTGGGTGACTTAGTTTATTTAGGTTGGGCAATATATATTATATATAGAATATAGATACACTCTGTATATCATCCTATTTTATCGACTTCTCACCTACCTACAACAATACGCCCACGTTACGAAGAGACTGGCATTTTTTCGTGGTTGATAGTAAACGGCAATGTTTTATACTCTTGACTGATTAATTACAGGCAGAAAAAAAAACCCATAGTCAAATCAATAGATCCTTCGCTACGCAAATTCTTAAAACGAACATAATATTTCTATTTTCACCACATTCTTTTATCATATGATTAAAGAATATTAAATTATAATTTGATATTATCATACATTAGGTCCATTAATGTACTTAAGGGGAGTGGGAACTTTAGGCAGTGGCGCATCTAGGATTTTTATGCCCCGCGCCGGAAAAAAACAAATTTCCACCTCCCTTAATTAACATTGGTGCACCTATATATTTAAACATTTTATATATTCTTCTTAACTTTTTAAAAACGCCTCCTAGAATTATTTTAATTGTGTCTTCTGAATCAATGACCCTATTCGCCAAATTGCAGCTAATTCTCCCCTCCCAAATTAAGTCCTCGTCAAATGAATAAGTATTAAGTATACACATTGTCGTATATCCATCGGTATTATTTATGTTGAAACTGTCGAATCGGACGCATCGCGTGATAATGAAAAATTGCAGGTTAGGAAGTTTATTGATCGGTTTTGCGGAGCAATATATAGAGGCTGGTTTGACTGTACATTACAATGTCGACGTATTGCCGGCGAAGACTATTGTGCATTACAGACGATTTGTTTGATTGGACTCGATCGATTGCTGGCAAATAATTAACGTATTACCGGCGCCTCGTGCAAGTGTACAACGACAACATACTATAAATTATATTATTTTATCATAATGCACATTGGTTGTCGACAAATAAGCACACGATGACGTGTACGTAGCGCCGTGTGACGTTTGGGAAAGTTTATCGACTGAAGGGCAAAATTAATGATCTATAAATATGTTACACAATGTCAATTTATTGCCAATCTTTTATGCCAATCCAACGATATCCCCGGGGAATTTTATGTGAATCTTATTTCTATTCCAATCATTATTATAAGTATTATTTTTACACTTAAATTGTCACCAAATTTTCCCTACGACCCTAAACGTCTATTAACTTTTCATTTTAAAATGGGAACTCTCCCCTTTCAATTTTCAACACAAATTTCAAGGGAAAAAATTTTTCTGAAAATGACGACAGTTATATGCACATTACACAACACTATTTATGAGTTATAATTTTGGTTATAACAGTTTAGAATATTTGGAACGGAGTAATATAGGGAAAGAGTAGGTATATTGAATTGATTATGATAAAAAAATCACTTTGTATAATATACATATATATATATATATATATATATATATATATATAATTCACAAATATGTACGCATATTACACTCGATTACGTATAAATTACTAGCATGAATTAAAACGAATTCGCACGAAGTGATTTCTGATTCGCCCAACTGGTTGGCACATGGCTCTACGTTTTTTTGATATTTGAATTATTCATAATTTTACAAATATCAATCACAATAGCTGCAGTTTAGTAATTATGCACCAATACATGCAGTGATGAAACCTCTATTTCACAAAACTCACAACGGTTAGGTAAACATTTTTTTCAAGATAGATAACCACGAAATTTTTCATTCGAAAACGTATATAATAATTAATTTGCTGACGTGATAACGAAATGAACTATTAAAAAAAAAAAAAAAACGACCCGCCTAATAGTTTTCTTAATCGTATATTATATCGTATCGTGTATTATTATTATTTTTACCGATTATAACAGTCGCACCTATGCATATGATTTTGTGCGATGCGCGCTTGTTGTGAGTTTATAGACGCGAAAGGGGGTGCGTTTTTCAATTTAACGTAGGTATTTTTTTTCCTATACACATACGTATATGTATATTACAGTCACCGTCTCTCAATATGATAGTTCGTTCCACCGATGTTCCACTGTTGTATTTGAATGGTGTCGCTTCAGATTTTATCGTATATGCACCTACGAGTATAATAATATAATATTACGTTCGAGAATCCGTCAACTTGAAAAGTATTATATAATATTTATGCTGAAAAGACAGGCGGGCGCACACTTTACGCGTGTCCCGTGCGCGTATAAAATATTATGTCATCGTGGTATCATAGACTGGACGGATACACTTTAATTTCGAATTTATTGTGAGTATATGGCTGTATACAGCCATACACTGCACTTATTATTATCGAATTAATTATTGTTTATACATACATATACACAATATGTTTTGTATACACCGAGTGTAATCGGACTACCTATTTAACAATCATAATACATTTTTTTTTCTATTGAATATTTTTAAGTTTTTTTTTTTTTTTTGTTATTAATTAGTAGAGCTCTACTCGATTATTGTTATGTTTTATTAATTTACAACTAAAAATAAAAAAATTTCAATTTCTATTCAAATTTTAAATGCAATTTTACATTTTTCATTTCGAATTCCTAAACATTAAAACTGAACTAAAAAATATTTAAATTATATTGCTACAATGAAAAATAATTTTAAAATAAAACTTAAAAATATTCAATAGTTAAAATGTTATTATACATTTGTTAAATAGTTAAATAATCTCTGTAGCGTGCCACATTATTATTATTATTATCCTGATGAGCAATTTTTATTTAGCGTGTTTTTTTCAATATAGTTGGTATTTCTGTATATACTGCATACATTATAATATTTAACGTTCGAGAACGATTCAAAACACCGTGAAAACCCGCGTTTTCGACGATTATTCGTGATTTGATCACATATAGTCATGGCAATCCAGTGCTGGATAGGCCCCATTTGCACAATTCCACCAAGTCCGTCTATTCTGCGATCAATTGCATTTTCCATTTTCTCTAACTATCGCCGACAGATTGTTATAACTTGTTGAAAAGTGTTTTATCGGAAAAAGAATTCGTCGGAAAGTATTTGTTTTGGAAATAAATTTTACCAGACGACGTATGAAAAGTTGCAGCAATAAGCAACCACGAAAGTTAGACCTTTATATTTTTCAATGAAATACGGTTCCGATAAAATGCGTTTCGGACAAAATATTTTTCGACTCTTTATATCTCTTCTTCCATTATATCCAACCTATATCGCGTCGCTGCCCGGTTGGCCGCTTTTTTTTCAGGTTTTCAACTATAGGACTATAATATTTCTATGTGTAAGACTTCCATTGCAGTTTGCCAAATATGTCCGTCCCATTCCAATCGTTTGGCCTTTATTAGGAAGATATTGATATTTGGCTCGTTATACTATATCTAGGTACGACCTTTAGTTCGGCGTTTTTCGCCTCTCGTGTTCCCCGTTTTCAGTTTGTACAAACAGGGCTGGTGTATTTTTCACGAAACTTTTGTTTCGGAGACAAGTCATTTTCTTTACCGTGGAAATATAATACCATACGGATTGACCATCAAATATTTCTTACAATATTTAAGCTGCTGAAGTTGGTTGCTATAAATAATTGCATATGCATTAATAATCGGTATAACAAAACAAAACAAATTAAATAATATTATTATGTACACATAATAAAATATAATTATATATATAATAATATAATGTAAATGAGTAGATACTCGTTTACAGAAACATAATATCAGTAGCAGGTTTTCAACATTTTTCTGGGAGGGGGTTCTGAAAAATTATGTGTCTTTTTTTTTGAACGATATTTTGTTGAAATTATATCGGTGTTTAGGGGGTCCACACCCCCTGAAGCTCCCCTCCGTAAATCCGCCACTGTATAATTTTATTTATTTTTGTTTAATTTGTATGCAGTTTTCGGTGTTGCAGTACTGCAGTAGTTACGTATAAACTCGGAGCTGTGTAATATAAATATGAACATATTATTGCACTCACACAACCAAAATAATATCATAGTACATATTCATAAAATACTGCTGAACAAACAATAAAATTAAAATCAATGAATAATGCTTATATGGCGATTTTAAATGTTTTTAAACTTCTATAATCTACACTGCTGTAGTATTTTTAAAATGTTCTTGATATAAATATCAATGACGTCTATTTAAAAATAGATTTTGATTGTAAAATTTGAATTTATATTATAGTACCTAAAATGTCTTAAAATATGGTTGTCTACGTGAAACTTAAATATAGCGACTTTAATAACACTCATAGAGGAAACCATAACCTAAATTTTGTTTTATTTTGAAAGTTGACTTTAAAATTTTGAGGATTCAACACTATAAAACAATATGACATATAGGTAGATACTTTATTATTGCATAAGCAGTACTAATTATTTAGGAGTGTTTTTTAATAAGTTTCTGATATTATTTTAAATTTATTTTCTAATTTTATGCTGCGCAATATTGTTCAAAGCCTTTCAAAGTCTTTCGTCAAGCAATGGTTTATCGTTGCTTATAGATATAAATGAAATAACATTATGTAACCTACCTTCCAAACTTCTCACTTACTACAGAGACCGCTCCCATCCCCATCACTCTTTTTTAATTTTAAAGTAAATAGCGGTTGATCTATATCAAATGATATACAGGAATTCAGTAAAATACTTTAACTATTGAACTTTACTGTATATAGTATATTATACAGTAAACTTTAAGTTTACTGTATTTATAATAGTTTATTTATTTTTCTTATTATTATTATTGTAAAAAAAAAAAACGATTATACGTTCTTATCTTTTATTTATTATCGGATTTATAATTGATGTCAGCATATTGGTTTTCCCTCGTTTATGCTTATAGGAATACAGACAGTTTTCAATTATTTAAATAATTTTTTTGTCGTCATATAAATTATATATGACACATTTATAGTTTTCATATTTATATTATACAAATTTAAAAACTACTGCGTGGATAAGAGCGTCCGTAAAAAGTGTTCGCGGTCTACCAGTTGGTGGTGATCCATGCTATATACCTGTATATTGGCTATACTACTTGGCACTTTAAAAGTCTTACCCGTGGTTTTTTTTTTTTAACAAATTGTTAATAATAAATTATTAATAGGTATATATGTGTTACCCGAAATCCGTCAAAACTAGTTTAATTAAGATCTTCACTGGTAAAATCAGATTTAACTTATTTTTGTTTAGTTAGAACTAGTTTTTTCTGAAATATATTTGTGAAAACTAGAATTATCCGTTATGAAAATCCGTAATTTTTATTTTGATAGTTTAAACTAGTTGCGCGAGACAAACACACACGTAGGTACAAGGACTTCAACGAAGACTAACGAACTGGGCAAAACTGAAAAAACGGGGACAAAATTTACAGCGGCCGAATTATTATCTATTAGGTATAATCAGTCGAAGTTATCATATCTAAAAGTTATTTGATGGACGACTGGTTAAAGTTATCTTATTTGATTTGATAGCCGGCCAGTCGAATTTATGGAGCAATATGTATAGATCGTGCGTGTTTTAGATAGTGCAGGTTGGAATACATGAGTTTCAGTAAAAACTAGTTTTCACTGATTTATTTAAATCTTTAGTTAATTCTAGATTTAATTAGTCAAAACTAGAATTGACTAAAGGGATTTGTGGAAACTAGTTTTGACAGATTTCGGGTATTAATTGTAATATATACAATTAACAAGGCTTATAACAGATAATTTAATCAATTTAAATATGTGTATAAATACGCAGGTCACTTTTTTACTCAAAATATTCTTTACAGGAAAAATAATTTCATTATTTAAGTTTGAAGTATGGATAGATTATTTGGGAATTATGTATCAAAATATGATAGCATAGTAAATATTGTCATTTTTAATTTTGTGAAAATCTATTGAATCATTTGAATCCTGAATATACTATTGGAAGTACGAAAACACAGTTTGTTATATTGCTCGTTAGACAGACAGAAACGAAAAAATATAACTGTGACACTCTCTCAAAATATTCGTATATTATTGCAACTTGATTTAATAATTAAAACAATAATTCATTTTTAATATATTTTATAATTATTATATAGTTCATCTGTTACACAAATGTCAAAAATGTTGATTCTTATATTGTTTCCGAGTGTATAACAGGTATATACTATATTATAGTACCTCTGTGTGTGCAATGCCACGGCGTATGTTGTGAGTATGTTGAATCGATGACAGTGGAGGGGAGAGGAGAGAAATAATTAACGAAAGGCGAAAGTAGGATATACAGAGTGTCTCACGAAGATATACCTATTGTATTATCTTCGGGGATAATAAAGATAATCAAATTCTGTGTTTTTGTATATTACTCACAGAAATAAGGACTACAAATATTTATATTGTAATTAATTTGTTATGCTATTAAAGTTCAGATAAAAGCACCTATAATATTATGCAGCAGGCTGTAATCGAATTCTCTAATTGATTATTATCATTACGATAAATTGACTTCACACTTATTTTCTGTGAACTTTAAAAAATTATTAAAAATCGTGAATTTAATGAAAATAAAAAGTTGATACATCAACATTTTCAAAAAAAAATTTCTGTTAAATGGCTATCTTCACATTTTAAAAAAATAATAAAATAAGTAATTTTTTAAATTTTTTACCGAAACATAAAAAAAATGAATTGCAACATAAATATTTGTAGTCCTTATCCCAGTGAGTAATATAAAAAAAAAACCAGAATATTATTATTTTTATTATCTCCGGAGACATTACTATGGGTATATCTTCGTGGGACACCCTGTATTATTACATTGTAACGGTTATATTGGTTTTTATTTTATGTGTGTATATCTATATATATATATATATATAATAAGGATACAGGCTGATGTCTCGCGGTGATCGATAATTATCATTATTATAGTAGGGATATTCTCTAGTGGGGATCCACCGTATTTGTATACTCGACAGAGAAGAGATGCTCGTAAATTTCAATCGGATTAGACTGGACGTGTAACACTATTATAATATAGTAGCACCGTGTATCGAGAACTGTCAACACGCGGACACCGCTGCGGTCTTCTCTTGCCGATTCCATTGCACACTCCGGGTCGAAATACAATAAAAACGTCTTCTCCAGGTGACATAATAATAATAATAATATCGAATATAAGTATCCAAAAATCTTGATAATAATACCTATAGCTACGTGGTGTCATAGGTACACGTGTGTAGTGCAGTTATAACCGCACGAATGCTGTAAAATGCATCATGCACTGATTTTTTTTATTTTCGCCCCAGTTTCAATACGTACCATGAGAAACGGTGTGTAAATTACCCGTGTACCATTTCATTTGGCAAAATATCAGTCAAATAATATATGAGTATAATAATATATATTTTTATTTTCTTACGTTTTTCTGGATTCGTCTTGTTTTATTTTTTCACTAGACTGTATACCAGATGTGACGACATTTATTCGGTCTATGTTTCATTTGTTATTATTGTTTCAATAATCGATTTTTATTCTTGTTATCCTATTTATATATATACGATTTGAAGTTTTCTCGAGGGATGAAAGAAATGCGTATCGATTTATTTTTATTCGTAAACATTTTGATTCGGATACATAAAGAAGGAATGTACTCTAAAAGTTTTATCTATACTTATATGATTCTCTGTTGAAGACGGAAAATCGTTCGAGTTTCCGAGTTTCCAAACGGTTTACCTAATAAAAATAAAATAATAAAAACAAAAAAAAATTTCAACAAAAACATATTGAATAATATGTGTAAAGAAACACGATTTAAAATAATTATGAATTATGAAACCGTTGTTAAATAAGTATTGAATTCGCAATGAAATCCATTTTGGAAACTTTTTAAAGTTTTTTTTTTTTTAATTCTACTTAAGACTTTAAACTATGATGCAAAATTAATAACTAATAACTATAAAATCGTTGACTTACATTTTTTAAATTGAAAGTATTAAAACATTGATATAAAAATCGTCTTCTTCTCCTTCGTCTTCATCCCAACTATTAAGAGTCAGCCACCCCGATTGAACCGACTTCCCACATCGTCCTCACATACACCCACCGTCCTCATACCGTTATTAATCGCATCCAACCCCTTCTTTTTCGGTCTTCCTCTCCCCCTCTTTTCTCCTACGTTTATTTTCATTACAATTCTCCCTGTCTCTGATTCCTCTCTCCTCACGTCATGTTCAAATCATCTCAGTCTATTTTCTCTCATTGATATAAAAATAATCTTTTTAAATATCTGACCAATATTATGATAATAATATTATAATATTAGTATGACATTTTAGATTCTGGAGGAAGGAATGTATTGATTTTACAATGATGTAATTTTTTTTTTATCTATGAACAAATTTTCTGTCAGAAATTTTACTGCAATTTTGAAGTGTAGCACTTTTTTTGAATGAAAATCTGGCTGGGATGGTACTCTAAAGAGATCATTTTTGATTTTTCCATGGGTTTCATAATAAATGGGAAAAGTCGGAAAAATTTAGGAAAAACGGGAAAATTTACGAAATGTATTATTTTTAAATCGTAGACATTACGACCTTTTAAAATATGTATAACTGACTCAGCTCAAAATCATTTTTAATTAGCAAATAATAAACGTCGTGTACAGATATACATTAAATTCCCCTCTGTATCCTATTTTCCCAACTTCTCACCTACAACTGTGGCCCACCCATCGTGTGAAGTATGAGTATCTTTTTCCGGTTTCTTTAAGTAAGTAGAATTTATATATTTGAGTATTATAGGATATTAAATTTTAATACCTATATGATAATTATTATAATTTCGCATTTTGAACTAAAAAAAAATTAATTTTTACCAAGGTCAGGTTATTCGAATTACGGTATTCTTAGTTCTCGTGTGAAACCGACGAATATAGAGAAGTTCCCCTCAATCCCCGAAAAAGCGTCCAGAACTTCAAAATCGTTAAATGAATTATAAATACGTATAATTATTATTCGAACGTGTTCATATGAAATTACAACACTTAGTCGTTCGTTGATATTACGATAATTGTGCGAATAATTACAGAATTATTATAAGTTATTGGAGATAAGAATATCTACGCAAAATAAACTTAAGAGGTCCATCAAACGTACTGGCTATTATGCAATTATATACTCCATAATAATCAAACGGATTTGTACTTGGAATGATAATAGTATGATATTATTAAATTAATAATGTAATTAATTGATTAAAAAAAAAAAAAAAAATAGGTAAGTGTTCAGAATTAAATAATCTTAATATTAAAAATAAATAAATACCTATTATTTAATTTACGAGACTATTTCACGTTATTAAAATTGTTTCGGTTTTTTTTTTCATTTAGATATATCTCGTATTGTCGACTTATAAACATCCACACGACAATTATTGTTTCGAAAGAAAACTCTCCAAAAATATACTATTAATGTGCGGTGAATTATGAATGAGCTTGTTGAATAAATATAATAATAACACAAAAACTAAAAACATAAATCATAAAACATTAAGTTCTTTAAATTTTTACAAACGCAGAATTTAAATTATTTTATTTTATCATTTTGTGTCTTTCGTTAATTGTATGTAATTAAAAGAACATTAGAAAATTAGACAATTTTTGCGATAACTGCGATTATTGAAATAGTTTATACTACAATTTGATTAAATAACTATATAAGTGTTTACCGTGTTGGTAAATTATTATGAATTTACGATCACTAACTGCTATTATTTTAAAGTGGACAAGTTTTTGACAGTTTCCCGATTAAGTCTCTTATCAACATTATTGTCCGTATTCTTTTTGGGCGACTAATCGCAGTGTTATAATTGTTATCAATGGTCGTGACTTTGTATCGTAAGTGTAATATTATATTATCCAAATTTTTGAAATGTGACAATACAAACATTATTAATGAACGCTATATTGACATATTATTATTGATATATTGCTATATTGGCACGTTAAATATTATAATTTCATAATATATTCAAACATTTTCAATTCGTGCGTAGAATTACTGCAGTATTCATACAGTGAGTTCCGTAAATATTCGAATAGATAAAAATTTCGGCGGGGAGATCAAAATGATGTTCAATAACTTATATGCCAAAGTACACTCGTAAATTTGTAACTCGAAGTAGAAATATTGTTCTATTTTTGAAAACATTTCAGAGGTCCGGCCTCCCCCCCCCCCAGTTATAGCCTTATACATGTATGATATAATTATTGTATTATAATTTTAATTTTTATAGCAATTTTATCGAAAATCGAAACAGATACTGAATATGTATTAGTATTACTGAAAAAAAAACCTTTCCAATGTATGATCTTGTAGGTAATGAATTACTATTACAAGTCACACCGTGATTTTATCTAATCAATAACATAGATTATACAAATTTCTTTATTATCGCGAATCGGCCTAATAGCAGTAGAGATTATCACTTAAAACCTTTATATTTTGGAAGCTTTTACTCTGTTGTCACTTAAAACTATCGATGTAACGAAATTCGCGCGGAAATTTTAACTTAAGACCACTACTATCCTCCCGCCCAAAACTTAAAAGTGGAATAGCTCATTAACGGGTTGACGGAAATCAAAAATATCATCCCCAAAAATAAGGGGTATGAACAAAATGATAACGTAACATTTTAGAACTATTTGATTCTTATGATTTTAAAAAAAAAAAATGTCGAAAAAAGTTAATACTTTCCGAGATAATTAGTGTTTCCGGTTAAATGAATCACCTTGTAAAGAACCATTACAATAATAATAAGTCAAATTAGGTACTTTGGTGCATCATTTTTTCCTTAATCATAGAACAATTTGTTATACATTTTTCGGTTTGACCAAACCGATTTTAGTTGAAGTGCCTACTTATATAATAATATACGAATTCTACCACGTGTATCGAAAAATAAATAGTTCTAATATTTCGTTCAAAGCTATTACATGTTGCATATAATACGTTTCTTATATGCATTTAATTTATGTAATATATTTTGCATCACATTGCACTAATGCGCTACCTGTATTATACACCATGTGTATTAATATTTATACAATAATATAATGCTAATACATTTTATAGATTTACATTAATATTTAATATTACAATAGATTATCTATGCGAATTCCATTGAAGTTTTAGTTGTTAGGTATTAGGTAGGTAGGTAGGTAGGGTAACCTATAGTATATTAATAAGAAGGTTGGTATACCATTTTTTTTAAAATTTATTCAAATTAAATTGAAAACAAAAATATTACATAATATTATACTTTTAATAATGCGCTGCACACTTATAATAATAATTATCATTTCAAATATAAATAATTTACAATATAATAATCATCAATATGTATTATTTATAACAATATGTTGTATAGAATACTTTAGAGTTTAGATATAAAAGTATAATCACATATTATTGCACATTGCTATCTACGAAAATAATATTTGAGTGCATCGTATTTTTTTAAATAATAAGATAATAAGAATCAATTCACAATACAAATCAATTAATATAAATACAAATTTTAAAAAAATAAATATATTTGTTAGCGTATATAAAATTCATTAAAACTATGACCACGGAGAGTTTGATAAGTTTCAAAACGGACCTTCATTGAAATTAATTGGAGACCCCTGCACTATGCAGATGAATTGACTTAACACTTTTATCCATGTACAACCTGAGCAATTTGGAAGTGTAATTATTTAGTTATTCATTTAATATTAAAATTTATTTAAGTTGCTAGGGAGTTGGCCACTCGTAAATGTTTTCCGAAATCTGGTAACGGAATCTTTGGGAAAGTAGGGCTTCAGACTTTTCAAATTATTTTTTTCTTTAATTCCCTGTGGGGGGAAACTTTTGAGTGTGCAGCTGCTTCTTGAGTAGTTTGGTTGGCTAAATATTTTGTGTTATTTTTTTTAGAATTTACGAATTTTGATTTTAAAATCAAACAAATTTAATAATATTTTTGACAACACAAATTCAAAAATAGATCGTTTTAAAATAACATAAATAAATAATGGAATGAAAAATTGTTTGCTGATAATGATAAGATCTGAACAAAAACCTATATTATTGTGTATGCAAAAACCTATAAAATAACTCTGTTCGAAAATCTCGTGATCACAGTAATTTATTAAGATATTTAGGTGTTGATATTTCCATAACGATTTGATGGACTAATCTAATTTTTGCACTAAATATGTATTCAAGGTAGATAAATACAAATCCGATAAAAACTCAATTTTGCCAGAAATTGGCTATGAGCCCTTTCTGTAATATATTATATATGTAATGATATAAAATACTATATTCAATAATACTTATAATAGTACTACTAATAATAAATTTGATTACTATAAAGAATTTATGTAAATTGCACTACAAATTACAAAAAAAATGTTGGAGGGTGGGGGTATGTGTCCAGGAATTCAAGCGAATTTCTTCCCATGCGTCTGGTAAATTATACGTATACACTACACAAGTTTATTGAACTTTAAAAAATCTTTCAAACAATAGGTACTTAATTAACTACTATGAAAATAAATATTTTGTTTTAGTTTTCCATGATTTTGTACGTGTCGTATCCATACTTATATAATATTACGTATACAGGCAGTAAAATGATAAATTCCAGGTAAGTAGAAAAAGGAGTAAATACGTAGGTATTATTTGAATTAATAAGTAAATGTTATACATAATATAGTCCTTCATGATTCAGGAATTTCCGAAAAAAAATTTCAAATTACGAATCTTGCATTTAAAAGGATAAAAATACAAATTTTGGATTTTACAATTTTCGAATTTCAAATTTAATCATGAGTTTTTCTTTTTCGTTTTTAAATATTTGTTTTTTTGTTTAGAGTAAATACATATTTTATAATTATTATTAGTTTTTGAATTTTATATTTTATTTATTCAATACAGTTTGTTATTTTATAGCATAAGACTATAAAAATGCAAAATATCCGGATTTTTCTCATCACTGATTTAAATTGCCATATTAATCCACATTTATAATTTAAAGTAGCGACGAACGAACAATTTCGGGGAGGGAGAACCGCAAAAGATATCCTGTTTAGCCCTAGAACTTTTATTAGTCAATTTATTACTTAAAACTAAAGTACAAATGAATGGGTCATTTATGAAACCTAAACCCCCTCCCACCTGTGTCCAAAGTGATTGTATGTATTATTTTGTCTATTTTATGTGGTTCTATGTGGAAGTGTAGGGTTTTTACCCCGTATGATGCATAAAATTATTTAAATTACCTACCTATTTTGTATTTGTAATTTATTAGTTAATTATGGTTATCTACGTAGTTATTATTTATTGTTAATATACCCATTCTAGGTTAGGGTACCTTACATTTGTTTGTGCCTTTGAATCGATATCGTTTTAATATTTAATATTTGTAGATGTTTCAAAGTTATTTTTTGAGTCTTATAATAATTTATTATAACGGTTTTTACATATAAATATATATACGATACAAAACTGAAGGTCAGTGGGTAATAGGTATAATTTGTTTATATCTTGTCGTGTTGTAATTAATGTTTAAAATTTAAACTACCTATATTTTTTTGTGTATAATATTTTATTCAGACCACGATTTCGAAAAAATATAATTAAAAAAAAAAAGACAATTTCATTCGCGTTAGGTGGTTTACTTTTATTCAAAAAATTTCGTTCACGTTTTATGACAAAAATTATCACATGACCGTTAATCATTTGTATTCTTTGCATTGATTTTATGCTTTGCTGTGGTGAGTTTTTTTGGTGGAGCGAAGAAACTTATGGTTTTACAAAGATGTTTATTATTTATTTTTTTTTATCTACAATTTTTTTACCAGAGGACTTGCTTCGATTTTTACGTTTAGCAATTTTTCTAAATGGAAATCGGTGTGGGAAGGTATCTTAGACAAGCCGTTTTTCCATTTTCCCCGGAGTTTTTTCAAAAAATGTGAAAAACCGAAAAAAACGGGAAAATGTACGAAATATATTAGTGTAATATTACAAAGTTTTTTTTCTCTTTTCTCTGGACAACTTTTCTACCATCAATTTTGCTACAGCTTTTAATGATAGTAATGTTTCTGAAAGTAAATTTCACTGGGGAGGTACTTTAAAGAAGTCATTTTTCCATTTTCTTCGGAGTTTTCTCAGCAAATGTAAAAAACTGGGAAAACCGGAAAAATCGACACAACATTAATCAAATATTATTACAAAATTTTAAATTTGACTATAATTTTTTTTAAAAAATTAAAAATAGCCATTTTGTAAAATAGACTTTTAGAAAATTTTTGGTTGTTAAAACTTTTATTAAAGTATGGTCTTTTATTTTCTATGATTTTTTGCAATTTTGAATATTACCTATTGTGGTTATTCAGTTATCAGTTATAAGTCATGATTTTCTTTTCCGTGAGTTAAAATCATGCAATAATATTATCATATTATAGTTATGAGGTAATTTCAATCAATCAATAATGATAATTTATATTGATAAACAATATTGTTATGATTGAAAAGAAAATTATTCAAATTTTTAAAAATCGTAGAAAATAATAGACCATACTTTAACAAAAGTTTCAACTACCAAAATTGTTTAAAAATCTATTTTTCAAAATGGCTATTTTGAATTTTTTTAAAAAAATTATAGTCAAATTTTAAATTTTTTATTTTAAGTCCCCCTCCCCCTAAAAAATATTCATATGTATATATATATATACTGCAGCGCTGAGGCATTCTAATTATTTAAAAAAAAAATGATATCAAAATTATTGAATAGAACAAAAATTATTAAATTTGTCGAATCCTCGTGGGACACTCTGTATATTGTTGACAAAGTATCACTATCTACTGAACTCCGCTCAGAATCGTTTTTTCATAAACAATGGTTTATATCGTTGCTTCAAATTACCTATGACAGTGGCTGCACCCGCCTCCATTATTCTAGGACGTCTTTCTTTTTCTGTATACTGTGTATACATATATCGTTATAGTTAATTAATTTTTATCTTAATTCGTATATTCATATTTGATATATTCTCGCTGTACTGGTAATATAATCGGTAGCTGAAGGGGTATTTAAAGATGCGAGTTCGACCTAAGTCGAAACGTAATTGGTTTTGATAGCTCTTTTGGTTTAAACCCGATACTGTTCAAAAGAAGTTAGTGTCCTAATAAATATAAACCTAGGCCCTTATCGATGAAAAGTCATCATGAGTTTCATATTTACATACAACTTGGGCTAAACTCAGATAGGGTCTGTAAACACGTGTATCAAACTCCCGTGTCGGGAATCATTGGCTTGCAAAATACAGACTGATGAAAAACTGTAATCTCGTTACGCCGAAAATTGTCTATACGTTTTTCAGAGGAATGAGCACTTAAACTACTGACTTTCGGGCATTTTGTTTTGTATAATTCGGTTTTGTGCCTTTCGTATGCAGGTGTAAGGTAACTATGTGACTAAGTAGCTTTTATTGATAAAATAATATATTCGTCAGTGATGTTACCGTGGTATAATATTATTTTATAGAATACATGTGCGCTACACTTTAATAATAACAATATTAATACATCACACCAAACTCCTCTGAATCACCGTGAAAAGCTTGTTAAATTCATATTTTAGATAAAACTCGACTATATCTTACTTGTATACTATGGGTAAATTACGACGTAACCGGAATATTGATGACGATCACGACTTTTGCCGCGGAATAATAGTGAAACGCCATTTCGTCTTATATTATAAATTACCTGTATAAACCTCTACGGACGACTACAAGTTTAATATTGAAATATAATTTTATAACACTCGGGGTCGACTTATTATATATTTAGGTACCTATATTATATTTTAACACGTAATCATAACACTCAGTAGGATACGAATAAGCGTCTACAAATGTTCCGACGGTGATAGCGTTAAATTTGTTTTCGTAAACATTGTTGACCTTGACTCACTACTTACAACAGTATTACTATTACACATCACTGTGGTACTCAAAAATGAATTATTCACGAGGTAGAAAAACTTTATAAATCTTCGTTGTTGATATTTTAAGTATGCTATCTGTTTGTAATAATATGTTTTCCGTTCTATTGGACGACGAATCCGTCTTCGTTGACATGTTTTGGAAGAAAAAAAAAGAGTTTTTCACTGAAATATTGTTTTAGATGGCTAAATCTATAATGATGGACAGATTTCTTTTTATTATTAGAATATTCTTAACCTCGTTTTTAATTATTTTTTCGAAAAATAAAATGACTATTTATTTGCATAATAAAATATCACTTTAACTTACGTATTCTTTTTTACCGCACAGGCTTGGAATTTAAACTGATTTAAAATGTTTGTTTGGTTTCTACCATCATTTATAATATGTAATGAAAAATTATATTTCATATTTCAAATAAAGATAAGTAAGTACAATGATTATTTTTGATTAAAGTAAGTATTTGTACCTTACTCAAAAATAATTTTAAGTCAATTTTTGAAATTATTTTTTTCGAATCGATTTCAAGCCTTCATTTTTACGAACTTAATGTACCTTTATAGGATTGTTACAATTTCATAATATCCGTCTATTGACATACATGTATTTGTATACAAATGTTGTGTAACAATACAAACGATGGCAATTTGCTATAACATAACCTACTATACTAAAGGTAAGATATATTATTATAACTTATGATTGATATCATAATCAATAATTAACTCGGTAATTCACAATGCGGTATTATATTATTATCATTTATTGTGATTTGTTAGTAAATTCGATAGATTAAAAAATATTATTATTTATTTCTGATTGATCCTTGTAAAGTTTACTGATTAGAAATAGTATTGAATAGTATTCGAATAATAATGAAGTTCTATAATAACAGATAACGATATTTTCTCGTTTTATTGTATCCTTATCTAAAAAATATATTATTTTTATTGTAAAAAGAAATCACGAATTACCACTGACTAAAGTTTTCCGTCCAATATTAATTATAATAATTTTATGATAATATAATATTGTACTATATATTATACTGAACTATAAATTATATTAAATAATGTGGACCATTGACGGGAAAAACTCACTGGGACCCAGACCTAGTAATTTATTCAACGAGATTTTTCGAATAGGTACGCAGAAATATAAAATGTACATAAGTACGATTATAATATTGTAAAATATTAAACATTTTATTAGTGCACATCCTGTTCCAAGACCTTACTACCTTAAATATCGGGGGAAGGTTCAAATTTGTTTTTAATTAATTATTTGGGCCTCGCTTCACTCCAAATCTATTAATTTTACTACTTATAACGTGAGTTGTTTTAATTTATTTTGTATTGTGTCTGCAAGCAACTTTTTTTTCTTTTTTAGACGTGGTAAGATTTTTGAACTATTTATAAGCATTTTATGTTTGCGAATTTTTTAAGTAGTGTGAACTTGAAAGGTACTATATGTGGATATATTTGTTTGACTAAACAGAGATGCTTCAAAATTAGACTAGGGGCTAATTATAAGTTGTACACATAGTCACATAATCACGTACATTCTTATTAAGATCAAATTTAGATAAAAATCGTAATTATTACAGTCTTTCAAATCATATATAAATGAGCTTAGCTCATTATTTTTCGTTAGTAATAGTTTATCTTTGCTTACAGATATAAACTAAATAACTTTATATATTCTAACTTTCCAATTTCTGACCTACAACAATGGCGCACCCATTAGCCTTACCAACTCTATTTTCAAAAAAATTGTTTTATGGTGGGTCAGAATAACATTTGCACACGAGCATTCATCACCATTAAAAATACATTTGATGCTTTTTAGCCCTATTTATGAATAATAATTAAAAACAAATTCATATTTTTTTTTTTAAGAACTGTAAATTTTGTGTAAAACTGTAAGTTAGCGTAAGGTGTGCTGCGTGGTATTGATAGTATTGAACCAATCATTAATATTAATGCTCGAGTGCTAGGTAAGAAAAAAATAAAATAAAAATTATAATATTATTATGTCTATTGCAGCCGAGTGAATGAAACATATAATTCAAACGTACTGACCTATTACAATAAAAAAACACGCACCCCGAACACCCTGCACAATGTCACATATAATAAAATAAAAACTTTCGATACATAAAGTTATTTAATTTATATCTGTAAGCAACGATCAACCACTAGTTATTAAAAACGATTCGGAGCGAAGTTTGATTATTCATGTTTTGAAAGGCCGTCATAAACATAATTTAAACTAATATTTCATCGAGCGATTTTAAGTTGTTTGGAAGTTGTTCATTTTTAGTGTACGTGTACCTACTCCGTGTAAATAATGATTGACGTGATGTATTCAGTACATATATTATTTTGACACACTCTAATGCAATTTTACAGTAAATACGTAGTAGTAAACACTATAAATTTAGGTAATTCATCCTTACTTAGTACTTTTTGTTAGTATACTATATATATATATATACGTCCTATAATGTAGATACTATACCTATTGTTTTTGTTCTATAATATCCAGTTTTATAGTATCCAGTGACAACAGTTCACCGGAAGAAATATAATATACAATTCTAAAAATGTAATATTATTATAGGTACCAGAAGAAAGGAAATTAATTTTATATTAATCATTAAAACTACAGTATTATGAAATCTCAACAAACCGGGTTTATTATTCGCTATCCAATTGTTGACGTGCTGGATAAAATTCCAAAAAAAGTAGTCTTATATTTCAATTACTCCAATAATCAATAAAACGAATTCAAGTGTTTATGCATCGTAAATTATTCTAAAATATTATTGTAAGATTAATAATCTAATTGTAGTATTAATAAATGCTTTATAATATTTAAATATATACAGTATTATCTAGTGTATAATATATATGTATAATTAGAATTGATCTAAATTGATCTAAATTACGTATACGTTTCATTATTTCAATATGTTCGGCAGCTCTATAATGAAATAAATTAGACTTATTATACTCTGCGGCAGTTTTACGCGAGGGATTTTTCAAAACTATAAGCTGATGATTGCATCATCATGGGTGCTGTATAATATATATTAATTGAAAGCGATCTATGAGATCTTACCACCATAGAGGCGCCAAAAAAATTTCACTTTATTGCGTTTTGATTCATACATAAATAGCGGGTCGCCTATTATAATATACTAGATATAGGAATAAAATTGTACATATAATTTTACAGTAATATTAAGTTTAGTTTTATATGCTTTTTAAAATATAGTACAGATCAAAGATAGATAATTGTAGGTAAAATGAGATGAAATAAATCTTTTTTAATAATTTGAGATCGAGTAAGATCAATTTAAATTAATGAAATCAATGAAATTTTACTAAAATGTTGTAAACAAGGTTCTAAAAATCTTTCATTTTTTGATAATGATTCCAAAATATATATATGTCTAATATATAGATCAACATAGATTACATATTAATTACTCTATGGCTTATCATCGAAAAATAGTTATTTTTAATCATCTTCCAAAATGTATATTAGATTTGTAAAGAAATAGAATTGTATGAGCATAATGAGATTAATGAAACCAAAAATAATTTTCATTAAAATGAACATTAGACGAATCTTTTTAAATAAATGAGACGAAGATTGTATCATCACGTGTTACTTTTCCAGACCAACACCCCAGGTAAAACTCTACTGAAAAAGTCTAAATCGAATTATAATTTTACTATTTGAAAGTGTTCCTTGTCTTCTATAAGTGAATTCGTGTGGTCCCGAATCTACATCGATGACACCGCGGTTTCCCACATCATCTAAATAAACACCCCTGTGACAGTTTGATCATATTGTTATTACCTAATACTACAGAAAATATTAAATTAAAATTGACACATTTTGTGAACAATGTGAACATTTTGACCATCTTCTCATAATTTATATTAACTGTCATAATATGTATTAATTCCTATCAGTGTCCCTGTAATTGACACTTTCCGTTGGCGTTTCATTTGAAAATCGTGTGCACTTTTATCTGGTTTAAAAATAAATGATTTTCTTTTATCGAGAAATGATTTTCTATCAATTTTACTATCATCGTAGTAACGTTGAATAATAATTATTATACACACGTTTGTCTTGCAATTTTAATTTTGTCGCGGTGTGGTTATACATACCGTTATCCCTATAATAATTATTAATAATTTATATAAGCTGTGTAAATAAACAAAACTGCAATTTTCTATTATGGTAGAGATAATCGAGATTATACTGTTACAGTATAATATATTATACTATATAGATGGTTAAAAAAAAAATATGTCTGGTTTTATAGAACTGCGTCATACAAACTCATACAAAGTGCATAATGTGCAAAATATTATTTTAAAAAATACAATTATTGAAACATTTGTTTTTTCCACATATCAAAATGGTAAAAATAATAATGGGTGTTGATATGAATTATTTCATCGATACAATTTTAAATTTTAAATAGGTGTATACATTTGTTGCGTTCAGTAAAATCTGGTTAATTTTGCTTAAAAATGCCTTATTTAAAAAAGATATATGGTAGTAAATAAAATATCAGTAAATTGGTTAATTTTTAAATTATATTTGTGATCAGTTAATTTATAAGATTAATCATATTAATAATTTTGGTAAAAAATGTTATTTTGTGTGTACATACTTTTTTTCAGAAGCGTTTATATAATGTATTAATGTATAAGCATGTGCCATTCAGGGGTGGTTAGGCAGATTAAGACTAGTCCACGGGAAAAATATAATCTTAACGGTCCATATCCCGGGCGTTATCGTATCACCATCATCATCGTTGTCCATTTAGTGAAAAAAAAAAGGCGATTCACCGGGAAAATTCATATTGACACAAACAAAAAATATTTTTAACTTTTAACTTGAATTTACAATATAAAATTAGTCATTATATAGAGTATAAATCATTACTCATTATGAAACCGCATTGAAGTTCTATAAGTTCTAACTAGTTCTAACTTATGGTATATTTATTGTATAGGTATCATTATTATTATCGTTTGGTGTATTCTACCATGTGGAGTCGAATCTAAATATTTTATCTATTTATAGGATCGGGTATACCCCTAGTATTAGTAATTTAGTATAAAAACATTGTATAGGTACATTTTACAATTAATAAAGGGAGCATAAGATATAATATGTATTGCAAACAACGCAAACTAGTCTATTCCTAGGCTGCCGTAGCGTGTGTTGTGTGATTGCATTAGTAAAAGCAGATTTAACTATAATTATAACTATAACTTTAACTATTTAGTAAATGGTTTACGATAAATAACTAATAGTACCTCTTAAATTTCGAAATTTACAACAGCTGCTACAGTTAGTCCACGGTATTCTACGCCAGCTATACAGTATTGAGAAAGAAAGCATTTACACGATTGTAGTTATTCAACTATTTTTGGTTATATTCGAGATTATATACAGAGTATCCGCGATGATCTATTACTTGAAATAAATTGTTCTATTTGATATTACATTTAAGTCTTTTTTGGTTTTTCTAAATCATTATAAAAAATACTTTAGATATTAAAAAACGACTTTCTTTGTTTATGGCTACATGTTAAAAGAATCAAAATCGATCTCTTGCCGTTTTTCGATTGGAGCAATATTTCTGATAGAAAACATCGCTTACATAAATTTAAAATAATGAAATTGGTAACGCCGTGGCGCGCTGTAAAAATTTGCCGTTTTACTTATAATTTTTTTTCGACTTTTTCCCAATTGTTTTGAAAACTCCTAAGGAAATCACTAATTGACGTCTTTAGTGCACTAACTAGAAAAAATTACCTTTCAGAAACCGTGGTACACTCTATAGATCGGAGTAAGATTTCTGGTAAAAAATTGTTCACAGACACACAAAAAAAAATAATAATAATACAAAAATACCCATCATACGAGTAAAATCAATAGAAGTCTCGCTTTGCTCAAAATCTAAAATAAATATCATTGTAAAACCATATATTCCTGTCTATGTTAAATGTTAATTTCGGTTTTTAATAATCGTATAAATAGTTTATACCAATTAAAAATTAAAGTACCTATTTATGCATTTAAATATCAAATAATGCAAACATGTAAACATTATTTAGTAAATAATATAATTTATGAAAATAATATTTTATAGTTTAAGAGAAATTGATAATTTGTTTGGGGGGCTATGTTCCCCACGACTTAGGTTTACTACTGTGTTAAGATAGGTGGATATAAATAAATTTTTATTGCCACGCATACAAAAAATTAGTTCGGCTCCATTGTATTCTATGCAATTATTTCAAATAAAAGCAAGTAAAAGGATTTCACAATACAATTATTATTACTATTAAAAGTTTAAATGTAATTAACGTAAATAGATGAGCTTTTGCTAACTATAAAAATAATTAGTAAGTTATTGTAATATCTTTTCTTTTTAATGTCAAGTGTTTTTATCCATATACAATTGCTTCATTAGTGACATCATGAAGGTCACGCATGTACCCTTTAAAAGCACAGGTGAAGCCTTTATAGTATATGGATGATGATCCGAGAAGGATGCCCGCAATCACAGTCTAGGGAGTCTGACATTTTCCATTTATAATGTAATTCTTTACAGCGCCCGTATCTAGTGCGTAATCAATTTAATACGACTCAATCACGTCGAGGCAGGCGTCAAAATAATAATTTAATCAAAATGTTATGACGCTAATTATTACTTTGTACAAAAAATAAAAACAAAAGATAAGGTTCATAATTTATTACTTAAGTTCTTATAATTATTATATAATTATATAATTATAATTATTTATTATTATAAAGTTTAAGTTCTACATTTGTATAACGATCAACAATATAAAATGCAATAATTTTCAATTTTCATAGTAAAATTTAGGTATTTTATTATTATTTTACTCGACAACGTCGTTTATCGATAATAATAGTATATTACATTATTATTGTTATAGTTTCAGTTATTGTTATAATCTATTACAATAAATATAGATTTAGGTTATTACTTAATATAATATAATAAATGTATGTACTTGATAACGACGTGAGTCGTATTCAATGTAACGTACTATTGTTTTTAAATTGCTTTTTTATTTTCATTTTAACCGTTGTGCTGGAAAATTGTCGGTTATTTACGAAGATATTATTATCAGAATATGATATTGAATCAGTTTTTCTTATTGACGAATTAATTAGTATACACTATTTCACCAAAATCCATTGTCATAATACATCCCTTAGTATAAATGTACACAATTTAATTTAAAAAAATTAAATAGAGGATTTATACTCCTTTATATGGATTTCATTAAGAATTTTGTTGGCCATGTTTGTAACAAGCGGATTTCTCTAAACTTGAATCAATAAAAACCTACATATCATAAGACACATTGACATTCCTAGCTACACTAAGTATCAAAATACTATTGCTCAAAATTTAGCAAGTATGCATGTTTGATAAATTATTGGAGACAGTTTTGATTACGAGTGGGGTTTAGATGCTCTTATTCTTCCTGTCCAGAGGGTTGGGTGCCAAAATAATTTTTGCACTGACCGCTGAATTTTTTTATCTAAGTATACAACTTTTAACAGTTAATTTAATTAGTTATAAGTTATAACTGAAAAAAAAAGTGGAAAATAATTTTAACTTATTCATTTACTAAAATATTAAGTATACGCAGTGCCCAGGAATTTAGAACGGGTAAAATTACAAAATATTAATTATAAACAAATAAATTTATTCTGCGACTTGACAATGGACATTTAAAAGCCGGATTTAAGAAAACGATTTGTAATCAATAACACAAGTTTTGCCTTGTAACTTGGCTGAAATGTATTTCTAGAAAAAATTACTAAATAAATACTCGTTGTTAAATTGACTAACCATCCTGCTTCGAGTTTACGGCTTGTCGAAGATTTGCGGAATTTTTGATTTTTTTCGTTTTTTCCGCGTTCAAAACGACCACGAATAAGTTTCATGATTTTGGACTAACGAATGGTCGTTTTCCCGGTAATAGATTTTACTGTGGACGGGTATACAACTGTGGAGAACGCAAACAGGAAAAAAATTATTGACATTCCGTCGTGTTCGCGGGTTTTGACCTTGGACCGAGAGCGCGCGCCGAACGAGTTGACGCCGAAGACCCGACGTAGAGGACGCCACCGCCGCCGGGTTCAATCGCACACGCCCGGTGGCCTACTTGATATTGTACACGTTATATCGTATCTAGATCTCTGTTTTGCACTCCGATTTTCGCGGCGTGACAATATTATTTATCCGATTTTTCACCCAATAAAGATTATTTTTGTTTATCCGCAAACAGTAAAAAAAAAAATCAACTGAATTGCGTAATTCAATGCGCTATGTAGTTAATTAATATTAGGTACCTTAGTAAAATGTTAAAGATAAAAACGTTATACGTTTTGTTGACAGTTATATTCAGTAGTTGACTGTGTCTGAACCAGCATCGTGTATGTAAACGAATATTATGGTATACCTACATTTTACTAGCAGAGACCTGCAGCAGGCTATACGTAAACCGTAGTACCGCTACAGTCAACTATAGTTGCTAGTAAAATAACAACAAATAATCGTGCTACCGACCCTCGGATTTCGCTTTGACAGAGTCTTGTTTATGCATTCGATGACATACGTCGTCGCCGATCTAATCAAATGAAACCGAAATTATGTATTCTCGAAATGACTTTAATTCGACTCGGAGAATATAATATTTAAAACGGTATGGCTTTTTAAACGTACGCTGGTTTAAAACCATTTCCAAAACCAAACAAAAAAATATTTAATAATATTATCATCATTGCTATACATAATTTCATAAATTCGTTAGTTTATTTAACTTTAGTGCGGCAAATTTTGTCGAAATTATTTTATTTGGCACTATACTTGAAGGTGTTATATAATATATTATGCACAAGTGTACAACACACGACGACCGTTAATTATTTGGCAAAAGGCGAGTTTACCCATTTGCAATTATCTGATCTATCCAATCATTAATTAATAGATAAATAATTATAGACTGTCGAGTTGGCTAAAAATGTGACACACATAGGCACCCGAAAAAGTCTCAGTTTTCAAATATAAAATGTTACATTAGCGTTTTCGATATGATTGTGTAGTCTATTTACACAGCGAGTAATTTAATACACTCGTATTATAGAACCGGCACGGCCGCGTGTAAACTGCAGTTCACGTTCGATTTATTTGCACAAAGTGCGCACCGACAATACGTGATGTCTTCTTATCCGCGGGTTTGATTGACTGCAATGAAAATAATATTATATCCTATTAATTTTGTGTTAAAAAAAAAATTGAATAAACAGTACAGATTTCCTTACAGATGTTGCCCGGTTGTTGTCTTGATGGTGATGCTGCCCGGTTTCGTATTTTCGTTTATACGCTCGCGTGGTTTTGAATTTAATAACGCGCTATAATATTGCAATAACGCAATAAATCTGCATTATAATATTAACAGTCGTTAAAATCGAAAACGCCGTACAATAAATCGCACGACTATACACTACTACGCAGTGGTGAGACGTCGAACGATCGTCTCAATGGTGGCCGCGGCGGGTTCATTATGTTATTATTTTTGAAGATGTTATATTATTCGTAGTTTGTTGTTCGGGAGACTATAGTCGGGCGGCGTACAAGGACGTTCGCGTGTCGACAGAAAGAATAAAAAAACGTTTTAAAAAAGCGCCGCGCAAATGAGAATGTTTGATGCGTAATCGTTGTAATTCGTGTATTATATATTGTAGCAGCAGTATCATTATAACAGTATATAGCAGAGAATAATGTGTGTTTAAGTTTTTTTTTTTTTTCTTCCCCCCAAAAGAAATTGTCAACCAGAAAAACTATATAGACCGTGTATAACAAGCGAAAAAAATGATATTATTATTATCATTATTTTTTTATATTATATATTTTTTAGATTCTGAGTGTAGCGGAAAATGTATTGGTTTTAATTAGATGTTTGTTTATTTATTTTTATTTTTTTTATCCTATGTACAAAAGTTCGACCGTAAATCTTGCTCAGGTATATTTCGCGGCACTATTTCTGAAAAAAAATGTTGTCCAGATGGTACTTTTGGGAGGTCATTTTTTGATTTTCATAATATCTGGGAAAAACCAGGTTAAAACATAAAAACACATCATGAGTTTAGAATCGATAAACTCGATTATATTGTTTATATTTGTGGGAGAAAAATATCTAGACACCTCCGCCTTCCTCCCCCAAAAAAAAAAAAAAAAAATTCTATTTACGCTATTAATTGTGTTCGATATTTACTCGCCATCGTATATTTCCGATCGTATAATATTATTTAATAACATCGATATATAATATTATATACATAAGTTTTAGGTCTTTAGATATACTTATTGACAGTAACGTGTTCAAGTAGGTTTTTTTGAGACAATCACCTCACTAAAAGGGGGTCACAAAATATATTGAATGTGGATTAACTAGCCTAGAGATCAGAGATTCCCTTAGTTTTGTGTATTAGATAATACATTTTAAACTTTTTTCATATATATATAAAAACAAATTATTAGCAAAATGAATACAAACAAAATTAATAATTTTAAAAAAGAGAAAGGTAACCTTTAAAAATTGTAGTTTTAAATTTGAAAATAAATATTTAATATATATAAATATGAAGTATAGATGTATAATAAATATAGTAAATATAGCTAAATACAATTTTTACTGTAAAAAAATTATATATAGGACATATATATATATATTGATTATCTTGTACTAGAGCATTTTTTTAGAAATGACGTTAAAACGTCACTTAAAATCATCATATAAATTATAGAAGATTGACATATTACATGAACTGCGTATTTCCCTGTCTTGGGTTGCCTTTGCCAATACCAATTCCTGGGTATGTATATTATTAAAATTCTCTATCTCTCTCTCTCTTTCTCCGAATATTAATGGGTATATAATATAGATGGTCATAAGGTTGTAATAGCCATCTTTTTCTAACAATGTTGACCTCTCCGGGTTTCATCTTCAGCTTATTAAGTTTAACAACATAATAATATAGACATTATACAAATCTAAACTAAAATGTAATTGAAAAAACATTATTTGTTTTTAAATGTACAACGACGAGGAACCTGACGTGCCCGCTACGAATGATGTGCTTGTAAAACGATCGAGTTTATTTATAATATGATTATATTTTTATCGTTTTATCCGTCATCGACGTTGCAAAGGGTTCAAATGCAAATCACGTGTCTGAATAGTAATGCGCGCGTCTACAACATAGTAGATATAGGTCAAGTAAATCTGCCAACATTATACTACATATTGTCTTGGGATGAATGGTGATAGTTTCTTTTTTATTACATCATTTTATATAGCTGGTAAATGCTAACGCATTATTTATACACCTGTAATCAATTAATTGATAACATAATCATCTCGAACACATCAAAATATTATCATCTTCGTTCATTATACTGTATACAAACGTGTGTTGTCATGAGAAATAATATTAAATCAATCTTCGTGAACAATTTTGAAAACGGTCAACTAACTCCCTACTGAGTTAATTGACCATTTTCAACCGATGCCCCGCTGCCCGACGTTCTACTTGTAGAATATATAATAATGAAATTTAAAAAAAAATATATTTAATGTATTGTAAGCTCACGTTCGATTTTTGAGTGATTTTACTGTTATCGATTAATAAAACTGATGTACTTATAAATAATATTAATTCGGTGTGAAATAATCACGTCGACATTATTGTTATTAACGATTTTTCATTAATTGTTTGGCAAATATTGTGACGCACTCTTCGAGTTAAAAAATACATTTAATTACTGCAGTCGGATGAGAACAAATTTCAATTAAGATTTCAATTAACTTAATATCATGAGTACACATCACATAGGCTAAGACTCTAAAATTAACAGTACCCCCCCCCCACCCTCGCTCACAAATAATTTTACCTAGTGCGAATACTAAGATTTTTTTTCTCTTACTAAACATTTGTTTTCCACTATGTGAAATAACGTTTTGAAGAACTTTGTTTTGCTTATGTAAACCAATATTTGTGGCTAAAATAAAACATTTAGGTATAAAATATAACATGAAGACTTTAGAAAGGTTATTTTATTTTGTGTGCCACAAAAATACTTCCCCTCTTAAGTTGAAAACGCTATCGGTTCCACTGAATCATTTTCAAAAACATTAAAATTTCTATAATTATATAATTTACAAAAACAACAACAAAATAGGTACGCTAAAAACCTAATGTTAATGACATGAAAATAATTTTTCTTTTTCTTTAACACTGGTTATAAGTTTTTTCGGTGACGTACCGTTGATTAATATTGTTGTTAACCGTTCATAATGTATTATAGAAAATGTATAGAAAGTCGTAAAAAAATATTTACATATATTTATATTTAAACGCACACTCTTTCCGCGGTCGCGTTTTTTTAGTTTAAGAGTTTATTCGATTTTTTGTAATGACGAGTTTGCGGTATGGATACTATTTAGTTTCTCTGTGCCGTACCTCGTCGAGCAGTTAACCACAAACACCAATGGTAAAAAAATATGGAAAATGCTATTGTTTGTTATGATAGTGTTATAATTGGCACTCTGGCCGCCAATCGAATGGTAAATTGTATTATACACACTGCGAATATACCTCATCCATTATAAAATAACTTTGGTGAACTACATCCTTGCATTTTTTTGACTAAAATCCAATAATACAAATGCGCATTAAGTACTTCATTTTTCGCCTACAATAATATATTGTTCTTTCGAAGCCCAACCATTTTCTTATAATATATTATATTATTAGGTTTTTTTTAGCTCGCTATTCGTTATCATAATATCATAATATAACCATATATAATCATAATATAATGTATTGTTGTCGTTATTATTTTTTTCTTTGGATCTAAGTCTCCAATTTTTCGCTCTAATCGATTGCTCGCCCTTTTTTTAAGTTCGTTAAAAATGTCAACTCTTGAAATCGGTTTTAAATTGTCCTATAATATTATATGTAATAGAGTAATACGAGGCAAAAAGTTTATTATCTTTTTACTAAAAGTTACCTTACCTGATACAGAATGATCAATCCACGAAAAAATATGCATTATCTAAGAAAATATTACATTTTTCTTATTTTTTTTTTTTTTTTTTGACAATTAAAGAAACAAGTAATTCTAAAATATTACATTACCGTTATTATTTTTATTTATTGGAGTGAAATAACTATTTATTTTGATTTTCAATTAGCAACCTATATATTAAAAATTCCATTAATAGATTTAAACACTTAAATTTGAGTAGAGGGAGAGTAGTGGAACGTTATTCAAACGCCGTGCATATTGCCGTCATACAATCTATTTATGACATTTTTAATATAGGTTGCTATTTGAAAATCTAAAGTGAGGTAATGGTTTCACATCCAAAAATGAGAGTGACAAAAAATTATGGCAATGTACCTAACATTGTAAAGACACTTATTTCTTAAATTCGCTAAAAAAATTAATACTTTCCGAATGTTTTATCGAAGATTGAAGTACGCGTTGTTTGATTTCTCGAATAATTTATTCAAAATACAATCTTATACTTGATCAAGTCTTTACTATATATCTTCCTATATTTTACTGTTTTTTTATTTCATTGTAAATAAGTTTTAATGATATCGTTACGTTTATTTAAATTTTACAGTACCAAGAAGTGGACTCCGGGAAACTAATGGATTTAGACGAGATTTTAGGCAGTTACGGATTAGGCAGATACCAAGTGACCGTCTGTGCTTTAATGGGCCTCGTGCTCATGTACTCGAACATATCACCACTCAGCTACGCGATTACCGCCGCTGATGTAAAATACAGGTATAATATGCATCATGCAAGTATACTTAATACTTATTATTTTCATTGTATCCGTCATTAAAAAATTTAGATTGGTATAAGTCAACATTTTTTTCTGAAATTATAAGATAGGTATTATAATATGATATATTTATTTTTAATTGTTTCGTAAAATGTTATTATTAATTAATAAAAAATATGAAATTTTCACTCTTCGACGGATAAGAAAACTATCATAGAAAATTAGTAAATGCCAGAGGTTAAATCATTTATTAATATTGTATATACCAGATTCCAGAATAGAATAGTAGATATATTATATTAGGTTATTTTAAAACAATAATAGTACAAGTTTTTCAAACTAAAATTATTTAAATTAATAAACACTACAATTTATACGGCCGAAATGCTTTAGTATAAGTTTTTTTTAACTAAGAGACCGAACCAATTTAATTTTAAAATCGTTATAATACTTTATGTATACAGTTAATTAATGTGCAAGGTTAGTAATGATTAATTTGCCAAACATGTTTCGTTTTGAAATACGCATGCGTATATATTATATACTCGACACAAAATAGAAATTACAGACAACTGCAGTCTGCAATATGATATCAATATTTGATCATTTCTTCCGTTAAAAAAAACGATTAAATATTACATATTTTTTAACATTCGTCATTATAGAACAAATAATGTTAATTTGAAATTTTAAATAGACGATTTTATCAATAATACTCTTATTATTATTTTCAATATTGTTATAGTATTTAAAGATCTCTTTATTTTACTACTATAACTAAGAGAAATCAGCAATTCAAAAAAAAAAATTTCAATTTTTGTTTCTATTTTAAATCCAAGATGCATGCGTTAGCACCTATATATTATAGAAATTAAAATTGTATAATCACTACCACAAAACGTTGATTTCAATTCTCTGTACACCATCGTACTCAAAAAAAAAAAAGAAAAAAAAAAAGAAAATAACAATAATAACAATAAATATTATACTCGTACAGACATTTTATTGTATTATATAAAATACTATTGACGTATTTATAGTTATTGGGCGCATTGAATAGGCATTTTTAATACACTCTTGGAAATGAATTGGTTACACTAAAAATGGTAGAATAGGTATACCGTATACCTACTGGTAATAATAACTCGACGAAAAATCATTTGATTAATAGGTATTACAAAAATACAATGTTATAAATTATCATAAATTAAATCAACAACTAAATTCATTACTTTAATCAATATTATTAACATTTGAAGATAATGGAACCAATTAACGGTGCTTTGAGAAAATTATCTAATGTTGAGTTCTATTCACTGAAAAAAAGTTTCTGTTGGATAATACTGTAAGGGAAAATATTGATGAACCCGCGGCAAGAAGGTGCTAGCGATGCATCCTAGACTCAAATATAGAATACACTGATTAAAAGATGAGAAGATCTCATGGCGCCTTAAAGAAGTTTTGCTCTGATAAGTCTGATGAAAAATTTTCAAAGATGAGCTAGTACCCTTCTTTTTCTGTAACCTTAATTTATTCGTAAAACTAAAAATACAATAACACCTTTAAATAACGAAAAAAATTAATTAATTATGAAAATATTACATGAAATACAGTATGCGCATGTATAAATCCGGAAAATAATCGTACATACCATGAAATTTTCGACTATAAATACTGAGACCGTAATTATTTTCCGGAATTTTAACTGTCTAAAAAATGACTCTTTAATTCAATAATTATAATATAATTATTATTATGCTGGAGGATATTACTTTCCAGAATTATACGACATTCCGAAATACATAATGTAAGACACTTATCGGCTCGAAAAGAATTAACGTTTTTCGATATTTGTTTTTTGAAACCACTATACTCACTATTGACTTTCAAATATCAAATCCCGTATCAAAAATTCCGCAAAAATAAAAAAAAATAAGGTTTTAGTTTAAATAAATTTTAGCGTTGACATTTAAGATGTCCATAAACTCGTTGACTATGTATTCCGCTTTTAAGTATTGTCAATTTGTGGGTAAATACTACTGCCGCCAAACTAATGATACTCTACTACGACTTTTTCTCATCCCATAAAACAACCTCTAAAAATAAGGGTGACAAAAAATAACGGTTATAGTGTATACAATTTTATAGCTCCTCGTTTCTTAAATTATTTAAATATAAATTCCGGAAAATGTTAATACTTTCCGATTTATTTAGTTTCTTATATTGATCACTATATATGGTTGAATTTTATTTACGGTATTCAGCTCAAAACGAGAAACAAGTGTGCTTGCAGTGTACTTATGATATGTTCGTCAAATGCGTCAATAATCGGTCTTGACAAGAATTCAATTTCAACATTACACGACACTTTATGAGTTATTTGTACAAACAAAAACCATTTAAGCATATATATATATATATATAGTTTATATAACAAACACTAAATTAAGCTCAAAATATTTTGATCCAGTAAAAAGAAAAGTCGAGTCAAATAAAGCATTTAACATTCGTTTTTACAGAGAATCTTTAGAAAGTGTTTACAGAGATTATTATTTTTATTGTTACTAACGCAAGTTTAAATAAATTATACTATGCATTGCATACCTATTATAAAAAACAATTTTGTAAATTTTTCCTATTTTTATCTCGGTGATTTTCTATTATCTTTTTTTCAATGGCCTATAGTTTTAAAAGATGTAAGAGTTATGGTATGTGCTAAGGACTACGAATATAAACGTTTATAAGTTGTAACGAAAACCAGTATATGAATCTATATACATAAAACTAAGTTTCTAGAGACTTAACATTTTACATAGACTTCCCTCCAACTTCCCACCTACAACAGTGACACATCCGTTTCCAGTTTAAGCTTTTTTTGTTTTATTTTATGATTATTATTATTAGAGCAATGGTTCTTATATTTTATACTTTTGTTTAAAACTAAAAATTATAAAATTTGTTTACTAAATCCAAGATAGCCGTATTATACACTTTTTTAAACAAATGATAATTCGTTAATTTTCAGAAAAAATTCGAAGTTAACGATACCTAGTTTAAATTTTAGATTAGAGTATAGTGTATAATGTATTGGTTTTACTAAGATGTTTATTTTAATTTTTTTTTTTTTTATACTTTATACAAAAATTTTACCAGAAACCTTGGTAAGATATATACACGTGGTGTCATTTCTGAAAGGAAATACTGTCCAGATGGTACTTTTGGGAGGCTTTTTTTTGATTTTCCAAGCGGTTTTCTTAGCAAATGTAATAATCCGGGAAAAACATGGGAAAACCTGGAAAAACGCAGGAAAAACGATACAATATTAAACAAATATTATTCAAGAAAATATATGATGCCTATTTAATTATTTTACCATAACCTGACATGTATATTGTTGAAAAAGCATCACTATCAACTGAACTGCGATCAGAATCGTTTTTTCGTTAGCAATGGTTTATAGTTGCTCACAGATATACATTAAACTATCTATAACAATGGCTGCACCCGTCTCCATTATCCTAGGATGTCTTTTTTTAATGCCATTGCTAAATAATATCAATAAGTTCACCAATATTTCCATGAAAAATGATTTATGTAAACTTCAAAAAATTGTAGAAAATTAACGACTGATCATTAGTAAACATTTGTAATACCAACATTTTATTCCGTAATAAATGTATTACTTGGATTTAGTAAAAAGAATTATTTCAAATTTTTTTTATTTTTGATTTAAAAAATTTAAAACAAAAGAACCATATGGCAATGCTTTAGTAATTATAAAAAAAAAAAGATTATTATTGAACAGAACAAAAGTTGTAGCTTTTGTCAGTTCTCCGTGGGAGACTATATCGTTATCGTATACGATAATTGTAGAATCTAATTATTAAATTCTTTATTTTTTATTATGATTTTAGATGTGAAATCCCGGAGTGCGAAGATGTAAATGACTTCAACAAACCGTACAATACTTCTTGGTTTAAGTCAGCTATACCTCCTGACAATGAGAATGTGGATTACCAAAAATGTTTTATGTATCCGTATATCGGACCACAGAACAGCAGTACGGAAAACAATACGAAGTGTGCATCAACATCGTTCAGTAAAAATGCATCCGATCTCATTGAATGCAAAAAATGGGTGTTTGAAGACACGGAAAAAACCATAGTAACCGATGTAAGTTGCAGCTATTACAATAACAATAATAGTACGATATTATTGTTAATCATAATAAATGTTGTGTTTTATCGTTATAATCAGTGCCGTCTGAAGGCACGGAAGGTATCGAAGGGCCCATCCCGGGTGGCTGAAATTCCAAGACCTTCCAACTTTTTTTTTTTAAATAAATTTCGTTTTATGAAATTATTCAAAATTGTGTATAAGTGGAATAAATATTTTACCTAATATGTGAGCTAATATTGAACAGACAAATAAAAGTACCTATATTATTTTTAAATAAAAACATAATTATTCATAGGTTAAGTTAAATCTCAGTTAAAAAAATCGAGGTATACTAAAAAAAACTGTTTACATTTTTCTCCAATTTGACTAATTAAGAGATAAAAAAAAATATAAGTTCATTGTAAATAATTTGCGGAATTTTATCACATAGTTATTAATGTAAACGAATTAGAATTTAGAATGCATTTGAAAGCGTGTTTGAATTTTTTCGTCGAAGTTTTTAAAATATTTTTTTATTTTTTTTTGATAAAAATAAAATGTTTTATGTAGATGCATAAAATTTTAATTATGTATGCATTTACAATTTTCAATTACATTTTTCTTACTATTAAATAAAAAGTGCATTCATTTCCAAGTATAAGAAACGATTTAGAATAGATTATAGGTAAAAAATAACACCGGTTGTCGACCTAACGCAACTTCATTTGTCACCTCTTACAACCGGTTAGGAGGAGTTGACATTCTATTATATCTCGTATACATATGTATTTAAAATCAGATAGATTAGAAGAAACATTTCCAGACATCATTACAATATCTTTCAGAATTTTTTCTATTTTATCAATGATGATTACCAAATATTGAGGAAGACGTCTATTTTCTAATAGTTTTAAGTTTAATAAAAAAAAGAAGCACTTAAAATTATAGGAACGGTAAACCGGTTGTACCGGTTAAGTACATCTCAATCCTTATCTATTATCAATAAAACATTTTTTTTGAAGATGTACTCATAGGTATGACTTATAAACTAAATGATAAGTTCACTTTTGAATTAATTGAGAAATTCTTATTCTTATTATAATCATATATTTTAAAATTAGAATAAATAATAATGTAAGTAACAATAATTGACTTTTGCTAAATTTTAATGATCATAATAATAATAATTTATTATTTGTTAAATATACATATACATGTATGTAAATAAGACATAGGTATTTAAGGTATTTAGGTATTTACCCCATTAGATATTTAAGCCTCCAAAATAGGTGTGTCCCAGTGCCTTCTCACATAACCTTAAGACGGCTCTGCGTATAGAATACAATTTTTACTTATAAAATATGCCTATGTTTTTTATACAGTTCAGTAATATAATGTGTGATGAAAATAAATGGAAACTGTCTATGGTGGGAACAATCAACAGCATAGGACAGTTTATTGGCATTCCTTTATCAGGATTTATTTCGGACAAGTAAGTGTATAATATATTTTACAATTTTAATTACTGTACTGTGGCGTACCCGGGAAACAATAGTTTTTTTTAGAGATGAGAACTCGATAAATTTGACCAATGTATTTTTTTATTGTTCTTAAAATCGAGTAACCTCTTATTTTAAACGGCTTCACAAGCTTAATAACATTTATTTATGTACTGTTTTGTATTTACATACTGTATTAGATGAATTTGATGAAAATTGGTGTTCTGTCATTATACCATGAATGGTAAACCAGATTCAAACGATGTTGAATTTATTAATTTCATTAATCTGCAATTAAAATGTTTCTAACCTTGCATATTAAAATTTGAAACATTATTACTGTTATTAGTTTACAAACTGTAGTTTGTTGTTTGTTACATTATTTTTTTTATTTTTTGTAAAAGTTAAAACGAGTTATTTTATTAAATAAAAAAACATACAATCAATAATAGGTACTTCGTGCAGTGTCGTATACAGGAATTTTATTTCGAAGAAGGAGTTACATCATCTACATATTACGAAGTGTAGTTTATTATAGCATAATATTGTACTTTATATAAAAATATAATTTAAGATTTCCTGACAAGGGGGTTGTAGTCCTCTCAGCACCACTAGATTCTCTAGTTTCACCACTAATCCCATGTTGTTCTTCTTAATTATTTATATTGCATACTTATTTTGTACTCATATTAATTAATATACATTATAAAACATTTTGTTTATTTTATTTCTAATGAACAATTTACCCGATTTACCGAAATCACGTTAATTGACGTACATTTTATTGGTAAATTTACCGACAATTTTTACCGGTAAATTTCACGTGTCTAGTTCATTTAAATACTTAAAAAAAAATTCTCGAAGGAAAGTGCAAATTATGTCCTTTTTAGTAATAAGTATATAATATTTTTTTTTAGTTTTTTTTTTTTTTTTAAGATATGGACGCAAGTTCATAGTGATTATAGGATCGGTTTCGTCGGCTATACTCGGTACAATGCGTTCGTTCACAAACGGTTACTTATCATTTATACTTTTCGAATTTCTTGACTCGGTGGCCTCCAGCGGAGTGTACGGAGCAACCTTTGTACTAGGTAAGAACACTGTCAATAATCGTTTACACCTTCAAATGTATTTAAATAGCTTCAAATAATACAAAATAAAATATATAATCGAGATATCGTGGTATCGGAGCCACCCGTCTCGCCGCCGGAATTTTTTTTTTTAATTCTTTTAAGTCATTTTTAAATCGTTTATTATTATTAAATACTAATATAACTGTATTCAGTTATGTAAACATTTATCTCTTAAACAGTAGTCAGTACCAATGTTGGTATTACCACGAATATACAATTTTTTGAAAAATATTCTGTATTTGAGTCTATATTTAAATGGAGGATTCTTGTTTGAAGTATACTAAGTATATATGTATATAATCATTTAATGTAATTTAAAATAGTATTGAAATAATAGAGCTTAAACGATTTAATAATGATTGAAAAAACTAAAATCAAATTCATTTAAAATCTTCCGAGAATATCGCTAGTTCGTAATTAATGCATCATCACCTTGTATAATATAAAATATTTGTGTTAAATTAATGTCTGGCGGATAAACGGTGGCGAGACAGTCAGCGGAGAGACGATTACGGCGAAATGTCCTAGATAGACCCAGGAGCGTATCGAGGCGCATATTATTGGGTGGTCACTAGTCAAAGTTGGCGGTTTGGCCAACTGGAAAAAATATTATTCCAAGACAACTTGTTTTCATTAACTTGTCGAAGCCATTTTATCATTAGACTGTTAAATATGTCATTATATAAGTAAATAATAAATTCAATTTATAATACTAATTATGAAAACAATTTTCAACCAATGTGCTAAGAATTATAAAAATGTGCAATTAAAGGGTAAATAATAAAATATAGATTTGACTAAATGTAATTTAATATACTAATAGATAGCCTTAGAAAAGTATTAATTTAGATCTACGATAAACTTCAAAGTATATAGTCGATGTATTATATTTATTTATCATAATATTTATTGTTTTTTCTATCTTAGGTTTGGAATTGGTCAGTCCGAAAGCACGAGTTACGGCCAGCACGATAATGGGCTGTTTTTACCCAATGGGAGCTGTCATTATGGGTTTTGTCGCTTACATGGTTCTCGACTGGAAGATAATGCTTAGGATAGTCTACTTGCCGGGCCTACTGATATTAGGATATACTTGGTAAGTCTTCTTTTTTTATATAATAGCCGTATTCTGCACGTGTGTAATATCATTTTTGTGTTATTAAACTCAATAATAAATTTACGATTTCTGTTTTAATGTATGCAATCGCAGGTACGTACCGGAATCAATGCGGTGGCTTCAGACACAAAATCGAATCGAAGAGATGACCAAAATATTGTCAAAAGTCGCCAAATCGAACGGGAAAGCATTACCGCCCTCCGTCAGAGAAGCGCTGGCTTCCAATCCTAGTATCAACAATAATTTGGTACCTAATTACCTAATATATTTCTGATACTATCTAGATTGTAAAACGTAAATCAATATTATAATACCTACTGATGACGTTTCAGGTTAACGAAAATAAATTATCTTTTAGTAAATTAATGGAAAAAATATTCGATTCTAAGGAAATTTTCTTGCGGCTGATCAACTGTTCGTTTTGCTGGTTAGTGCACATAATATATATTATAGCATACCTAATAACATTATACTTGAATATTTTACTAGAAAATCAACAACCGCCGTATCGTGTCATTATATATAATTTATTAAACACGCATATGATTTTTGCAGGGTTTCCATCACGTCAGTCTATTACGGTCTCTCTTTGGCATCAATAGAATTCTACGGTAACAGACATCTGAACTTTATGCTTGTAAACGCTATTGAAGTACCGGCGTTTTTAACATCGTGGTACTTTATGGAACACTTTCCCCGACGATATACACAAGCGGGATCGTTTTTGTTGAGCGGAATCTGTTGCATTTCAACAGTCAACATAATTCCCGACGGTAAATTATTACGTGAAACGTCCAGTATGTGTTAGTTTTTCGTTTTTGTTCTGACAAAGACGAAATGAACGTTTATGTATTTTAAAGGTTTTTTTTTTTAACGCAAAACACTCGCATTATTATATATATTATTATAAGAATAATGATACATTTTAACGAAATTTAAGATTGGTACTCTGTTCCCTATTTCCTCGCTACCTGCAACGTTATGTTTTTTTCGGAAACACATGAATTGCGTCCCATAAAAAAAGATGTACACGAATTGTGTCCGAATAGATTTGGATCGTAGTTCACGTATTTTAATCAGAGGTTATTATACATTTAATAATTGAATAAATAATAAATATTAATTTGTTAATTTAATATATGATATAAAAAAACAAACGGTCATCTTTCACACGATGGATGGGCCACTGTTGTAGATGATAAGTTGGGAAGATAGTGAGGAAATTTAATGTATATCTATACGCAAAGATTAATCATTGCTAACGAAAAACGATTCTAAGTGGTATTCGGTTATATATGTTTTGAAAGGCCGTAATATTTACAATTTTAAAATAATATATTTCAAATATTTTCCCGTTTTTCCTACGTTTTTTCTCGATTTTCCCATTTATTATAAAAACCCCTGGGAAAATCAAAAATTACCTTCTTAGAGTACTACGCCAGTCCAATTTTCTTTTAGAAAAAAAGCTACACATGAAAACCGGAGCAAAATTTAGTAGAAAAGTTGTTCACAGAAAAAAAAAATAACAATAATCATAATCATCGTAAAATCAATACATTTCTCGCTCCGCTCAGAATCTAAAATATATAATATGTTAAATCGAATCTACAAACTATTAAAAAAGCACTTCCTCCCATAGTATATGGTGTGTAGGCATTATTTTATATTTATTACATTGTACCTTAATTATCAACCAGGAATTGGGAACAAAATCCATCCATGTTTATCGTAATGTTTAATTTTACGTAACAATGAGTGTATCAAGGAATATCTGAGTGCATTGCAATAACATTTCAACGTATTAAATCTCCGCGGCATAACCTACATGTACATATAGTACCTCACAACAAAATATCAGAGCTCACGATCACCTTATAAATACACTATGGAGTAAGAGTACCCCTGAAAAAAAAAAAAATAATTTTAATACCTGATCATAGGCATATCATTAAGTATAATATCTTCATAATACGTCTATATACCCGCCCAATGGGATGCAATTTGAGTATAAAACCTTCCGTATTCCACATTCAAAAAAAAAAAAAAAAAACACTGCAATACATTGTACATATCGTTATGAGTGTTATGGCGTTACGATAAAATAATACCTATTCGATTTTCAGAATATGCATGGATACGTTTGATATTGTTCTTGGGCAGCAAGTTTGCAATAACTATGTCGTTTAATACCATATACGTGTTTACCGCCGAGATGTTTCCGACTGAACTGCGAATGTCTTTGTTCGGCATTGCTTCAATGTTCGGCCGGTTGGGTTCCATGATCGCTCCGCAGATAATATTTTTGGTGAGTAAAATATCAATTTTTTTTTTCAAACTATGATCCAAATAAAATTCTGTGTCGTAGGCGACCATTTTTGGGAAAAAGAACGTGCCGATCGTGTTGTTTGGATGCATATCATTCGTAGCCGGTGGGTTGGCTTTCTTGTTCCCGGAGACGAAAAATCAAAAATTGCCCGACACGATAAAACAGGCTGAATTTATTAATCCATAAAACAAAAACTTCAAACGTGACCAGAAACATTATTATACTGCGAAAGGAAACCACCAGATAACGTGCCTTATTATCACGCAATCTATATCAGTTTTATTTACTTAAGTATTTATATTGATTTATTTTTATTATTTTGAGAATGATTCCACGTGTTTCATCTATTCTTATTTGTATAGATACTTACAGCATAATATATTAATTTATTTTTTATTTTATGATTTAACATTAATTAATATAATATATAGAGTATTTTATGAATTATTAGCAAAGAAAAAAAATTGTCTGTGTTATGATGATCTAAGTTCACATAACATAAACATTGTGTGTACTTATCCAACTACCTATCTGTTATATGTATGTAATATATTATATTATTGAGATAATTCCATTTCGTCGCCGTTTTTCAGGTGTTCACTTTTGTATTACTGAAATTGCTGTGATATTTATAAATATGTAATAATTACCTAAATATGGTTTTAAAATTTAAACAATTGTTAATTATTAATCTATATGTTTATAAATTATAATTACCAACTATATAGTATAAATTTTAATAAATTTATTATTTATTCAGATATATAAGTGTACCACACCAGTTAAGAAAATATAATACTATTGTTATTAATTCTAGTAAAAACTTTTATTAATATTATTATTATTGTTAATTGAATAAGAAAATTGATAATATTATACGGATATCACCTATATTAGAATAACTAAATTTAAGGAATTGAAGACATTATATTATATACTTTTAGTTCAAATTCTGTACTAAATGTACGGTATAATTATATTTTTTACTTAATAAAAAAAATCATTAATTTTACATATATGGTGTATCAGTATAACTTTTGTTAAAAAAATAAAATAAAATACTTATTTGATAATAATGTTTTAAATGATAAAAAGAAAATCAAAATTAACCACAAATTATGTTATTAACAATACTTTTATTTGACGAATTAAATGGTCTTTATTACAACTAGACAATATTTATCCGGGCAGTAATTGCCCAGACAAAAAAAAAAACCAAAAATCGTATTTGTCTGGAAAGTCTAATTCTAGAGTTTAAAAAGCTGTCCTAGGACAATAGAGACTAGTACAACCACTGTTGTAGGTGGGAAGTTAGGATGGTAGGATATAGAAGCGAAATTAATTTGTATCTGTAAGTAACAATAAACCATTAAATATAGTAAATAAATATATAAATACAAATGTATAAATAGTAATGAAAATTAAACAAATGAATGTATTCGTCACTTGGAATATTTTAATAAGTGTTAATACATTTTTTATTTATATATTTATGAGTATTAACAATTTTAATAATTTTGTTTTTACTTTTTATTTTATGATAAACCATTGCTTACTAAACACGATTCTGAATGGAATTCAGTTGATGATGGTGCTTTGTGAACAATAGGGATGTCATATTATGGTAAAATAATTAAATAAGAATTATACATTTTTTTTTTAATAATATTTATTTTTTATTGTATCGATTTTCCCGGTTTTTCACATTTGCTGGGAAAACTCTTGGTAAAATCGATAAATTACATTCTTAAAGTACCTTTCCAGTCAAATTTCCTTTCAAAAAATGTGCTATCATTGTTTATCTGAGCAAAATTGTTGGTAGGAAAGTGGTTCACAAGAAAAAAAAGGTCAAAATATTTTTCAACTAATACCTACACGTCTCATACATTTTTCCGTATTTTCTCACTTTTCCCCTTTTATTAGGAAAACTACCGAGAAAATCAAAAAATAACCTCCCTCAAGTATCACCCCAAGAAAAATTTTTTTCAGAAAAAGGTCTACATTGTACATATTGAAGTAAGCTTTCTAGTAGAAAAAGTTTTCACATAAAAAAAATCTTAATAAACATCTTTGTAAAACCAACATATTCTTCGCTACATTCAGAATTTAAAATATATAAATTGTATAACTCCTAAAATACTCATCTAGCTGGGACCATATTAAATCATGATAACATTAAACCATACCATATCATATAGTATTTCATCAACTGTCACATCATACCTAACTTCATGGTGTGGTTATCAATCACTACATCAAACCTTTCGATCGTTGAATTACGTGACAATGATATTATGTACTTTTGGAACTGAATTACAATAATTAATATTGGAGTATTATAATCATTTTTTTTTTTTTATATAAATGTAAAAAAAAAAAATATGTGTCGTATTTAAAAAATATTTATACATAAATGAAGAGTATTAACATGTCAAAAGTTGGCACTATATTTGGCACTAGTTGTGCCTATCCATAGAAACGACATTAGGATTTAAGATTTCGTAAGTGTAAGTATTATTTACATCACGTTATTCCTGTGCCGTGCTAATTTCACTGCATAACACGACAAGTAAGCTCAAAGTAACACCCAGTTTTCTAGAGAACAAAAATAGGATAGTGTACTTTGGTCACTCTGGAGAATAATCTATAGTCCTGTACAGTGTACACTATAGTATATAAACTAATTACCTATTACACAAATCAGTGATTATCAACGAAAGTGCTGAGTAATTTAATTTTTCTTTTTCTCAAACATTGTAAATATAATTTAATGATCTTACTTCACAATATTTCCCCGTAAAATTGTCCCGTATTCTTTTATATTAAATACTATAAAATACGCAACACAACCGACCGGTAACCTTACCGAATGGTGCAAATGCACGGGTAGCCGAACGGGTGAACTGGGCATCTTAGATATCTTGCGTGTAAAATTAAATATGTGTTGTCAAAATTGGTAAAACTTATGAATCAGTACCTAATATGTGGTTATAATTGATCAATTAATAATTTAATTATTCTTTACTAAAACTTATAATTGTAATAATACTAATAATATTAATGTTATGTACTTGCTTAATTGGTTAAGTAGATGTTTTGGTTATTTTACATTCTAAATGAAGCGGAGAATGTATTTGTTTTACAAAGATGTTTTGTTTTTTTTTTTTTTATGTGAACACTTTCTACTAGAAAGCTTACTCCGATGTACACGATGTATACCTTTTTCTGAAAGGAAATTTTCTTGGGGTGGTACTTCAAAGTGGTCCTTTTTGATTTTCTCAAGAATTTTCTCATCAAATGTGAAACACCGAAAAAAAAACTGAGAAAAACAGGAAAATGTACGAAATATATTTGTAAAATATTAAGATTTTTTTTTCTGTGGATAACTTTTCTACCAGCAATTTCGTTCCGATTTACAATGATATTACTTTTTCTAAAAGAAAATCTGACTGAGAAGGTACTTTAAAGAAGTAATTTTTCGATTTCCCGATTTTTCCGAATGAAGATCGTAGAGTTCTTAAGGATACACTAAATCTACCTCAAAAATATAACTTGGTCGTTTTTCATTTCTAAAATGTTCTCTGTATTAAACAAAACGGGGTCGGATCACTTAAGTTCTTTATACGGTAAATATTTGCACATTGCCCACCCATAGAGATTATTCGCGTCCAAGTCTAATAAATATTTTCCTGGTTGTTCACATTTTCCTGTAATATACTTATTATTTGCTTTTGAATGTCTGGTACTACACTGGGATAAACCCCCTCTTATTCCCTGTTCAAAAAGTAAATGCATATCTATATCCGTTATAAGTTCTAATTTAATACTTGTTTTTTTTAACATAGCTCCCCACGCAAAACCCGGAGTTGTAAAGTAGTGAGCGGGGTCCAGTTTAAAATCTCCTAGTGAAACTTCTCTATAATTCTCCATTATATCTGAGAGCAATAATACGTCTAAAGTATTGTACAAGATCGTAAATTCTCTCAAATTCTTAATTTTAAACGAAGCCCATATTTTCTGTGCATTCTCGTATGAGTCAAATGTTATATGTTTCCCAGTTAGAGAACTGAAAAATTTCTCCATGGGAGGTAGGGAAGTCTCATTATATTTCTTTGGAGAATCCATATACTCATAAGAGTAAGCTAATTTTCTCTTCACTAAGTCAGATTGTTCCTTATTCTCAATAAACCTGGACAAATGTTTACACTGTTCTTTTTCCAAGGTACTAGCTAGTTTATCCAAAGAACTAGATAAGAACTTAAACGAGTCAAGAAACCTTAGCTCTATTTTCTCAAACACAGTTTTATTAGTTACCGGGTCTAGTTTCTCATATCTTAAAACTTTAGAAAACGTAATATAATTTTCCTCACTATTCGAAATAACCTTAATATCCCCTGTATTTATACCAAATTCTTTTATGAACAAATGTGCGTCGTAACCAGATAAATTATGGAAAAATACGGGAATAAATCTTGGAACTTTGTATTTTAGGTTACATATAGAATGAGCAGCCCCTCGATATTTTCCTGTTAAATGGTCGTGGTCTCTAACTTTTGTCTTATTAATGTTCATATCTCTCTCTTCTCTCTCGTATGTAGGGGGGGATTCGTTAAAAGACCTCTCACAAATAAAACAAGTATTTGTTCTCTCAAACTCGGCTTCTTGTTCTTTTGTTATTACCATAGGTTTATTTATGTCAAAATAATTCTTCGCTATATAAAGAGCTTCTTTCTTTAATTTCTCATAAAAAACTCTCACTGCGTTTTTACCCGAATAAGTTACTATATTATTTCTAATACTATTTGGTCTTGTAACATTGTAACAAAAACTAAAGGGTAAATGTTTTGGTATTTAAGTGTATAAGAATTTTCGCCACAAGGTTTAGACGTGTCGAGTTTGGGTAAAATGCTCTCGAAATCTGCGTATATAACAAATGGGACTTTATAAGATTTGTTATAATTCGTGAATTGGAGAATATTATTAGGGTGTTCGGGTAATATAGCTTTTGCGTACTACAATACTCTTTATGTTCTGTTAGTTTTTCTTCATTGCCAAAGTAGGATAAACACATTTTACAGTAATAATTTCCGTGACCATGTCTTGTTTTTTGAGTACTAACTAACCTTGAGAAATTTTTAATTAAACAATAATATTCCTTATTTTCTTCGCTAAGATAAAATAAATCTATATATGTTTCTCTCTCAACTTTGCACAATTGTAGAGGTACAATATTTCCGTTGTCATGAGTAAAAGCGTTTATGGATATATTTGTTTCTCCTTCGAATTTTGGAATATCCTTTAATTTAACAGGATTAATTTTATAAACGTCTCGTCGAATTTGTTTTCCCATTCTTTGTAGATATTAATTCTCTCTGCATGTATTGTTACTTGTAAACCCGCGAGAATAGACCAGAGAAAACATTTTTTATCTTCATTCTTAATTAACAATAGCCTTTTTTAGGGATATCCATTTTGGAAGTTCAATATAAGATCCCCCTCTGAGAGAATTATTTTTATACATATTTATCTCCATACTTAAAACACTTTTAAAAATCCAACTGCTACCTTTAGCTATAAATACGTCTTTTCGTTTTTGGACTGTTGTTTTTATGTTACTATAAAACTCGTTAAAATTAGTAGTGGTGTAGAAACATTTGTTTTCTGTGGTAAAATGTGTAGTAAAATTCTCGTGTGAAGGTTTTCTCTTTATATAACGACAAACCACAGAAATGTTTATTTTTAAATTACCAATCTCTTTTAAGTATCCTAAAATTTTCTTCTCTGCAATACCTCTTGAATAGTTCAGGAATTGGTTTATATCTTTAAACTCCCGTTTATTCACAACAAATAACAGAACTTTCCTGTTAAAAGCAGATTTTTTATGGGTATTATCTTCTATTTTTATATTAGGTTTTTTTCTTTCAAATAAACTACTTTGAAATCCACTAAAAACTCTGTGTGGTTTTTGTGTTCTCTCTTTCCTAGGTTTAGAGACTCTATTTCTTATTTTCTCTTTAGTTTTTTCATGGAACCTAGGCTCAATAGTTGAGTCCGGGTCGTTTTTCTGGTGTTTTATTGTTCTTAAATGCCTAGACCAATTTTTATATGTAGTTGTTGTATTACACATATTACACACCTTTTTCCTTAAAGGTGCTTCCATTTTATTATTATTTGCTTCCATTTTATTAATATATAAAATATATTTCTTTAACTCAAGATTCAATTTTATTTAAACTTTGTTCTATTTCCGGTAAAACGCCGGTACCTTTCAGACTATATGAAAAGAACAGAATTAAAAATATACATAAAATCAAGAGAAATGTATTTCCTTGAACTTTTATTAGACAGTCTAATAAATAATACAGTCTAATAACAGACTGTCTCAATATTTATTAGATTTAAAGTTATGCTTAAACCCAAAACGCTAACGAATAAATTTTCCCCAAATATGGGATTTTCTAACCTTATGGACCCGTTTCTTATCTTTATTATTCTCATTTATTATACTTTTTTTTTTTTTTTTTAATTTAAAAATAAATTAAAAACATGTTNTAAAAATTCGTAATAAACTCTTTAGGAAAAAAAAAAGTCTAGTGAATTTTTGGACAGATATTTAATTGTTCAATAGTATAGTTCGATCTAGACAAATTTTTAATTGGACCATTTTCAAAATATATATTTCCTCCTATGTTACTTAAATATTTTTCTTTGTTTATTTTTGGGGTTTTTTCACCGGTTTTAGTAAACTGTGATTTTCCAGTCTCAATTTCTTTTTCAGTAGGTCACCTATAACCGAATAATATTGAATATTTTGCAACATTGCTCTCTTCTATTTTATATTCAAAGCCTAAACAGTCAGATAAATATGAGTCTAATCCAATATTAAAAGGAGAGGATATTTTTAATAGTCTATTTTCGAGTTCGAATTTTGTGGATTTATTTGGATTTTTCTCTGGGTAACTATTGAACATTTTCTCTAACGAACTTAAAGAATACAATCCAATAGCTAAAGTTTTCGATGGTATATGTCCGTTTTTCCCAATAACAAATTTACATTCTTGGTTAATTTGTATAAGTTCTTCTTTGGGGTTAGGTATTATGAATTTTAAAGGGAAATTTCCAACAAATTTGTTTCTCATTGTATTAAAGTAATTGTCTTTTTCGGGATCAAAACCTAAATATTTGTTCAACTTTTTATCTAGATTAAAAAAAAAAAAAGGGATTTAATATTAATTTTACCTTCTTCTATAGAAAAAATTAAAGGAGTGAGAATCGTGTTTAATTCGTGTGTAGTATAATTTCCAGATTTTAAATTAATTATATTTCCTTGAACTTTTAATAGACAGCCTGTCTCAATATTTATTAGATTTGAAGTTATGCTTAAACCCAAAACGCTAACGAATAAATTTTCCCCAAATATGGGATTTTCTAACCTTATGGATCCGTTTCTTGTCTTTATTATTCTCATTTATTATACTATTTTTATTATTTTTTTTTTAAATTTAAAAATAAATTAAAAAACATGTTAAAATTATTCAAACTCAATTAAATGAGTAATTTTTCCGTTTAAAAGAGACTTAGAACCTTTGTAGATCATGGTTATTTTGTCTTGTTGCTCGTTTATCTTTTAACAGTCCTGTTCTGAGAAGTCTTTAAGAAACCTGTTTGGTAAATTTAAGTAGTACATTTTATCCACGACAACACGTAATTGTGTATATGTCCGTATTGAGAAGTAATAATACAGAAATTATCGATAGTGTATTTTTGGTCTGGTACTAAGTCTCTTAGTTTTATGTATTCCTTAAAGGTGCTCGAGTTTAGTTTTTTCTTAATAATATTAATTTCCATTTATTATATATAAAAAAAAAAAAAAGAGAGAATGTACACTTTTAAGGGGTACCGGTAAAACGCCGGTACCTTTTCAGAAGAATATAAAAATAACAAAAGTTTAGGGTACCGGTAAAACGCCGGTACCTTTTTAAAAGAATATAAAAACAAGAGAAGTTTAGGGTACCGGTAAAACGCCGGTACCTTTCATACTGTCTGAAAACAAGAGATGATATTCTTTTGCAAACAATAAAATATAAAAACAAGAGAGAAAAATATTAGCTCGAAAGAGAATGTACAATTCTGTTCTTTTGCAAATAAAATAAAATATACAAAAACTAGAGGGTACCGGTAAAACGCCGGTATCTTGTATCTAGTTTCAAAACAAAAGATAGACATTTTTTTGTATAATAAATGGAAATTCTCGTTCTTTTTTTATATACCTAAGGATATAAAAAAGTAGTTAAAACCCAAAAATTAGTGTCAATTCACTATTATATGGGTAAACACACGGGGGAGCGTGTCAGGTTTGTTGTTATTTCTCTGTTAAATATTGTTAAAAATTTACTGTTAAAATTCTGTTAAAAATTTACTGTTCAAACTCTGTTAAATATGGGTTGTCCCAGAATCGGCAAATACATACTACTTCTGCTTTTACTAATGTGATCACAATAATCACAATGCAGTAACGCCACGGCAGTCTAGGAATAGACTAGTTCGCGTTATTTGTATTATTATGTCTACTGCTGCCTTGCATTAATTGTAAAGTGTAATGTGCAATAGCTCATACTGAACTATCAATGCTAAAGAGTACACACCCTCCCATTAAATTAGATGTAGCAGCCACTGCATCTAATATATATGTCCGGCGTCACTGCGTGACTATATGTGACAGTGATCACTACCCGAGCAAAAGTTTTATACGAACGTTGCCGATAGCGATAATACTATTACCATGGCGATAAGCTAGTGTGCGCACGACGAGTGTTTGTCTAAAAACCGTATCTTATAATAAATATTGTTTGTTCCTTGTAATGTACGCATTATATACAGTTCTCATCGTCTAATACAATATTATGTGTACGAGCGCGTTGCTCAGTGTCAACAGTTTATATTGACTTATAATATATATATATATATATAGGTACCGTCCGTCCTACAGTATTTCGTTTAGAACCGAAACTAACCGGTTATTTAGGTTAAGTGTGATTATATATAATATTATACATAGTCATAACGAAATGATATTATCATAAGTGTATTCCGATAGGTGCACCGTTTTTTTAAAAAAAAATTTTTTCCTAAACATAATCGACATTTCCGTCATCGGTGGTTTTTTTTTTTTTTGGTCGGGGCCTATTGTCAGTCACTTCTGTAATAGGCGTTTTGTTCACTTGACGTACAACTATATTATCGTACACAAGTACTGTTTGGTAGGTGGGCTCGCTTAATTCACGCCGCATCAGACTGTAAACCGTACAATATTATCGAACACGTGAAATCGTCAGTTGGTTTTTTTTTTTTTTTTTTTTTTTGTTTTCCGACACGCGAAATGTTCAGATATATTTATTTAACCGTGTGCCTTTTATGTCTGTTTTACGTATTCGCGGCGTGTTACGCGTTATTAAACGACTTGATAGTTAATTCGTTCGTGTACGATCTGTTTCGCCAAAGCCGCACGGTCGCTGATGACGACGAGTAAGTATATCAATGTTATAATATGATAGAAATACATATACCCAGTGGCGTGACGTGATTTATTCAGTGGTGTAAGCAATCGCCGAAAAATATATACTTACCAGTACCTCCATTTACTTCTATCATCTCTAGAGAGCCGTTCACGATTTATTTAGTACAAATATTATCAAAAATGATTTAAATATTTAACCATAACCCCTAAATAGATACTATCGAGTAAACATAACATTTTGAACTGTTTGAAGTCAATGAGTGAAGATGACTGTTGAGAGTTCCAATGTGACAGTGTCTTATGTTGTCGTACCAACGCTGATAGTATAGTAAATATAGTATAATGCTATTGATATTACGATGATTGGCCATGTAACACATTTGAAAGTTGCTTATTTGTCATCTCCTTAAACGATTCCAAAATTCCAAAATGTAGTACACAATTTTATATCACTATAGAACTAGTAGAACTTGATCATAGCGTTCACTTAAAAATTTACCTATAACATTGCATAACTGAAAGTGTAAGAAACGCTAACACTGCTTACCTATATGCACACCACGCTTCAGCTGCCTATACCCCATTCATCACGAGATGATGGGATATGGCTGATATTTAAAAAACTGTTATTATTTACACAATTGTTGTTTTAAATATGTAGATAATACAATACAATATTATGTTGTTATAAATTATAATATTATTGAAGCGAAATAAAATTGTGGGAACTGTAATACACCCCTCTCATCCGCCCTTTTCCTCCGACCCGTTCAACCGACCTTAGTTCGTCTCGTTTCGAGTTCATTTATTCTTTTGTTTTTTTTTTTTACTTATTAACAATCGGTTTTTTTTTTTTTGTTTTTTTTACACGGATTTAGATAAAACGACGTTTCTGTTTTTCCGTGTGGTACGGACACCGCGAGTGACAACAATACTATTATAATATTGTTATGATGTCCGCACGCCGTGTTGAGAGCGACTGCACCACCGGCACCATCAACATGTACACAATTCGATGGAAAAATTCATTTTTAACGTTTTGTTTGGAGGGCACCGAAATCGTGCCGACGTCGTCAATAATGTTATACGGCGAGTCGTACACACTCTAAAAACAATAATATCACAATAATAGTATTAGTCGTTCACGTGTCGTCATATTTTGTAGACAGCTGATACCGCACCTGTCGCAGAGGTATTATTTTTTTTTCTGTTGTTCACAAAACTCGTGCTCCACCGTAAATACATCATAATATTCATATAATATAATATTATGCACAAATCCGTTAGCGTTATTAGATCAATAATATTATAATTTAATATAATCACGTTTTCCTTACTCAAGATTTTTTTTTTTTATTTTACTTGACATTCGAAATATTCTATAGGTAATAATATTCTATTTGACGAAAAATAGTCCGACGGCGGTGCGATTATTTTATACAATGACGATGTTTTACATGTTTTAATACAAGGTGTTGGATGATCAATCCTCGACAAGACGTCTCTCTCATCTCGGAAGTATTACTTTTTTCCGGAAATTATTNATTATAGACATTTTCAATTTCCGTCAAAACTATTGACGTTGGTATTGCAATTTTAAGTTCGGGTAAGTGAAGAGGAGTGGAGCATAATTTGTGTGCCGATGCAACGCGCGGAAATACTCTCCCCATAGTCATACTTAAAAGTAAAACATCTCGTCAACAGGAACTGGAAATTAAAGTTACCTATGTAATAATATAAAATACACGAATAAACGATTATTATTATATTAATAAAGTAATATTATTAAAAAAAAAAAAAACATTAATAAATTGTTTAGAATGATATTTGATTAGTTTTTTTTTTTTTTCAAAAAACGTTTGAATGGTTGTATTATTATAAATTATTATAATTAGAGCCCCCCACGAAAATTTGATTGGCTATGGTACTGTTTCATGTAATTTTATAAATAATTTGGAAAAACCAAAAAAAAAGGGAAAGTGTACGCCATTATAGTTTCATTATTTTCGATTTTTGTTTTTTAATTTTAATACAGTTAAAAAAATTACAGAGACTTGACATTTTTAAAGAATACTTGTATTCTGTAAGCGTAGTCAAATTTTCAAAATATATTAATTTAAAAGTTATCTATAGTCTCATAGGTATTTGATATTTTCGAGTTTGGCCCAGCAGAAATGTTTACCAATTTTACTCTAGATTCGTATGTTATTCTCAGTGATCAAAAAATATAAAAATTTGAGCTAAACAATGCAATTTTATATAAGCGCTTTAAATCGCTCGAAATCATATAAATTACGACATTTCAAAAGATGTATTCATGTAACCGATTTTCAAATAGAATCATTTTTCGTTAGCAATAGTTTATTATTGCATCCAGACACAAATTAAATACAATTGTTTTAATTTTCGTGTAGCATTTTTTATTTGAATGATGATGCGTTAGTGATATCAACTACTTTTTGGCGAGGCTAAAAAACTTCTTCATACGAAACTTGGCCCCTTCTTCACATTAATGTTTTTGATTGTATTCTATACTACCTATATTTTACATACCATATTTTTTTAAATATTATAAATTGTAACCCTAAATTAATTATTAAATTAAAAAAATTATAAATAGATATATTCTATTCCCAATTTATTTTTCTACTAGATTTATTATTTTTATTTTTAAGTCTATCTATTATATGTGATGAATTAAATATTACATGATTTACTAAAGGTGTTATTGAATAAATGGAGGAATTTGTGGAATTACGTGTGATTATTTTAATCATATCTTAAAAATTCGGGTTCTATACCGCTGAATCTCATGTTCTTCCTGGCTTCTATAGTAAAAAAAAAAAACAGTAAATATAAACGAGCTTTGTTTGCTTACTGTGCATATAAATATATAAAGCATGTTGGATAATGTGTATTCTTTAATACTTTTTTTTTTTTTTTTAAACGCGAATAAAAAAACTTTAAAATATCCAAAATATATGACAGCAAATACGGTTAAGTGAAATAGGTGATAGGTATAAACTATAAATGTATAATATAATAACATGATCATCAGTTGTTATCATAAATATACAACACTCTGTCAAGACTAAAACCTACAGAGTTCAAATTATAAAATTAAGAAAAACTAGGGAACTATACACAATTACACAGTTTTAAATGCATCAACAATTGAAACTATAATATTACGTATTATTGTTTATAGAATAGTTATATCATTTTTTTTTTTTTTTAAACGCGAATAAAAAAACTTTAAAATATCCAAAATAATTAAATATAGACCTATATAAAACAAAATACCATTGCTCATGAAAAACGATTCCGAGGATCTGAGTGAATTCTGGAAAAACATATTTTGAAATACCGTGATTTATACGGTCTCATTTTAAATTACAACTATAGACGCTTATAAAAAAAATTTCACTGGGGATTTTTAATATTTTGTGTTTAGTGCCATAAATATATCTCATGATGGACCTTTTACCAAATTGTTGTGTGTTTTTACAAATGTTATCATGGCTTATATTACTATTCTGTGAGAAATTGCAGGTCTGTAAAATTATTTTTAATCAATATTTTACTACAATATCCAAAAGAGCTGATACTACTGATGATGAGTGTGCCATTGTGTAGGTGGAAAGTAAGAGAAGTAAGGTACATAGAGTTATATCTAACATAAAATAATTTATAAATAAATAAATAATGAACATCGGGCTAAATTTTTAAAAATTTGTCTACGACTAAAATAATTATATCTGTTTCAAACCAAATAAAAGCTCGAAAGTGTCAAATGTATAAATAACTTAAAAATATTTTTAGAATTTAAGTTTAAAAAGTTAAAGTTCGTAAAGATCGAAACAAGTTTATTAGGAAAAAACGTGTCCACAAACTAGAACAAAGAAAAAGAAAGAAATAAACAGCATTGTAAAACCAATAGCTCCCTTTCTACGTTCGGAATCTAAAATGAACTATAAGTAGATAACAAAAAATAAATCTAAAGTTTTTTCCGACTTTTACACGTAAAAATTAATATGACTTAGATTCAAAATTTGCAGATTCACCCCTCAAGAAAAAAAATCTCTATAATATTATGAAAAAAAAAAAGAAACTTTTTCTGTTAAGTACCTATTATTCGAATGATATTTCGCACGCTGTTCTTAAACATATAATTTAATGAGCTAGGCACTCGATTTTGTGAGCCTCTATATCTACAATTTGTTACCTTCATACTTACCTGTAATAATCTACAATTGGGTAACTCTCCGAATACCAAAATATAAGAGTACGTCCTTACAATTTGCGAGTGCCGGAGCAGAACTCTTTTAACTCTACTCCCGTAGGCCATAACCTCTCTCATTTCAAAATTTAAACCTACGTGAAATATTTTTACCTATTACTTTTACCAGTAACTCAACCTGTTACCTCTATTTTATTCTTACATTATTACTCTTTCTATTTCCAAATAAATATTTTTATACCTATCACTAGAGCTCGGATTTTATAGTATTTGCTAATTATTATAGGATAAAGATAAAAATAGCAGGGTGAGCTTTACATTTTTTTTATGCACCAGGCTTCGAATATGAAATTGTATACTACATTTTTTTGCATAATTGAAGTATTTTCAGGCAAACATAATAATTTAATTTATATTTTTCATAAGTAGTAAAAATATCTATAATTTTTGTGTAACCTAATCGTTCTATTGTCCTAGCTAGTAGTCTCATTTTATTATAGTCAATTTTTAAGTAACCTGGCGTATTGTAGAGATATGTAGTTCGTGAACAAATTAATTCGAATGAACAATTCAGACGATTAATGAATCATTTGAACGATTCGTTTGAATTCTTTTTGAATTTATTAATTTATGATTTCTTCTCAATTGTATTTATATATTTAAAAAATACGGACATACATCGCACGCGGGTGCACCGACTGTTGTAGGTGAGAAATTAAGAAGGTAGGATACAAAAGGGAATATAATGTATATCTGTAAGCAACGATAAACCATTGCTAACGAAAAAACGATTCTGAGCACAGTTCAGTTGACAGTGATGCTTTGTTAACAATATATGTGTCATATTATGATAAAATAATTAAATAGGCATCACATTTTTTCTTTTTTAATATTTGTTTAATACCGATTTTTCCGTTTTTCCTGCTTTATTCCCGGTCTCTTCCCACGTTTTTTTTCGCAAATTTTCACTTTTTCCTGGAAAACTCTTTAGAAAATCGAAAAATTACCTTCCTTAGAAATTACACTCAGAATCAACACACTATTTTAAATTACACTAAAAATAATTTTAAAAATATTATATTTTTAAATTTAAAACACGAATAATCGGATAACAAAACACATATTACATTATAATATGTATACATTTTAATTTTATACATTTCCTCATTTCCCATTATCGTTTTCTGGAAACAGCTTAATAACAATAATAATTTGATTAATGTACTTTATATTATAAAGGTCTATATTCACTTTATCATCATAGAATATACTATACAAGAATTTTTGTTTCTAATATTATCAAATAAAAATAAAAATTATATTTCTGTGGCTTGGAGCAAGAAGGGCCAATGTCAATTTTTTTTAAAAACCCGTTAAAAATAAAAAAATAAAAAGTGAACAATTTTTTATTTTACTATTAAGTTTTTGAAAAAATTGAAAATAACACAAACATTTACATTTAATAAAATACACAGAACCTTATGGGAAATTCAAATTTCAAAGCCCATTTCTCAGAAATTACAAAATGTGACACTGAAATTTCTCCCCGTTTGAAATAGGTAAATTTGATTTTAAGTACTATAATTTTAATTTTTTGGTACTGTATTTGTATTATAAATTGAAATAAAACACACGGGACCTAAACGAAGAATCCGAAAGGCACAGCGTGAGCCTCACTCGCCCCAATCTAAAGACGACCCTGATCATTCATATACAACCTGTATCGGATATAGAAGGAGTGATGGGGCAATGGAAACAAAGCTCTCTCTTCACTCCCCAATAAAGGTATTCTTAGCTTGATTTCCATCATGAATATATGCCTTATATGAATATATACAATTATTCTCTCCGCTTTTCGTAATCATGTCCTGGTCCTCCCCTAATAACCAATATTTTTCTGCGGGAACGGTAAGTATGTCAATAATGAAATGATGTGAACATTCATAATACGACGTAAAAGTGATGTGTACCTAATAGTCCTAATATTTGGACACATTTAGTGTCTAGTCGAGCCGGAATAAACGCAGCGTAACCAAACCAATAACCAACGTACCAGTACCTATAATACACCCACTCTATTCGTACATACTTATTTTTTTATTTGTTTTTAAATGGGTTCGGCGTATGACTGTTTCGAATTTATATATATATAACGTAGTCATACTTAGGACTTGGATGGATAATGTCGTGGATGATCGTTGTGTTACGAGACAGAATTATCGAAATTATAGAATAAACAAATAGTAAAATAATATCTTTATTCTAAAATCAATACCCGTGCTAATACGTGTTGACGTTTTAGAAATTCCATTGAACACTTGCCGCATGTGGTTCTACCATATAGGCGGATCTACGGAGTGTGCCGGGGTTTTATGTAAAGATAAAACTGATAAATAATAATAAACAATATGTATACACATTAAATGAATTTGCTTAGTGTTCAAAATAAGTTTCCAAAATAATGATTACATATATTTTAGATTACACATATATATATAGTACATTGCCAACTCCATATATTGTATATTTAAATAGGACGCCAGGAGTGGCGTAACTAGGGGGGTGATTTAGATTATAAATCACCCTCAGACTTTTTATTTTTACTTTTTGGATTCTGAGAGTAGTGTCGGTTTTATTAAAATGTTTATTTTATTTTTTTATACTGTGTACAAAAATTCTACCAGAAATCTTGGTCAGATATATACGCACGGCACCATTTCTGAAAGGAAATATTGTCCAAAAAATACTTTTTGGAGGTCATTTTTTGAATTTCCAAGCGGTTTTCATAGCAAATGTAATAATCCGGGAAAAACATATGAAAACCGGTTTTCATAATATCTGGGAAAACTAGGTTAAAATGTAAAAAAAACGGGAAATTTACAAAGATAATGCTTTTATTGTTTTTCAATCTTGTTATATGTTGTAATTCAGTTTAAATATTCGTGGAGACTTCAAATTTAAACAGAAAACGTATATTTACATTTTCTAGACGTAATAAAATTTTCAACAAATTTAAACCATTTTTGAGCTATTTATAGACATTTTAATTTTGCGAGTTTTGTACGTAATTTTTATTCGGTATATACTATGTGGCAAAATTCTTGACTTAACTGTAATTCTTGAACATATAACAAGAGGTTCATTAGTCTTACTTTGTAAAAAAATTGTGTTTAATATAATTTTTTTTTTTATATATAAAGGAATTTTAATACCAAACGTAAATATCGACGAAACTCGTTTTGAGTAAAAAATTATGTTTAACAAATCTAATTTTTCAATCTTTTTTTTTTTGAACATATGTATATTGCCGATTTCAAAACGATGGTGAAGTCAGAATTGAGTGGACTAAGTTTCGAAATTATAGCTTTTTAAAGTTCTGATATTATGTGGATATTATAATATGTTATGTTAAATAATTCTATATTGTGAACTTCTTAATATGTTATAGCCGAATGGTTAAACATACCTCTTATCTTTGGGGTTGCGAGTACAAAACCGTGTTTCGAAAAAAAATGTTTGCATTTATTTTTTCCCTTTTACCTAAACAGGGAAAAAACAAATGCATTTTAAATGTATCTAAACATCCAGCTATCGCTCGCTCGGACTATTTTAATTACAAAATACCCCTCGATTTGTGCAATATTTTTTAACTCAAATTCTGAAATCTGATAAAGTACTTTAGGTTGGTCATTTTTCAATTTTCCTAAGAGTTTTATCAGCAAATGGGAAAAAACGTGAGAAAACCAGGAAAAACAGAAAATTCGATACAACAATAAACAAATATTATTATAGAAAATATATAATGCCTATTTAGTTATTTTATTATAATATGACATATTTATATATATTACATATTGTTGACAAAGCATCGCTATCCACTGAAACGCGCTTAGAATCGTTTTTTCGTTAGCTATGGTTTATCGTTGCTTACAGGTATACATTAAATTACCTAAAATAGTGGCTGCACCGATCTTCATTATCCTAGGACGTCTTTTTTACCAATTATTATTTTATATAATTAATAAAGTATGGATTTTTAGATTTTAAATCACTATACCGTACTTTTTAAGCCTGTTTCACATGGACGCGTATCTTACGCGAGCATATCATACGCTGCATTTTGAATTACACTACTTAAATTGATCATTTCACATGTATGCGTACGATACGCGACGCGTTTCATACCTGCTCAACTACTTCCACGGTCAATGTTGAAGATTCTGAAGTTTTAGAAGAATTTAAAAATATTGTGCTATTTTAAAGACGATTGTTATTATAAGTAAAACCAATTATTATGATAAATAAATTACACAATTATAATCAAAATAAAATTATAACTAGTGTTGTTTTAATGTATTAAATAATAAATCATTATAATTAATAATAACACATAATTTGTTTTATACAGCCAATAGTTATACAAGTAAATAGTATACAATAATAGGTTATAGTATTGGTTAGTAAACAAGTGTTGAATATGTAAAATATTTTAACTTTTGTGTATTTTATACACCGTCTTATGGAAGAAAATTTTTAAAGCGAATTAATTTATGTATAGTATAAAAAAATAACTACATAGAAGGCTGAGCACACTCAAATGTAAAATTCTAGGTCCACCTATGGGTTCTACCGTAACGAGTCCTGCAAGTTAATGCGAAAAAACAATCGATCTACAGCGCATTGGTAATAATTAAACAGATCAAAAAGAAAGAACAATGGCTGTAGATGCATTAACGAATTCATAACTTATTGTATAATACATACTTAATCATTTTTTAAATCGACTCTATTGGCTTCATTGAATCTATCCATCGATAATTGTTGAACATCATTGTAAATATTTAAATTATCGTACCTACGCGCTGGGGATGACGGAGTTCGAATATTGGTCGCTAACTTCACTCATACGTAAACTACAATTAGTTTACTAACTGGACCAAACCCTGATTAACTATTTACAGTAAGAGTGTCATCAAAACAATTATGTAAGAAATATATTTATTTTGTATTAGGAATACCTAATCAAATAAATGATTAAAGAGTATTCAGAATATGTATTCAAATTTTTTTTTTTTCAGTTACTTTACTTACTTACCTTACTTTATGTACGATTATTTTCCGGGTTTCTACATGCGTCCAGAAAATGTCCACAGAAACAATAAATAAAATAAAATAAACATCATTGTATAACCAATACACTTCGTTCTACCTACAATCTAAAAATAAAGAAACCATTATATCAGTCAGCATGACAAATTTCCCGAAATACTAATCAAATTATATAGAATATCAAAAAAAAAAAAACGATCATACTCACACACTAGATAAAATTTAAGATAAGTATTACTCTTTAAATTTCGAGCAATATGTCTCGTAGACAACATAAAACTTAGGAATTTAAAATAATGAAATCGTAAAACCATAAATTTGTTTGTTATTATCATTTTCCGGTTTTTCCAATTACAAAAACTGCTAAGAAAATCAAAAAATGATTAGCTCACCAACTAAATCTGAAATGCAACAATAAGGGCATTTTGTCCTTTTTTTTTATCGAAGCTAGATTTTCCTAACCAGAGGGGAGGGATTTGACTTACAAATTCCGAAAACCAACTAACAAATACTTTAAAAATACTCAAAATATTAATAAAAAAAACAAGGGTGTAATTTGTAAAAAATTCTAGTGATTTTGTTTCTCTAAACTTATTTGTTGACCACGGGGACATGGTCATTCAAAAACTTGGTGAAAATTCGTGATACACTAAATATCTTATATTTATAATAAACAATCAAACACGACGTAATACAATTATCAGTTCCATCTCAAATAACATCTTTTAAACAGTGTTGCTACCTAAGTACGCCTCACATTAATTCACAATATTAATTACGCGTGTCGCCCATATAGAAGCGCTCCATTTTAGTGTGATGGTCAATTAAGAACCGTTGATGTCGGAAACTGTTGAAGGCATAAAAGGGAAGTCAGATAGGCTGCAGAAATAGTCCTGGATGTCACTGAGGTAATGATCCTGCCACCAAAGAACGCTTTGACTGTTTGTCAATAGGGTTCCCAATGAGGGCATTCAATGAACGTGTGCTCCGAAGTATCCTCAGGGTGCTGGCAGTATACAGACACTATGCATTTGGAGCGCGTCCCATGCGACACGGGTATAGTGCCTGAAACACCCGATAACGCTTGAGTAACGTGGAAGGTGAGGTCTTTCGGACGTCTGTACTCTCTGTACTTGGTTTATACTGGCTGTCCTTCGAAGATATACCCATTGAATATCTCTGGAGATAATAAAGATAATCAAATTCTGGTTTTTTTTTTTTTTTTGTTGTTACTCACGGGGACGCGGAGACTACAAATATTTATATTTGAATCAGATTTTTTTTATTACAAAAATAACTTTATTTTACTATTTACGGAAAATTTGAATACAGCCATTTGGTATAATTTATTTTTCTGAAAATTTTAATTTATCACACATTTATATATCCAATGAATAGTTTCTGAGTAACAGCCGTTTTAAATTCGTCGCATCCGTGTGAAAACCGATGTTACCTAGGAAATAGCCCAACCGCGTTACGCGATAACATCGGTTTTCACGCGGATCAGAAGAATTAAAATTTAAAGACTATAGTTACCCTGTGACACGCTCTATGCCAGGGTATCTGTATTCATGTCCAGCCGATCGCGCATTGCAACAGCGCTGCCGCCGACCATCGCATCCATAGGTACGCTCGCGTGTTAAACCATAACATAGAGCAGGCACCGGCGGCCCGCGGGCCTCGGAACTTTTCTCCGCGGCCCTCCAAATATATATATCTTGGTGTTTAAGATTTTAATTTTATATCCTAAATTGCAATAAACAAAATCGGATCATGACTATTATATGTTTATAAGTATAAGCCATGAGCTTGCCTCACGTTGTTCTCGAGGTCTCACAAAATACAATCTTTTATGATCGTGATATGATATACAGACACATACATTGGTATTCGATTAAACTACGAAGATTACGACAAATACGTATCTGGTTATGGCCGTAGTACAGTACGTTTTTAAACATTCCAACGTGAAGACGTTTTCGAAAAATTAAATACTGTTCACGATTAAGCGACGAACACGTGAATGGCAGTTCTATGAATATCAAAAAGCGGATAACAACGAATTAGCGGGGAAACCGCATCCTTAAAAATCACACTGGAAACTAAATATTTATATCCTTTTGCACTCAAAAATGAATTAATAATAATTTTTTAATTTTTTTTTTAATTTCCTCTACTAATGAATTTAATTCAAAATTAATGAATAAAGACAACCTCGCAATGTTAAACTCATAATATAATTGTTGATGTCCATAAGTATATTAGTGTCCATAGTATTATATGTTGAAATTGCATTTTCAATAACGTTTATTTGAATATTTTTATGCGGCCCTAAATGAAAAGCTGATAAAAAATATGGCTCACGTAAGTAAAACAGATTGTCGACACCCCTGTCATAAAGTAATAATCATGCATACGAATATCAAATTGTATGGCATTCGTACAATATTACCAACCATATATATGCATACCCAACCTTTTATCTTTCAATGTTTTTAATATATTTATTTTTATTTTTATTCCACTGCGGTATAATATACATAATTATAACGAAATAATATTATCACAAGTTTATTCGGCCGATAGGTGCACGGTTTTTTTTTTTTTTTTTCCTAAACATAATCGACATTTTCGTCATCGGTCGTTTTTTTTATTATTTTTTCATCGGACCCATTGTCAGTCACTTCTGCAATAGGCGTTTTGTTCACTTGACGCACAACTGTATACACACGAGTATACTATTGTAGGTGGGCCTTACTGAATTCATGCCGCATCGGACGGTTAACCGCACAATAATATTATCTGCGATCCGCGTGCACGCGAAATGTTCAGATATATTTATTTCGCCGTGTGCCTGTTGTGTCTGTTTTACATACTCGCTACGTGTTACGCGTTAATGATCAATTTAAAGACCTGATGTTTAATTCGGTCGCTGCACATGACGACGAGTAAGTAAACAATGGTATCGCAACAATATTATTACTCGTTCACTCGTTCACGTATCGTCATATTTTGTGGGCGGTTGATACCGTATCCGTCGCAGCGAAGAGGTAACGTGTAAGCATTTATTATCATCATTACTTTTTTTTTCCCGTTGTCCACCAAACTCGTGCTCCACCGTAAATCCATCATTGTGTCCATATATAATGTATTATGCACAAATTCGTTGGCGGTATTAGATTAATAATACATACTTGTGTAAAATACAATCACGTTTTTCTTCTAGTACTCAACATTCGAAATATATAGGTGTTAACTCGGGTGTTGTATATTGATGTATTTGACGAAAAATAGTCCGACGGCGGTGCGATTATTTTATACAATGACGATGTTTTACATGTTTTAATACAAGGTGTTGGATGATCAATCCTCGACAAGACGTCTCTCTCATCTCGGAAGTATTACTTTTTTCCGGAAATTATTCGGTTTTCATTTAGATCATTTATGAAACGAGCAACTTTAAAATGTTACATTACCGTTATTTTTCGTCATAACTATTTTTGGAGTTGAAACGCTGCCCATTTTTAATTTTCAAACGACAACTTATATTAAAATTTCCATGAATGGGTGAAATTTTAGATTATAGACATTTTCAATTTCCGTCAAAACTATTGACGTTGGTATTGCAATTTTAAGTTCGGGTAAATGAAGAGAAGTGGAGCATAATTTGTGTGCCGATGCAACGCGCGGAAATACTCTCCCCATAGTCATACTTAAAAGTAAAACATCTCGTCAACAGAAACTTGAAATTAAAGTTACCTATGTAATAATATAAAATACACGAATACACAATTATTATTATATTAATAAAGTAATACAATTAAAAAAAAAAAAAAACAGTAATAAATTGTTTAGAATGATATTTGGTTAGTTTTTTTTTTGTATTCTAAGAAAAACGAAGAACGTATGAATGGTTGTATTATTATAAATTATTATAATTTGTTTAATTTTTACGGTTTATATTTTCTATCCAAAATCTTGCTTCAATCGAAAACCAAGAAGACACCTTTTCTATTGCATTTAAGTTTAAAAGTTACTGCGTTGGGGATGTTATTTTTTTGATTTTCTAAATAGTTTTGATAATATTTGAGAAAAACCAAAAAAAAACGGAAAAGTAGGTACCTACATGCCATTATAGTTTCATGATTTTCGATTTTTGTTTTTTCGTTTTGATGCGGTTAAAAAAATTGCAGAGATTTGACATGTTAACAGTATACTCTATGGTTTTTCTGTGGGCGTAGTAAAATTTTTAAAATATTGTTGATATCAATTATTTTTCGGAAAAGCTGACAAACTTTTTCTTACCCAAATGTTTTTGATGGTATTTTATACATATTTTTTTAAATAATATAAATCATAAATCTATATCTATATATATATACATTGTATTCTCAATTTTTTTTCTTTTAAATGTATTATTTTTATTTTTGAGTTTATCTATTATAAATATAGATAAATTAAATGTTACATGATTAACTAAAGGTGATATTGAATAAATGGAGGAATTTGTGGAATTACATATGATTGTTTTAACCATATCTTAAAAATTCGGGTTCTAAATCGCCGAATCTAGAGTTCCTCCTGGCTTCTATAGTAAAAAAGAACAGTAAATAAGTTTTGTTTGCTTACTCTGCACATAAATATATAAAAAAATGTTGGATAATGTGTAGCTATTCTTATAGTGATGAAAAAAAAGTAAGTAGTTTAAGAAATATATATTATTAATACTTTTTTTTTTCTTTTAGGTAGTTGTTTAATATTCTGGTGCAGTAAATATGACAACAAATTCCTATGGTAAGATGACATAGGTATTTTATTATAATACCTATTAAGATAAACGCAACATCGTCAGTCGTTATCTTAAATCTACACCACTTGTGCCAAGACTAAGCCTACAGAGTTCAAAATATAAATTAAGAAAAACCAGGTAATTATAGAACGATAGGTACATAATATTAACACAGTTTTAAATACATCAACAATGGAAAATATAATATTGCGTATTATTGTTTGAATTATTTTTTTTTAAAACGCGACTAAAAAAAATTAGAATATCTAGAATAATTAAATTTAGACTTATGTATAACGAAACACCATTGCTCATGAAAAACGATTCTGAGGATCTGAGTGAATTCTGGAAAAACATATTGTAGTAAATTGTGCATTTTAAAGAAACCAAAAATTATTTAATCCTAATAAAATCTAAAAACATGAAAAGTTTTAATCACTTTAAATAGTTTACTGATATCAAAAGTGATTTAAAAATTGTATCATGACTAGAAATAGCTATAATATTAGTATTCTTTGAAATTTGCAAATTTTTAAAATTATTTTCAATCAATTGTTTACAACAAAAAAGCAAAAGAGCTGATACTGCTAATGGTTCTGCCACTCTTGTAGGTGATGGGAAGCGGGGAAGGAGAGATATATAGATCAGATACAGGAGAAGAGCGATTTGGAAAAAGCCCCCCTGTTTGCTACCTAATATAAGTACTCATAGCTTGATTTTCATCATAAATGATTACAATTATTCTCTTCGCATCCCATAATCATGTACCTGATCCTACCCTAATTACCAATACTTTAATGCAGGAACAATAATTATGTCAATAATAAAATTATGTGAACACTCGTAATACTAAGTAAAAGTGATGTGTATCTACTACCTAATAGTCTAATATTTGAACATATTTATTGTCTATTAAAGCTGGAATAAACCCAGCGTAACCAAACTAATAACTATAGTACTAGTACCTATAATACACCCACTCTTGTATATATTTAATATTTATTTTTTATTTGTTTTCAATTGGGTTCGGCGTGTGACTGTTTCGAGCATATATATTGTATTTATATAAAGTAGAACTACTTAGGGCTTAGGTGGATAATGTTTAAGGTAGTTGTGTTACGAGATATAATTATAAAAATTGTAGAATAAATAAATAGCAAAATAATATCTTTAATGTTATTCCAAAATCAATACCTGTGCTATAACATGTTGATGTTTCAGAAATGTTTCCATTGAATATTTGCTATACATAGTTTCACAGTGACGAGTCATGCAAGTTAAAGCAAAAAAACAATTGATCAGCATGTATATTGTTAATAGTTACACAGATCAAAAAAGAACAAACAATAGCTGTAGACGCATTAACAAATTCATAATTGTATAGTACATAAACATTTTTTAAATCACTTATATTGGTTTTATTGAATCTATTCATCAATAAATTGTAATCATTGTAAATATTTAAATTATCGTACCTACGCGCTGGGGATGACGGAGTTCGAATATTGGCTGGGAAAATAACTCATCCCTAAACTACAATTAGATTACTAACTAGACCAAAACCTGATTAACTACTTATAGTAAGAGTGTCATCAAAACACTTGTGTAAGTAATACATTTATTTTATATTCGGAATATCTAATCAAATAAATGATTAAAGAGTATTCAGAATATGTATTCGAATAATTTTAAAAATATATATATATATATAGTCTAATATTTTTTTGCAGTTAATTTTTGTTAATTTTATAAAAAGTTCTAAATTAAATGTTTCTCAATATTTAATTAAATGAACTAATAACTGATTAGTATAACTAATTGAATATTATATCATTAATAGGCCAATTATTAAAATTTTGATTTAACATTAAAATTAAATACTACGTCCACAGTTTAATATGTGGCCATAATAATCTATGATTAACGATTTACATTACAAATTTAAAATAATCATTTTTAGAGAATAAATATATAAAAAAATATATTTTTGGAAAAGTGTTCAAATACATTACATGAATGTCAATAACATTATATTTGTTCATACTACCTATATAATAACTATGAAAATAGGTGCATTATTGTTTACAATATTTTTATATTTTTTCTGGTCAAAAAAGTGTATAAAATGAATATATTAGATTAAAATTAATTAATTCAAACTTTAAATTTAAAAGAAAAACATGTCAATGTCAATACTATTTTTGATATAATAAGTACCTAAATAACTCCCAAAAATGAAAATAAAATTTTCTTTATTCATTATCGACTTCTAATTTAATATGATTCAAACAAAATAATTTGTTTAAAAGAAAAAGAAAATACCTTAATCGGCTCAAATTTCAACAAATTTTTAATTAAAATAATTTTATAAAGAACTTGAGTAAATATAAGTATACTTACTAATATATACTTATTGATTTTTTATAAAAATCAAATAATATAATGTATACCAAATAAAAGTAACATGTTATGATAATTTAAAAGAGGCAATACTGGAAACAGCTAACGGACTACGATTACATTTAACTTTTTTATTGAACCGCTTAGTACAATTTATCTTAAATTTTTAAGCATTTCAATAACTTTATACATAATATATTACCTACCAAAAAAAATCTCAAACATGTCAAATTCCAACAAATAGCTCAAAAATCTCCAAAATATATTAAACATTTTACCAAGTATATAAAATACTATTATAAGTATTCTGTAAAAACATTTAACCAAATAATAATAAAAAACTAAAATTCAAAATACAGAAACTATTACATCTGTAAATATTACAGTTTTCACGAAATATTAAGTAAATTACATAGAATATCAAAAAGCAACTTCCATAACTCACAAAATAGATAAAAAATGTTATCAGAAAATTAAACTTGATATTTGGAGCAATATTTCTGATAGACAAGCTAAATTGTAGAAATTTAAAATAATGAAATTGTAAAACCATATATTTGTTTGTTATTGTCTTTTTCCGGTTTTTAAAATTGTTAGAATCAAAAAATGGCTCGCTCAACAACTAAATCTGAAATACAACAAAAAGGCCATATTGTCCTTTAATTGAAGTGAGAAAGGGGAGGTATTAACCTCCCTTTTTTCTCATAAATACACCACAGTAATTAAAAAAAAAAAGAGCCAATACTGGGGATGAGAGCAGCAACTGTTGTAGATGAGAAGTTGGGAAGGTAGGATACATACAATTATTACATTTATATCTGTAAACAACGATAAAACATTACTAGACAAAAAACAATTCCGAGCACAGTTTGGTAATATATAATTTGAAGTGCCTTAATTTTTTTTTACGATTTTCATTTAAATTTGATTTCAAAACACTTATAAAAAAAAGAAATTGTCTGATAATTTTGGAAATTTCTCAAGGTTAATCCAATATAAGTATTAATACCAAGTTTCAAGCCTCTACATGTATTTATAACCAATTTACAGCAAAAACTTCCAAAAATTAAAATTCCTTAAATACTCAAAAGTTTGTGTGATGATACCATAAGTAAGTAAATCAAAAGGGCTACAAAAAAGGTGTCTTAAGATTTTTCGACTCAATAATTTTTTCTGGTAAAAAGCATTGTCTGTTTTTATAAAATAATGAAATAGTGAAACTGTACGTTTCTTTAGTTTTTTCCCACTTGAGTCCATTTAATTAAAAAATAGTGTCAGAAATCAAAAGAATGACCTCTTTATAGTACAATCTTGATAATTTGAGCTTTCAGAAAAGTTGAAGTTCGTAAAGATCGAAACAAGTTTATCAGGAAAAAAACATGTCCATAAAAAGAAATAAACAGCATTGTATACTCAGACACTAAAACAATTAATAAATCCAAAATATCACTGTTTTCCAATGCTCTAACAGTTAGAAAAAATGTACAACCAAAAACCACCACTAAAGTAAATTTCTAGTAGAAAAGTTGTTTAAAGACAAAAGAAAAAAAAAATTTCAAAAAATCAAGCATCGAAGTACTAAGACCTCAGTAAATGAAAAGTTAAACACTTCATTCATGGAGATGTTTACAAATTTAAATATTACAAAATATTATCACATTATTGTAAAAAAAATTGGAATAATAATATTTTAATCTATTGGTTACATTTACTAATACTTAAAAATGTTTTGTATCTTATAAGAATCACACTCTCATTGTAAGGAATTTTATAACTAATTCTGTAGGAAGGTAAATATTAAAATCAAAATAATAATAATAATAAAATGATAATTGTTTTATTAAATAAAGAAAAATATTATTTTGTAAGCGTCGGTACCACTTATTTGAGAAATTTTGTTTTATTTGCAAGTTTTTTTTTAAATTTTTAATAAAATTATTCTCCATCTGAACCTGAATCATCATCCAGGGAAGCTTTAGCATATTTTAAAGCGTCTTCATATATACTTTTTGGAACTTCTTCATATTTTCCATCAGTATGACTGCCAACCCAACTAAGTTCTAATTCAAACTGTTTATCTTTTAACTCATCATGAACCATATAAATTCTAGAAACAAAATATATATATATATATATAATAATATATGCAAATACAATATTTAATGTTTTTTTTTTTTTTTTTTTACATTTTAGCAGCTTCTTTAATCAAATCTTTACATGTCATTGTCTTCAAATTCAACTTTTCTATTTCAGTTTTTGCAGTCTGTTTAGCTTTACCAATAGCACATCCAAAATACCCCTTAAATTACAAAAATGTTTTTTATTCTGACTAGGTTATAATATTATATAAACTTGTTATCATATTTGACATAAACACAGATGTAATATTTCTAATAATTTTGTTAAAATATGTTATATATTTAAAAAAAAACTTACATACGAGACTCCGGATGGATCAATCATATACATTTGAGGGCCATCATTAGAATCATAAGCACCAATTATAACAGCACAACCAAACGGCCTAATTGCACTATACAATGTATGAGCATGTATGTACATAGAAACTCGTTCATTCAGATATTTCAAAGAAATGGGTATACTATAATTTCGACGATATGATCTTGCCTCTTCACGCGCAATATCTAAAATTGCATTTGCATCGGCAGTCAATCCGCCAACAGCCTACAACAAAAAATAATAATACAATAATAAAACAAAAAAATAATAATTTTATCAATTTATCTCTAAAAGAAATTTTCAATGTCATTCAATACCATTCCAATATGGTTTTCCACACTGAATAATCTTTTTCCAGTTCCATCTTCATGTAGTTTAGATGTAACCAATTTTTCTACAGCAAAAACAACTCCGTCAGAACCACGTAAAGCTATAGCGGTTCTAAAACATTAATTTGATTTTAAAAAAAAAGTGTATGACAATAAGATAACAATTAGATACATACCCACTATTTTCAACTGCTTTAAATGCATATTCAACTTGAAACACTCGACCATCAGGAGAAAATTGAGATGCCGATAAATCATACTGAACATAAAATATTATAAATGCATTGTATATAATGACATCAAAATCTAAGGTTACACATTATCAACACTTAATTCAATTAATTTATGATTAAAAAGTTACAAAAGAAATAAAATAAAATATTTTTAAATTACCCAGTTACAAATAATATAATATCTAAGTAGACGCTAAATTGTATACTTACACCAGTTCCAATAGAACTCATCTTTAGTTAAGAATATGATTGAAAAAAACAAAAATGTATCAGTAATAATATAATATAATAATTTTTAATTTTTATTATTATTCCACTAAACAATTGAACAAAAAATAAAAACACAAATTCACAAAGTAATACTGAATACTGATATTTGATAATGATAAATCAAATAAATACGTTTATAAAAACATAACCTAAAATAATGAGTGTTGCCATAACTATAAAAAAAAATAGTTTTAGCACATAGTTTATTTTGTCCCTTTGTCAACACACTATCCAACTTTAGTTATCACTGTCATATACAAATATATAAAATAATATGTAATTATCACTCACAGATATATATATAGTAAAAAAAATACACACGAAAAAAGAAATTACTATTTTTTCAAATTGTTTATGAATTTTTTTAAGACTAAGGGTGCTGAATTAGGATTGGGAATGCTGTTATAGTGGTTTAGGACCAACAGGACACGGACACGAAACGACATTAGGTACGTTATCAGTTATCAGAGTATTATTGAAGGCGAATATATTGTTCTGTTTTAAATTATCTTAGATCATATTATGATATAATTACACACCACACGATTAAAGATATAGGGTAAAATTTAAATCTTGGTTATGCAACTAGCATCGCCCACGATTAACACGATTAACCCTACAGTCCTTACATGGCTATATAACTAATAATATTTTCCTCTCAAAGCGGAACTGCTGTACATTTCGATAAGAAAAGCACTGCACATATTATTTTTCGCGTAGAAACAGTAAAAATACAGTAGAATGTAATAGTTCAACTTATTCAAAAATAAATGAAATAATGGATTTAAAAAATTATCAAATAAACATATAACATATTGTATTATGGTTATTCATTGAAATTAGAAAATGTAATAGTGCTAATGGATACATATATATCTGTATAATGCAACGATTAATCATTGATGACGACAAACGATTCTAAGCGGAGTTCGGTTGGTACAGGTTTTAAAAGACCGTAATATTCACGATTTTCGTCATAATTTGATATTAAAATTCTTATAAAAAAAAAATACCCTATTAAATTCGACTTATTCTTGTTGACCAATAAGTACAACATAAAATGATCCTCCTGTTAAATTTTCAAGCACTTCTGTTTGATCTAACAATTTCATCCACAGAGTACTTACTGAATAAAAATGATGTAAAAAAGTAGCAAAATTAAAATATTTATAAATAGCTCAAAAATGGCTCAACAATTTTTTAAATTTTACCACGTCTAGAAAAAACAAATATAAGTTTTCTGTCCAAATTTCAAGTCTTTACGAACATTTTGAACTGAATTATAACAAAAAAAGAAAATTGAAAATAATAAAAGCATTATTTTCGTAAATTTCTCCGTTTTTCTTACATTTTTTCGGATTTTTCTCAATTATTATAAAAACTGCTTGCAAAATCAAAATTAACCTCCCTAAATTACCGACTAGATAAAATTTACTTTCAGGAAAAGTGGTACACTTGATACATCGTAGCAAGATTCTTGGTAGAATTTGTGTAGGTACACAGTATAAAAAAAATTAATAAATAAACATCATTATAAAACCAATAGGTACATTTTTCGCTCCGCTCAGAATCTAAAATTAAATTAAATTTACCTAATACAGAACTTATAATACAAGAATTTACAGCAATAATACGTAGAGCAACTAGGCGTTGGGCAATTTTGCCCCCTCCCCCCATCTAATTTAATTTTAGTTTGGTGCTATTGACTTTGTGTATCCTTCCTTGCCAACTTCTCACCGAAGTACAGCAGTAGCACAATGTGCAGCCATTAAGTAAGTACCTATCAGCAAGCTCGTATCCAGGGGGGGGTTTAGGGGTTCAAACACACCGACATTTTTATAGTAGGTATATATTTATAATATAACAAAGACTAACTACAAACTCTATGTATAATTTATTTCATTAAAAATATTTTAACCCCCCCCCCCCCCCCCGAAAATTGATCCTGAATACGTGCCTGCCTATCAGCCTTTTTTTTTTAGCTACTGTGAAAAATAAACCACAAAGACTAATCCAACATCAGGAAGTCGTCCTAACTGACGACAGTCAAACAGTAATGTTCGTGATAAGAGGTAAATATGATTGCAAATGAAAGGTACAAAATTATTATGACTTCCGAGTTTAGACCTAACCTTGGTAGTGACAATGTATATTCTTGAAAATAAAAAAAAATACGTGATAATATCTATTTAAAAATAAATTCACACGTTGGTTACATGTATTCAATTGCTGTACGTACACATACGTAGGTATTAAAAATAGTACCTAGGTACTACAAATTAATGTAGTTATATAAATGTTGTACAGATTAGTACAGCAACGAATAACGTCAGCGGAAGTCTTGTGAGAACTCAGAAGGACAATGAACGTAATACATTATTATTTCTTGAACGTGGCTAACATGTAGGTAGGTATTCGTTGTTGCCCTACTCGCCGCCGCAAATACACATCGTACGACTGATTTTTGTATCATTCGTTAGTCGAATCTAGGTATTCTATAAGCAGCCGGTTATTTAACGATTTTATTGGTTTGCATGCGTTTTTAAATAACAGTATTTACCCATGTACTCACCTGTCTATTTTCGCACCTACCGATAAATATTTGTCTGCGTACGTTCAGCAAATTGTACACGGAGACGAGATACGTTGTCGAGGTAGTGCAAAACGTCATATTCGTATTGAAGCCATTGCTACGGGCAGGTACTAAAATATTTTCAGCATTTTACGAGTATGCTTGAATATTCTATTTATATAATATTGCATAATACGTCTAGAAATTATCGGGGCATTGTACCCCTTAACACCTCTTAGTAGTTCCGGCCCAGATTGTATATACATGTTCGTTTATGTTAAGGTAGAAAATATTCTCTCCGGTATTGCTGGTTTTCAACGTTGTTAAAATAATTATTTAAATTTATCAAGTAGCTTACATGATATTATAATATATTAAGGTATTAACGGCTGTTGGCTAACATAAACGTGATCGATGGGGAGGGCTACAGTCCTCTTAGCTCCTCATTTTGAGATGGCTCTGGATTCCCACTTACTGTATGGAAAATTAAAATAATAAGGATTTATTGATTGACTTATTTCTGTAAAAGTTTAATTAATCTATTTAAAAGTTGACTACCAACTTATTCGTTAGTAAAATTAACTCAAACTGTATACAACGATAAACCTGTATATATAAAAAAACGTTTCTGAGTGATAAATTGAAGTTGAACATTTTCTTAATTTGTAACTGTAAATTCAATTTTTTATATATATAAAAATGTTCATATTTTTAATGAATTTCATCACACATTTAAACTTCTAATTCTTGTAAAAAAAATTGTGACCATGGATTTTTGATATTTTTAAATTGCCATTCGAACAACTTCTACATAATATACAAATATTCGCTAAATAATTAACATGCAAGGAACTAATTCAATTCCGTCAGTTAATTTTAAAGAAAAAGTCCGTGAAACCAGGCGTAAAATACAAATTTGTTAAAAAACATTTAAATTTATACACTATATGCATGCAAATATAGTAATAATATAATATTATGTATTACTAGCTGTCCCGTGCCCGCTAAAATACTGAAATCGAATTCTTAATCCTTCCCCCCCCCACAACATGGTACATTCGTACACCGATTTTAACGCGACGAGTGGACGAGTTAGTCGTAAACCATAATTTTCTCTTTTTGTACACAATATTTTATAAGTCGATGTGCTGTTTCGCCATCTGGCGATTTCCTTCTACGTCAAACACTTGTCAAGATTACTATCATTTCATTATCATTAATTATTGTAGCCAGTTTTTAAAAACGAAATAAACTAAAAATAAAGAAAGTAGAAGTTTTCTATTATCATTTATCGATAATATTGATTGTAGGACGATTATCAAATATTTAACATAATTTAATTTACATGATTATATTATTATTATGCTATTTTCGGGTTAAAGTCAGTTGAATGTCATTTGGAACTTGCACACTAGATTTATTTTTGTGAAATGTAATTTATCAAGTTTAATTCCTATTTTTATATCTTCTTCAGTAATTGTCTATCATTGCGATGAAAGTAAGTTTGTGGATGGCCTTCAACAAATCATATATTATGTCCAATTATGCATTATTGTATTTTTGGTGGTAGTCATTAATCATCAGTGATGTTATAATTAATTTGTTTTGTGTTTTAGGTAGTCGTTGTTGGTTGACTACTAAATGTTACTGATTGAAATTTTAGAAGTTCTGTTAATGTGTCCCTAAAGAGAAAATGTTGCTGACTCTGTACTATATGGCTACCACTTGGCTTCAATCCTACAGATTATCTAATATAAAGTCAAACTTGAAAAAGTTCTTGTCCAATAACTTGACTGTTGTTTTGTACAAGGAAAAAGATTTTTTAGATTTAGAGAGTGAAAGTATGTACCCACACTACATAATTAAATATTTTTTATTTTTTTAATATTTTCACAAAACTAATATTTTTGATTTGTTCATTAAAGAAAATTGTGATATATTTCAATCTTTAAAACCTCATGGAATTACTTCAGACAGTTGCATAAATGCTAGGTATGCTCAGCTTCATCAGATAATTTCATTAGTTGGTCATAAAAGGTCATGTTCAATTTTACCAGAGGTATAAAATATTCATTTGATAAATTAAAAAAAAAAATTATTGTTCTTGAAAAATATAAAACTAACTACTATTAATAGTAGATATAGTATAACACATCAATAACAATAATTTCTGCAATAATCACTTAATTTTTTTAAAGTTGTATATGATAAAATATATTAGGTAGTTTTATATCAGTTTTCTACATAATAATATTGCATTATTAATTTAATAAAAAAATGTTTTATTTCATTATTTCATTTAAACAGCAAATACTGGATGTGGATAGTTGGATTGCCATACCAAGCAATAATGTCACATTTCCTGTTCTCTTGAATACTAATACGCCATTAAATTTAAATTTAGAAACAAAAATTAATTTATTAGTTGAAGCCAATTATAAAATGTTTAAAGTTCATCAAAATATTGAAAAATGCTTAGTAAGTTAGATATGAGATTATGAAGTTAGACATAGATATGAGGATATAATATGTATTACTGTTTAATTTATTTTAGATTGAAGAGTTTGGTATACCTAAAGCTTGGAATGCTGACGAAAGTTTCAGTATTTTATTAGAAACTGATCTTGATCATTTTGCAATGCTCTCAAGTAATTTCATGGCAGATTCAAAGCCATTATACCTGGGAAACCATATGGAGTTATTGCGAATACAAAGTTTGTAGTTAAATAATAAGTATAAAATAAAATAAAGACCATTTAAAATTATATTTCTCTTATTATTATTATTTTTTAATTTTCATTGTGTAGCGGTAAAAATTAAAGGTCAACCATGTAATATTGACAATCATGAATCAATTTCATCTAATATTGATTTTATTTACAGTCTACAAGATCACTATGGTATGTACATTGTTTTTATACATCAGTTAACGGTATTTATATGTAATATTTTTTTATTTTTTTTACATAGATATTAATAGTAATTTAACATCTATTCAATGGAACAATTATTGCAACACACTTAATGCTGTATCTGTGGTTGCAAAAAATGTATTAAAATCTGGAAATTCCATTAGTTTTTGGTAGTTATATTTATCCATTTTATAAATTTGCTACAAATTTTATTTGATTTTTAAGTCAATTATTTTAATGTTTTCAGTTCAGCAACACTATCAAGGAATATTGAGAACGACATAAATTTGGATAATTATATGGTGATCGAAAATATACCAGATGAAACTGATAGTACTATTACAAAAATTATACAACCAGAAGAATATTTTACTGAGAACAAAACTGAAAAAACCACTTTTAATGTTCTTGAATCTCCTAAAGAAAATCATTTACAATATGTTAGATTTAATGAATACGGTGAATTTAAAAACATTCCAAATGGAAATTCAAATGAGGCCTATAGTAATAACAGTACTTCAGAAAGTAGTTCCAGTGATTCTATTAGTTTTCGAAAAATAATTCTCACACCAATTGAAGAAAATGAAGTTAAATTATCAAATGGGTATGAACATTTAATTTATAAATGGGTCAAACGCAATTTTTGTTTCCTAACTGAATTTAAATAAATAATTAAAATCCAACCCAAAAAGTTTTTAATTAAACTCAAATTTAACCAAACTTAAATGTAATATGACAATTTTAAATCCATTTATTAATATTGCTATTACTTTTTAGTATTACTATATTTGTTTAATTGAGTACCTATTTATCGAGGTATTTATAATATAAGATTAATAATAGTATTAATAGTAATTAATAATAGTATTGAACAAAAATTGAACTGAACCAAATATCCTAAATTTTGTTTGACCTATCTCTATAGTGAATTTATTAAAAGTATTCACCAAAGAAATTATTCCTTATGCTTAGTATGATTTTTTTTTCCAGAATGAAACCAATTAAAAGTAGTCCAGATGTGTTCGGGTTGTACAAAAACTCCTTAAATTCTCCAATGATGAAGAGTCATCGTTCATTTTCAGACTTCAGCCAAAGTATGGAAACTCACACAAGAACTCGATGTCATACACCAGTCCAACATAGTGGAGAAACAAAAACTGGAAAACCTCCAAATATTATTATATATAGTGAAAGTGCTTCCAGCGCTCAACAAATTCAATATTTATTAGAGTCTGTCTTGCATAAATACAGGTAAATTAAAATTATTTGTACCATCACATTACCATACAAAATAATAAATACTCATAATTAAAGTGCTTTGATGCACCAAAAATCTAAAATGTATACTCTATAAAATGTTAAAATATTCTCTATAATATATCTTACAAAACAACATTATATACTTACAAATACGCACCATGTTAGTGTACTAATAATTTATAAATAATTTAAATTGGTTTTGGTAGCTGGTGGGTAGGTATATGTATTAAAAACGAAATAATTACACATAATTAAAAATAAATAATATACCTAGTTATACCCTTTTAATTTTTATTATTGTTGATATAAGGCGAAAAAATATAATCTCAAAACCTTTTTGCACCTTTCATTAAACTTAGGTTTTTTCATCATCTTTAAGGTTTCGAACTTTTTTCTGAAATAGTATTTTTCTCGAATACTATTAATCTATGATGCCTGAATATCATTTTCCCAAATAATGTATCTAAAATAATTATTAAAAAAATGTTATTTGTTCAATAATCATTTATGCATATTATTATTATAGTTATAGTTATTTAAGTTTCAAAAATTAATTAAAAATACACAAATATAAAATTTTAAAATTAGGTGCACAAAATGTACAATTCTATATTGTGCGCCATTGCCAAAAAGAAGTCTCAAGTTATTGAATGTGTTCAAATGTAAGTAATGTAAGTAATATATATGAGTAATCCTGAGTAATTGGCCTTAATCACCTTTGAAAATCCAATCTTTCTTTTTGATTAATTTCTTACTTTTCACCCTTGTTTGATTTCTATTACCATTATTTCCATATCAATTTGTTCGTTTTTGTAAAGGATACTTCTTAACAAAAATTATAAACTTACTAATTAACTACAGATCATATTAAAACCAATTTATTTTTGAGCTTTGCTCAGAAATAAGGCTGAGTTGCCCAACCCCTAACTTGGAGGGTCAGTCTACTTCAACCAATTAATGTCAAATAGGGCTATTGTAAGCTAGTACATTGAGAAATGGAGATGCCACATTTCCTATGCATTATTATTTATTAATTATATTTTAATTATTATTTAGAAGTGGAAATAAAAAAAATAAATAAATATTTGTAAGCTTCAAAATATAACAAATTAATGACTCATTAGTCAACATTTGTAACACTAACATTTTATTTATAAATAAATTTATAAAATAGCCATTTTGGATTTTGAGGAACAAATTTTAATAAATTATAAGAATAATAGCACAAGGTTTTATTAATTATTAAAAAAAAAAAGTTATTTGTTGTCTAATGAAAGACCCTGTATTAATAGATACACTTTATTTAGTTATATTTATTTTATACATTCAATTGTGTTTTCAATAAAAACAATAACTTAATAATTATCGACTTATAAAGTAATAATATACTTTAGTTAAATGCATCATTTTAAAACCATGTATCCCATAATATGAAATGTGTTTTGTCTAAGAGTATTTTAAAAATGATTATAAAAACATAATATTTTTATACTAGGTACACAATATATACACTGAGTTTAGAGAAAATGCTTCATTCTCCTTGGACTACACAAGCCACGATGGTTGTCATCTATGGTGCTGTGCCTGATGAACTATATCCACTACTTGAACATTACCTATTAGTAGATGGAGGTAGAATTTTTTGTGTATGTTCGGATTTTCTGGGTACGCTGCTTCCGACTGCTTTTAGTACAGCAGAAGTACGTTCCAATGATATAGCCAACTTTACTTACAAACCACTATCAATAAGAATGTCTCTTTTGCATCATATACTCTGCTACCAGCCTAGCTTGCCCAATAATGATCATTTTCCATCTGAAAATGGGTAAGTTTTAAGTTTTCAATGTGTTATTGCATTTCATTAATTAATAACCAAGCAGAGTTTATAATACAAAAATAAATCTATTAGTTTTAAAGAGGAGGTGAATTTGGATATTGTGGATATGTTTGATTCCAACAATAAGCATCACACTATTAACATCAAAATTCTAGCTGCAGAAGACACATGGGAAACGCCAAGTTTAATATTAGCTAATGCTCCATCTGGTGGAAGAGTCATTTTTTCACAAGTAACTATTCTCTTTAACTTGACCATAATATTATTAAAATAATAAATATTTTTATTTAGCGAAAAGACAAATAGCTATTAATTTTAATTTTAAAATAAATATTTGTTGGTTAATTAAAGTTGTATACACTTATAAAAATAAGTGTATACAACTTTATATAAACATCAATATTAATTATTTTAGCTACATTTGGAAATTGATCTTCATCAAAACGAAAATGTCCATTCAAGTACTGAGGATAGATATCTGTTAATTAAAGATTTATTAAGCACCCATTTGGGACTCGATTGTGCTCCATGTGAACAAGAACCAAAACATACTCCAGCGTATTTATTAGGAACCGAAAATGTATGAAAATAAATTTTTTAAATTTCCTATTAGTAGTTTTTGTAGTATATGTATTATTATTTTGCATCACATGCATACCTATATTGAATTAATGGAAACCTAGATATCTAGCACAAATGAAAGTGTATTTTGCTGTACTTGTTTTAATTTTTTTTTCTTATTTTAGGAGAAAGTTAAATTTTTAACATCTTTAAATGAAAAAGGATCCAAAAATAATATATTAATTTTGAAAGACTTAAAAGTTCAGTTTTGCACAAAAAATGAAATGTGCATTGGGCCTAGTGAATATTCCCTCCCTGTTATTTTTAATGATTTTCCAATCAGCTTCAGCGAAGAAGATTATTTCAAAGTAAATATTAGTATTATAGTTACTATAAAGTTTGATCAAAGCCAAATGTACTTAGATAAAACTATTCATACTTTGTATATTATATATTCTTTCTATATTTCCTTTATTTAAATGCATATATAATAATGATTAATAAAAAAAAAAAAACTTTACAACAAATTTAATGTTAACAGAATCTTCATACTAAAGAATTGGGTCGCTTGATTATATTTGGAGAAGTTATGTCATCATCTATGAGACTCTTAAACCATCCAGTAACAAAACATGGACTTGTAGTAATTGCTAAACAACAAATAACTGGAATTGGTAAAACTTTTAAATTTTTTGCTTATGTTATATAAACCTACTTATGTACTTATGTTTGTATAAGAAAAAAGAAAGAATTACTTCGCACATGGGTGGGCCTCTGTTTTAGATGAAAGTTGGGAAGGTAGAGGGGAAATTTAATGTATATCTGTATGCAACAGTTCTGAGCGGAGTTTGGTTAATAGTGTTGCTTTAAGAACAATATATGTATGTCTCATTATGCTGAAAATAATTACATGTGCATTAAATATTTTCTTTAATAATATTTGTTTAATATTATATCTATTTTCTTGTTTTTGACATGATTTTCCCATTTATCGGGAAAATCAAAAAAATTACCTCCTTGAAGTATCACCCCAGTTATATAAACTTTTATAAAAAATGCTATCATTGTAAATCGAACAAGATTTCTGATAGAATTTGTATACATAGTATTAAAAAAAAATGTAAAAAAACATCTTTATAAAACCAATACATTCTTTGCTACAATCAGAATCTAAAATAACAAAAATGTATTATTAATTTTATATGTTGACAAAAAATAGGTAGAGGTGGTAACAAATGGTTGAGTCCAAATGGTTGTGCCATGTTTTCAATACAATTACACATTCCGTTTGAATCGAAACTAGGGCAAAGATTAGCGCTACTACAACATGTCGTTGCATTGTCAGTTGTATCAGCTATTTGTTCACTTCCTGGTGGCTATGATGTATGTGTTTAATATTGAAATAGTAATATTTTTCATAAATATTTTTGATTTTATTTTTTTTAGAAACTTGATCTCGGTCTTAAATGGCCAAATGATATATACGCTGGAGGAAATGCAAAAATAGGAGGACTGGTCATCAGCAGTTCTGCAGTTGGAAACATTGCAATCTGTTCTATTGGTATGTTATGTAATATTAGTTTAATAGAATTCATAAAATAGTTCTAATTTTATTTTAGGATGTGGTGTAAATTTAAACAATAGTCTACCAACTACTTGCATAAATGACATAATCCATGAACACAATTTTAATAATCAAAGCAACCTGCAGACTTTAGCTTTAGAACAATATTTTGGAGCTGTTTTCACTGAACTTGAAAGACTATTGAATCAAGTTCAAAATGGAAACGTAGACATTATATTTGATCTTTACTACAAATATTGGTTGCACAGGTAATTATTTAATTATTTTTTATTCAAATTTACATAATAATATTTATTAATTTATTTTATATTTATTAGTAATAGTTTAGTCACTGTATATCGCCCTGATAAATCATCGTTCAAAGCAACAATAATAGGACTTGACGACCACGGATTTCTTAGGGTTCGTTCAGAAGACAGTGGAGAAATTATAGATGTCAGACCAGATGGAAATTCATTTGATATGCTTTCTGGTCTCATAGCACCAAAATAAATGTTTAATGTCAGCTGTTATCCAGTTCACGATAATTCCTGTAATTATATTAATTACATTTTCTCTAGGAATGAGTTTTTATGAACTTTTTTAAATTTCCATCACTTATGATTAGTTATAAATTTTAAAAAAAAACATAACACTAGTATGGTTTAATTTAAAACCCCTGGTTTTCTTTCCTATTTTAAAACATTTAATTGATTTTTTAGATTTCAATTTGTATTTAATTATTCCTACCGAGATTAATAAATATAAAAATGTGTATTGTTTACTTATCATTAATCAACATTTAATTTTTATCAAGACTGGGTCGGTTACATACTTATTTATTTAGAATTTTAAATGTATAAGACTAATTACTATTTCAGTGTATTGTAGTTATATATTTTTATTTTAACTTTGTTGGTTTAGGGGTTTGTTTGTTTAATATCTTAATTATATTATAATATGTATATGTGTATTACAAATACCAAATATTGTTACCAAAAAGATCAACTTTAAAATCTTGTATAGTTAGTTTCATATTATTCAGTTTATTTATTTACATAAAAACCTATTTATTTTCGTTATGAATATTATGGGTACCACTGTAAATGCTAAAGAATTTTGATTATATTATTATTTAATGTATTGTTATTTACTTAGTTTTAATAATGTTGAATTATTGCTCATTGTTTGTTATTGGAGCTGAGATGTTTATTTTTTTTTTTTTTTTTAGAAGTATTTAATTTATATCCGTTGGTATAACATGACATATACTTTGTCTGACCACATAATTTTTGCAAATTTGTATTGTATTAGTACCATATACAAACAATATTAATCTTGCAAAAAGTAATAAATAATTGTTAGGAACAACAAAGGCTGTGTCTTCACAAATTGTGACAAATATGCTTAAGGATTTAATGAAGTAGACTGTTTCTATGATTTTTTTTTATTAAAATCATACACATGAACTATCAAAGCAAATTATTTTTAAAACATGAAAATACAACTGTTTTAAATAATTTACTTAATTATTTATATTAAATAATTATTATTTTTTATTCATTCCACTCATGTGATCTTTGGTTAATTGTATTCTATTATGTTACTATAATCTAATAAATAGTTATTTATTTTTTAGTTGTGCTTATTCATATTTATTGGTATTATTGTTGTTTTACTTTTTTATTTTTAATAAATATTAATTCAAATGTATTCTATTTCACAATAAAATGTTATGTCAAAATCATAAAATTAAAGTATATAATAAAGCTTTATGTAATAATGTTAACATAATATTATGTTTAATAGTTTAATTCATGTGAAAGGTAATTTAGTTTTTATTAAATATTTAGATGCAAGATAATTAATATATCTCTAAATTTTGGATATGTGTGCTAAGTCAATTCAGATTCTGAGGTCATCTATGTAAAAAAATATTTAGATTTTCTAAATTTAAAACATAAAGTAGGTATAAATAATATTTAGCATTACTCTAATTGTAACATACTAGAATAATCCTTTTTACTTATTTTTAAAAATGATTTTCTTCTTGTTAATAATTAATAATTTGATCAGATTTATACAGACATGTGTATTACACATTAAATCTGTATATTTATTTTATATCATCAGTATTAAAGAAAACTTTCATTACTACAAGAAAATTATATTTTAATTAATTATTATGTGTTCTAAATTCATTATTAGAATATCAATTTGATAATCAATGTCACACTAACTTAAAATACGGGTATATTAAGTATACTATATGAAACCTACACATAATAAACATAATTGCATTTTGTATGCTGTTTTATTAAATTTATGTTTATAAATAATAACACAAAAAATATAGGAGTTCTGAATTTACAATAATATTAAGAGACGGTAAAAATTCATAAATCTTCATGTTTGCTCACTTTCCAAATAGTTTCAGAACTAAGGCCATTATTTGCTGGACCAATTAGAGCTTTAGCAGTATTGGTATTTGAAAAATATAAATTTGCTACATTCAAAATATCATCTATTTTTACATTCATAATCTGATTTCGATGCTCTTGTCTAATCTGTTCATCCATGTCATAAAAAAATAATGCGTTACCTTTAGCCATTGGTGCAACTGGTTGATCTATTCCTTGGAATATAGCTAATTTTGCTTCATTCAGCTCTTCAAGAGTTATTTTTTTTTTGTTTACCCATTCGAGAGCGCTGTCAAAAGCTTTAAAAGTTTCAACCGGTTTTGGATCCCGATAAGAATACATCTGTATACAACCAGAATTACTCAATGCAACACCAGAGCCGTAAGCACCATTCTTTTCTCTAACTGTTGGCAATAAGTATTTGGAACTCATGTATTTGCAAAGAATTTTGAGTGGAGCAAAATCCTTATGAGTATATTGAACACCTGGAAGAGCTTTTGCACAATAATTAACAGAAAATGGTAACACATGATGAACACACTTAACATTGTTATCTTGTTTTTCAACTTTATTATATTCACTCAATAGATTCCATTTGCCGGCAATTGTATTTAGAAAACTCTCCAAACCTTTAGCTGCCTCGATATTATCATCTACAACAGTCAACGAACACTTCATTGTATTTTTGTTCAATACTTGTTCACTAAGTTTTACTAGATTTTTCATTATTGGGGATAAATCCTCCATCTGAGAAATTTTTTTCATATAACTAACATACTGGAGTCCACCATATAATTCACGTCGAGCATCAACAGGATTAATAATAGCAGTTGCACACAACATTGCATACATGTGTCCGCTACCTGAAATACTATTGGCCAAACTACTCGCTTCTTCTTGTACGAGAGTTTTGAATCTATTTTGATTTTGGAACGTTACTTGAGTAAATATTTTTTTCCATAGTTCGAACATTTCGTTGACATTACTGTCTAAACAATGAGAGTTCAGAATAATACTTTCTTTCATATTCAATAAATTCCTAGGCGAGTCTATAATAGCTTGAGATACATGTAAACCACCAGTAGACTTCTTGACTAATTGATCAAACTGTCGAAAATCCATAGACTCAATGCCCATTCTGGTAACTACATTACAAAATAATGGAATGAGATTCTTTAAATTATCAGATAAATGTGAAGTATTCAATAAACTTCTAAAATAAGTCACTCTATTAGTGGGCTGTGGAAATATAAACACTGGCGTATTATTTACATGTTTTCTATCAAAAGTTATTGAGTCAGTTGTCTTTTTTAAATCATTGAGGCTCAAAGATGGTAAACACGTAACATCTTGTATTGCATCTTGTTGTTTTCGAAGCTCCAGACCTTGTAGATAAATATTATCTTTATCCACGCTGGATAGAGAATCCAATTTTTGTTTTAATAATTTTTCCTCATTTTCTTTTCTTAATTCTTCATAATTGTTTTCTGGTGACATAGTTATAACAAGTTTGTGTTTATTATTCAGCAAATACCTATCAACTAGCGATTGCAAATAATTAGGTCGATTAGTTAGTTTTTTCTTGAACTCTTCAATTTTTTCACCGACACACATTGAACTTAAAACGTTACCACCATGATTCCAAATAGGCAAAGTACCATACAACAGTTGCAATCCAAAGTTTGAAGTTTGATGTCTCATAGAAAGTTCAACTGAATGTAAAATATTATCAATATCACGTCTATCAAAACCATCTTTAATGACTGATTTAATTGTATCTTCATAAATTGATTCCACACGTTCAAAATCTGATTCATTTATTCCTTGAAGTCCTACTGCAAAAAATGTGTCTCTTGTTTGATCTGTGAAACCAGTTGCAGCACTGAAATCTGTTCCAATATTTGGTTCTATAAGAGATTTATAAAATTTAGCATTAGGTCCATTTAACAATAGCCTTGAAAGTATAGCAAGTTCAAATGTCTCTTGTGTATTTGTAATATCACTCCAAAGGGTACCAATACTTAAAGATGATTGTCTATCTTTAGGGATCATTGGATCTTCTTTACAAGTAACATGCGTGCGTTTAGACGATAACCATCGATTTTCATTCGGAACCTTGGTCTCATCTTGTATAGTTGAATCTAAGGTACAATTTTTTAAGAATGTATTATTCAAAAACTTCAAGTGATTTTCTAAGTTGAAATTACCATACGAATAAAAACGGCTGTTACTTGGATGATAATATCTGTTATGAAAAGCAACAAGATCATTATAAGTTAAAGAAGGTATGACCATAGGGTCACCACCCGAATTTACACCATATGTATTACTCGGTAAAATGTTATTAAGAAAGTGTTCATTATAAATTTGTTGATTATCTGAATATACTCCTTTCATTTCATTGTAAACAACACCTTTGATTTCTATTGGAGAATTTTTATCATCAACATCTTTATGTTCTAAACGCCAACCTTCTTGGCGAAAATCAGATTCTCGTAACATTGGATTAAATACTGCATCTAAATATACTGACATCAAGTTATAATAATCAGATAAGTTTTCTGTACAAAATGGATAAAATGTATAGTCAGGTGCAGTCATGGCGTTCATAAAATTTGCCATGGAACGATTAAGCATTTTAAAAAATGGATCACGACATGGAAATTTTTTGCTACCGCACAATGTAGTATGTTCCAAAATATGTGGCAATCCATTAGAATGTTTTGGGGTGGTACGGAACGCTACACTGAAAACATTGTTTGTATCATTCCTATCAATATGCAAATAATCTGCTCCTGACTTTTGATGTTGAAGACGCAGAGCTGTGAGTTGAAAGTCATTTATAGGTCTAACTTCTTGAACAATAAAGCCTTCTATCTCTTGCCCAACTTGAAAACTATTGGTATTTGTTGTTTTAGTTTGCAAAATACTGAGACCACGAAAATTTTTACGATGTTTGTTTAGTGCTTTGGAAAGTCTTAACATCTTGAATATTTTTAACAAAGCTGAAAAAATACAAATATAAAATATAATTTTAAACATCTATTACACAATAGAAAATGTATATTTTATTAGTTAATGAGCGCACTTGGTTTCCATTAACTAGTTGAAAAGTTAATTTTTTAATCATAAATTAATTCTATTGTATAAACTTAACTTTTTACAATTAATTTTCATAAACATCTTGTTAACTAATTGGAGACTAATGATTTTTTTTTGAAATTTAAGATTCATTCAATCATTTTAAATTGGATTTGCTGTTCTTAGTATTACAATTTATGTTTACAATTTACTGTGATCATTTTATTTAGTTTATTTTTATATAAACTAATTTTAATATTGATTTTTTGCATATACATCTTTTAACACTTTAACTTTTAAATTTAAAATGCTTTTATGTATATTTTAGACAAAAAAATTGAGTTAATCATATATATTAAACTATCCACTTTTGGTAATAAGTATCTATTTCAATAACAATGTTACATTTTTCAGAGGTCATCACAGAATATATAAATAAGTTTTAAGTTATGGTACATAATAATTATGAATATACGATAATTTAACTATCATTAAATAATAATAATATATAAAAACTTACATTTTAAAATAGGTTTTCAACAATTGTTAAATAGAGGTTACTCACTGAGATGTAACGGAATAACGGAATAAAACTCAAACAATTAAATTTATTAATACATTATCAAATCCGTTTTCTTCCCTACCAACTACCGTATAGTAAATTAATGATGTTATTTAATTAATAAAGAATAAAGATACATTATAGGTATTCGTTAATTTAATTGAAAATCAAGCTGCCCGGTTACAAAATTCTTATCACTTGTAGTATGCTTATCAGTTATTAGCACACATTTAACAAGCACCTATAATACTATAATGTAGTATTAAATAATAGAATTCAAAGCATGGTCGTAGATCATATACTAGAAAAAAAGTAGTATATTATAGTATAGAAACTATCTTTAATTGTACAGACCACGATTTAAGATACATCTTAAATCGTGGTATGAACTATAGAGTATCAATGGATATAATATATTATATATATTACATTATGATATGTTTCTTATAATACATATCTGTGATTATTGACAGTGGCGGATAAAGGATATTTTTGTGGGAGTGTGCCCAAAAGTTTTCATATTAATTTTGAACAACGGACACTAAATTTAAAACAAAGATAAGATTACAATTTACAAACAAGTTTTAACATCTATCGTAATAATTGGTCTAACCCACGTTCTTAGAAGATTTATCTATGATTGCGGTCGAACAGTTAGATCTCTATAGACACATAGAGTATAGCCTAACCGCAATTTGAACCGACGATTTCTTATCAATTATTAATTCATATTATTACAATTCCACATGCATGCACAAAAAGAATGTGTAAATCTTATTAACTTAAAAATTCAATCACTTGGTCTAGTAAAATGTAAAGATTTTTAATTTTTTTAAATTTTAAATCGTTTAATTTTTTTAGACAAAAAAAAAATCGTAAAATCGAAGATTGGGTATTTTTAAGAGAATAGTTTTTCGCACGATCTAAAATTTACAAAAAAAATCGCGCACCCAACTCTACCTAAATTATAATTTTCGCACGCAATTAGGAAACATCCAAAATTTGTTCCCTCTCACTCTAGGCGTAATATCAGAGGTGCGTCATCCTGTCAATCGCACTTGGGAATTTTAAAACTTAGCCAGCGTCATATTTAATCTTTTTTTTTTCGAAATCGTTTATTATGTTATTTATAATCCGTATTAGGGTGTAAAATGAATAATATTTATATCTGTACATAATGTAAAAGACCGGTGAGAGACTTGAAGGCACTTCACATTAGAAACTGCTGAATTTTAGATTCTGAGTTTAGCAAAGAATTTATTGGTTTACAAAGATGTTTTTTTTTTTTTTTTTTTTGTGAACACTTTTTTACCAGAAAGCCTACTCCAATTATAAAGTATAGCATGTTTTCTGAAAGGAAATTTTTTCTGGATGGTACTTTAGAGAGGCAATTTTTTTGAAATTATCATTAATATTCGAGACAACGAGGAAAACCTGGTTCTTTAGGTTAAAAAAAAATGAATTATTAAAAATAAGGTTGTCATCGGCAAACATTTTATTTTTTTTTTTTGTTATTATTAAGTTTTTATTATTTTAATCTTTTAAAACAATCATTGTTGTCATGGAAACGCACATTTTTGTACCTAATAATTTTACCATATTATGACATATATTGTTGAAAAAGCAACACTATCAACTGAACTCCGCTCAAAATCGTATTTTCGTTAGTAATGGTTTATTATTGCTTACAGGTACACATTAAATTCCCGTTCGTATTCTTCCTTCCAAACTTCCCACCTACAACAGTTGCTGCACCCACGTGCGAAATAAGTCAGTCTTTTTTTTTTTGTTTAACCTGTTTCCGAATCTGTAATCTCTCCTAAACCCGATAAAAGCACTGTATTTGTTGAGTGCTGAAACGACGTCATCCTGGCATCCACATCATTTTAAACTTGTCCGATTGAAACCAAATCAACGCCAACGTCTCTTGATCTGTTCGGGCTGACTTCGACTCCTAATCGTCGGGCTGAATGTCCCGTCAATGTAAGTCTACGGTTACTTGGTATTTAAGTCCGTTGCTGCTACAGTCAACCATAGATTTATAATTGGTGGGGTTAATACTGTACCTTCTCGTAGTCCCTGTGTATCTATGACACGTTTTGGAAACGTAGCCTATTCTTAAAGTTAGTGAAAATACTGAAAATATAAAATGTAAAACGTCTATACGGCTTATCGACAATAACGTAAGTACCTACTGTCAGACGGAAAATGCACAGTACATATCTAAATAGTAAAGAGAGTAGATAGGTACAAGTATCTTCAAAACGATTTTCCTCAAGGACTGTTCTCTCCCTAATTTTATTCTTTAATGCTTACAAATCCAATCGTTAAACACATCACGTAAATATATGTATACAGATGACACAGGATTAGTAGCTTAGGCTGAGTCGTTTGAAAAACTGAAAGAGTTACTGAACGAAGGTCGGTTTATTATTCAATGATATTTTAAATCGTGCCACCTTACACTCAACCATGAGTTAGTTGAATAATTATGTAACAGAATCAAACAAAAAACTCAAAATAGTGACTCGGGGAGTTAATATAAAATGAGAAAACGCCAGAGATACCTAGTGGTTCCAAACCTCTTTTATTCTACGATCCTTTAGTAGATTTTCAAAAATCTATCGCCGTAATAATGAAGTAAAAACAAAAATTATTTTTGAAACAAAATTATTAAAATGATTCATACTCGTAAATAAACAAAATAAATAAATAAATAAATACGTCGCCTAAACTATAATATAAATAATGTAAAAATCGTTTTTAAGACTAATAATAATTTAATCAAACAAATAAACAATAGAACTAAAAACTTCACAAAAATCCTCCTTTTGAAAATGTTGGTATATATAAACTTAAATATAACTGTAATTAATTTTTTATAGGTAAATAGACATTTTAAAATAAAATATAAAGAACAAATTTTTGAAATAAAATTAAAAAAGACTAACCCTAATTCAAATTTCGCCAAACATATTTTAAAAAATAACCATAATACAAGTTTTGATATTAATACTGACTTCGAAATATTAAATACCCAAAATAATATTTAAATTAATTCAGTTTTAGAATTACACATACACAATGAAATAAGGCAAAAATAATTTTTATATTTTAAATGTTCAAACCAATTTTAAAAATAATCTCATATCAATACATTTTAGATAATAAATAATAACCAAATAATTTATATTTCTAATATATGTCTACCTATGTCTAATAATAACTAATTTGAAATAATCTCTCCTACTACAATAAATTATTTCTGTATCTATGGAAAATGACCAATTTGTACATTTTTTTTTTCTATATATTCTTTAATTTAATTTTTTTATATTCAGCTGCGTTTTACATTTTGTCATGATTTTACCTGATGATGAATTTTGAATTCGAAACGGTCATATAATACAATTATCATAATACTCCAAGTGACACATTCATTCATTTTATTTTTATGTATAAATATTTTATTTATATATTTATAATGCTATTGTTTTTATTAGCTGTGTTATATGGTTGTGTGGTCATTTTTTGCAGAATAGTCGTGTATTATTTGTTTTATAATAATTTTATTCATTTTATTTTTATGTATATTTATTTATTTTATTTAAAATATTAAAGTCTAGACAATCTATTTGGTTGATCGAGAGTACAACAGATAAGCCAGAAGATGTGAGGAAGAAAATTTGAAGATGAAAATGTGATGGCTGCCTCATCAACGACCTGACTCAAAGTTCCAGAATTCAAACTCCAACGTGTGATTTAGACTATCTTAAACTAAATCAGAACAGAAAAAATTTAATTTTCTTTTACATAAATGGAAAATTTAGATACTCCACTTGTGAGAGTGAGCAGGTTCAAACCATCAAGCAAATTGTTGAGGTATGCTCCCTAACAAAACATGAAAGAGGAATAAAAGTGCCTATAAAGGCACAAGAGTGGTTACGCAGCCTAGAAGCGAGCCTCTAGTGATGGTAGTACGTTTTGTTTATTTTATTGTTACTCTCAGATTTCTATGTTTCCGCAGCATATGCTCATATTTATTATTGCAAAATATAATGTTTTAGGTATTTAATATTTAGATTAAAATGTATGGAAAAAAGAAAAATACTCAATAGTTAATGTGTGATGCACGTCAAGAATAAAATGTACTTAAGTTCCAAAATATAAAAATATTATTATTTATTAAAATAAAATTCTATGTTCTAGTTATTTATACACTATGAAGCAAATGTATAAATTATTAAATTCTATATTTCAAAGGTATACGTTAAAATTAATTACATTTTCTTAAAACTTATGTTCATTTATTGTAATATTACAGGTTTTTTATTTATACCAACATGATTTTAATGTGCAACATCATAAACATTTTAATATAAATACAAATATTAAACACATAATATAACAGTTGTTGTATAATTAATCAACAATAAAATTATTAAACAATTTAGATAGCTAGATCATTATTCTAAAGACGAAATGTATTTAAAATAATTTAATGAACTTTTTCTTTGATGTATAATATGTTAATAATGTAGAATAGCTAATAAAAATTTAATATTTTGAACAACTGAACCTTATAATAACAACAGTTGAACCTCTTGTATGAGAAGTTCAATCAACAATCAAGCTTAATAACAAAATATTTAGTTTAGTTAAGTTATAAAGTCCAGCAAATTCAAGAGCATAATATATTGAAAAAAGCTTTAGATAATTAAAAGAAAGCTGTACAAATAAAATATCTAAAAATAAAAAAATAGTAGTTATTAATTTAGTTAAATACAAATGAAAGTAATACAATTATTTACATGTTTATAAATTATGCATGGAAACTTCTTCCTAATGTAATAATAGTAAACAAATAAAATTAGAATTTGTAATTATATTTTAACATATTAAACAACAATGTTTGATTTCTAAAATAAATTTTGACCAATACAAATGTTCCTCAAGTAATAGAAATATTTTCCAATACCAAAATATATTTCTCTTGAGGAAAAATAAATGTACTCACTGCTGCAATGGTAAGGTTTTGATACGGTTAATTTATTATACATAATTAATATAATATATATTTTATTATGTAATTTATTGTTACTGTCACCATACCATTTATTTGCAGCAGTGTGGACACACCTTTAAACAGTCATTATGCTTAGTACTTAAATTGGATTGGGACTACAATAAAAA